ACAAACATCGTTCTTCTTCTTTTCTATCGTCTATATTTAGAAATAAACTTTATCTCGTACGACGTTTTAGATGAGTCTTGTTAACAGCATTATTATTGTCGTTTATTCTTTAGTTAACTGGTTTTCATGCACAATTTTTGGCAATCGAATCGGTCTGAGTTTTTATTTCATTTTCTTTTTTTTTTTGTTGTTGTTGTTGTTGGCACCAACATACTTTCGCATCGGACTTAATATTCATTGGCCATTTAATTTATAGTAAAAATGATAATGAAATGTTGACCATTTAAAGCATAACGTCTATTCATCCTGACTTCATTTTGAATGGAACTATACGGTGTATCGATGCACATATCGTAGCTCGTTCGTTGGCTGTAGCCACCACTGCACAGACCATATAGAACATTCATATACATATGTACTTGTATATGATTTATCCATCGTCTCTGTGTATTTCGGTCTATCGTTTATTGTGTGCGCTTCACTTTTCTTTACTTTCATGTCTATTCAAAATACATAGAGTGCGTGCTGAACATGGTTTACAGGATGCACTAGACAAACCTATAGATATATTGCATATCCGCATTACAATCAATATTTTGGCTAGCGTAATTTTTACTTTTTTTGGTTCTGTTCCTCTGTCTTTCTCTTTTTTGCACCGTTCACTCCGTCGGCAGTGGTCGTCGAAGCAAAGCGTGTGTCGTATATAACGATAGCTATAGCGAGATTGTGATTAGCGAAAGTAAAATTTTCCCAAAAATCAAAATACATATATTCGGTCTCACACACACAAATGCGATACATATCTATCGTCGCCAGTGTGTTTCGTTGCAGATTCAGGCAACGATCGAAAACATACGCAGGACCATTAACGTAGCTTCGAAACGCTTCTTTGTGTTGTGCAGCGACTGGTTTGGCTGAAGTTATAGTCCCAAAAAAAACAACAAGAACCAGCAACACCGTACTTTTTTTAACGTCTCTTTTTTTCTCCATGGTGTTCATTTTCTATGTGTATATATTCTATCCTCGGTATAAACATAGCAAACAGAATAGCATATGCATACATGCTGTCGCTTCTGCTGCTGCTGTCGCTGGTTTTCCATTTGGTTTGCAAAAAAAAAAACTCCGACTCGACATATACCCAAACATAGATTGTTTTTTCTATTTAAAACGATTTAAAATGACTCGACAATAACGACAGAAGTGCGGCTGACTGTCTGGATTGTGAGTGTCGTCGGCCACAACGGAAAGGACGCCAACCAATGCATTCGACGATGCAAAGTTTGTATCTTTGTATATAGGAAGCTATATTCATTGGCGTTTGTTTTTTCCCGTTTTGCAAAATTAAGCTGTTATGTTCGTCGTAGCCGTCGTCGTCGTCGTCGTCGTCAGAGCATTCAATGTGCCGAAGCAGCGTACCTATGTTCGTTTCGGGACAAAATATATAGACGCCAGCCAGACACATAAGCACCAAAAGATAATGTTACCGCACATAACGTAAATTAAATCTGGTGCACACTACACTTGGCTTCGCTGCGTCCACCTATATATATGCAAAATTATAGATATGTCGAATGTGTTTATGTGTGCAATAGAGCGAGAGCGAGAACGAAAGAGAGGTGGAGAGAGAAAGAACACGCGACAATCGAATATAACGCGCACACATATGGACAAAACTGAATTCTGTTTCCTCTTTTCATTATTTGACGGCTTTTACTGTCGAACCCAGAATTACACCCGTTTTTATGTATATATGCAGTATGTGAATACACATATAAACGCATTTTCAATGCTCTTTTTTCCGATACTGTATTCGACATTTTATCGTTGTTGTTGCTGTTATTGTACCTGGAGACAATATACATATAAACCAAAGGGAAATAACATTACCGAAAAACGACCAACATGATAACTGGAATAACACCAACATATTTTATTCAAATTAATCAAACAATGATAAGACAAAGCATTGCTTCTTTTTGCCAACAGACGAAAGTTCACAGTCAAAGATCATCTAAATTGGTACAAAGCATCAAAAAGGAAATGAAATTTTTTTGAAGCAATTTTTATTCTACAAAGTTCAAGCATTCAATATTATTTGATATGAAAAAAGTTATGGGTTTTATATAATATATTTGATTGAAACGAATTCTCCGTTTGAAATTCAAAAATTTTGCCCTTTTTTACGAAATTTGTCATTCTTTTTTTCCAGTGAAAAATCGAATGTCTCAGCACTTTTTTACTCATTCATATTACACAAGAAAACGAAATAAATATTGCGAACTGTCTTTTTGCTCCGAAATTACTGTGTAAGCACTTATTGCAAGGAAGTACAAGGAACTATCTTGATCCTTCACCTTTTCGCTAATAATTGCACGTGTTTCATGTCCTTCTGCTTGCTTGCGCAACATTCCATTCATTAATAATATTCATATATTACTCTTTTCCCCAGAAGTTGCAAGGAATCAAGTGCACAGTTTATTGATTTTCATGTGCATTGGTTGGCGGTAGCAAATTCTATGAACCGTTTGTGAATTGAAAAAAAAAGGAGCGAATTCTTTGTTAGAGTCGAGTTCGGTTAGAGTGTCGTTCGTGTGTGCTTCACTGCACTTTGTTTTCACTTTTATATTAAGTGTGGTTGAATCGCTCGTTTCGATCGTGTCTTTTTTTTCTGTCTGTCTGTCTGTCTGTCTCTCTTCTATCTTTTAATATGGCTGAGACGTTGAATGCACACGTAAAGCGGGTGGTTGAATGCTTCCATAGTTTTTGTTTGTTGAATGTTCTATCAACATTGATGCACTTTTTGGATTACATCCAACAATCAATTCTCAAACAACTGGTGGCGACATCTATGATGGCTCAACGAACCAAAACCATTCACAAGATTTAAGTCGAAAACTTTCCATAGAAAAGCTACAAAGCATCGCAACAAAACCTATCAACAACCAATTTATATGAATACGAATTACAGCAGATAGACACCAGACTGTAATGGATTTAAATATTTAGTTGATTGGAACTGGCCCGAAAGAAAAGCGCTCAAGTCAAGTAATCAAAGCATGCATGCAGGTGACAAACTTCATCAATAATGAATAAACGCAAACAAAGTGAGCAAATACAAAAAAGAATGGGTAAAGAACGATAAAAACACGAAGGAAAAAACAAACAGTGACTATATGCCGAAAATGCTTGGTCGTTCGGTTATCGCTTTTCTACAAAATGCGCACCTTATTAGTGAAGTTACAAATGTTCGACGGTGTGGTTGATTCACATTTTAGTTTTTCTTTTTTATTTCGTGGTTCCATCGCTTTGAAAAATTCATATTCATATTGGAATTGTTTGTTTTCTTGTTGTTGTTGATATTTGTGTTGTTTAGTTCTTGTCGCTTAGATTGGGGCGAATGGAACAAATGGTACGCCTATCCCTACATTCATCACAATACAAATTCATTGCTTCAGAACAAGGTCATTGAATGTACGTTTTTTTTTTTGGCTTTGTTTTTTTCGAGAATCCAAAACAGTCGTTAGAATGTTTTGAAAATTTGGGTGCCGTGATCGACAATAAATTACCATTTGTTTCATTTTCATTTCGAAATTGAGTTAGCTTATATCCAAACGAACGTTGTGGGCACCCGACAGTGTATTTTTTCTCCATTCGAGTAAGTGCGTGCAGTTCTTCTCGTCACATTCGAATAGTGACAATTTATTTACCTACGTATATGTGTAATACACAGAATGTGTATGTTTGCGTTCCTACTAACCAATAGTCAAATATAAACACCGTGAGCATATATCACTCTGCGTGTAAATTAGCGCTTTGTGGCGAACAATTGGACACGGGGTGAATAAAATTCAATAGCGTTGAACCAAATAATAGTAGACACACTGCACAACAGTGCGGCTGTACTGTTACTAAGAGTGTGTCATGAATGATCGAATGGAGTGTATGGTCGTTTACCGATAAAGTGCCGCGATAATTACTATCTAAATTAATCGACATTATGTGTCAAATTTACACTTGGTTCTCGTAAAGGCTGTTGTTACTGTACAGTAGAAGAGAATAAAAAAACAACAACATCATTTGGGAAAATTCGGGCAGTCCATACCAGAATGTCACCCCACAGAATAAAAAGAGGAAAGAAAATTCGTTAACAATTGGTTGTGTGACCTTATTCGCGTTGATGCTAGTCCGTTCAAATATAATGCAATGAATATTTAAGGTACTCCGTGCAACATGGAAAAGCGAACCTGAAATTCTTAATCGTATATAGTGGGCAAAAACGAGAATCGTAACGTAGAAGGCGTCATAGTCATACGTTCATTCGTTTGAAGTGGTCCCAGAAGCCGTGTCAGAATTTTCAGTGAGTCATTTTCTTTTCTTCCAGCGATATACCTATCGAATAATAAATAAGACGGTGAGAGTAAAATAAAATAATAAAAACCAAGTGCTTGAATTTTCGGCTTAACCGACGACCAAAACTCATTCACTGCCACAAATGTAATTAAATAAGAATTTTTTTTTACCGTTCTTTAGCGACGTACGCCCGATTCGAACTTCAAATTCTGGAAGAGTTATCGAATTAATGCGTAATATCGATTCGTTTGCAATAGAATAAAGGGCCTCTTAGTATTTTTATCAAGAAATTTGTCATAGGCATATCAGATATTTGTCACATTTCAAACATTGTTGCTGTACCGAATAAATGGCCATTCTCGCCATATTCTAGGCGATGATAAACCAAGTATCGGCACTGACTCATTGCCATTTTTATGAGCTACAGATAATGTTGATATGTATTTTTAGTCGAACGACGTATGTAAAGAATTGACTTATGTACTTATCACCAAGTGAAATATATATAAAACCTATATATATATATATATATAATATAATATAATAAAATGTAATAAAGTGAATACATTTCCTACGCGTATATCCAGTGTATGAATCAGCCGTATTGAGTACGTTTCGGAATACTTTTAGTTAAAACGGTAAATTGTAACGTACAATTGCAGTGAAAGTGCCACCAGATTGGAATTCAAATTAATATCGTATCGAAGTCTATTCAATTTATATTGCTTTTTTCTCTCTCTTCATTCATATTCTATTACACAATACGCGTAACGAAAACTGTGTATTTGAATCTGTGATTGAATTTAAATTTAAATTTCAATTTCATTTTCATTTTCTCTCCACGCCACTTCAATAAATAGTAGTAATAATTCAAAGTGTACACATTCCAACTGAACACACTAAGAACGTTCGATGATTCATTTCTGTTCGTATTGTTAGTGGATTCAGCATCACTATTTGATTTTTCGTGAGATTGCCGAAACAGCAACAACAGCAACAATAACAACAACAACAGCAACACCGTCAAACTATGAGAACGAAGACAATCAAACCGTTTGTTCTCTGTTAGCAGCATACTGTTGAAACCAATGTAACCGAGTGAAACACAGAACGAAATTGTTTCGTCGCGCACAAGTTTGACTTTAAGACCTCCAAAAAAAAAAATCCAAACCCAAAATATACGAAAGAAACTGTTTTTGGTATTGTGAACACAGAATAGTCAAGCTATAAATGTTTATTAAAAATGGTTTGTGGCATGACGATATTTACCAATACAATAAACACTTGAGTGATATCAACAGTTAACAACACATCTTGCAATTTTTTCTCTTGTGTCAATCCAAACAGATATATTAATTTACATTCAGTTCAGTTATTGTGTGTCAATTTTGATCACGGCCTCATTTTGAATTTTCATAGATTTTTTTTCTTCTGATTTCTAATTGGTGCATATGAAACATTTGTAAGTTCAGTGAGCTAGCGCATGAATTAGACGTGAACAAATGCTTGCTATTCTTTTTAAATCAGAACATTTTTTCGGTATTAGATCACTTGGAGCTGTCATTATGACATAAGAAAAAAAAAACATAGTAAACGTTACTATAAATTAAAAAGTCATTAAATTATCAAAAAAATATGCTGTGTTTTATCAGATCTAAGCGTGAAGAAACCATATGAATAAATAACTTGAATTGCTCAACTGTTCAACTTTCAGTTAGTAATATGTCATTGCTAAATCGTTCGTATCCTCAGTGGAAAAATGTTTGATTTCGTGAAACTTATTGAGTGTCATGTTTGTGTACACGTCTGCTTTAAATAACTCAATCAAATGCCATTTTTTTTTCCATACGAGTGCTGTGTTTTTCATTTCATTTCCATTTTGATTTATTTCTAGAAATGCGTATCAACGACACAAATAATAATATGAACACGAGTTCGAATGATGGACTGAAAAAACGCGAAATCACAAAAAAGAATGGCGAAAATATGGATTCGGTGGAACATGATGCAGCTACATTCGTACCAAAAATTCGATGGCCCGACTTAACAGCTCAGTTGTTCTTACACACTGGCGCTATTTACGGATTAATCTTTCAATTTTATACGATAAGATTTTACACGCTGGTTTGGTGTGAGTATTCTACGAATCGGATACGTCATACCAAAAATAAAATAGCCGGAAAAAAACCAAATGTAAAGTTACGTAAAAATAATAAGTCTGCTTTTCTATTTTTAGTTTTTGCACTGATCGTTTTTAGTGGATTCGGTATTACGGCTGGAGCGCACCGACTTTTTTCACACAAATCATACAAAGCAAACGCTAAATTACGTCTGCTGTTGACTTTTCTGTTTACCATTTCCGGCCAAGTAAGCGTAGAAGATATTTAGATAGATAAATGATGCAATGTTTTTCTATGACAATTTCTTTTCACATATCTCTGTTTTGTTCTTCTTTTTCGTATTACATAGCGTGATGCATACACCTGGGCACACGATCACCGTGTTCATCATAAGTATACGGTATGTGATTCGACGAGAAAGTCAAACGTCAAAAACATCAACAACAACTCAATGGAAATTAATATGACCGAAACCGGTTTTGTGGTGATTTTTGAACTCATCAATTTTTCATTTGATTTATTTAGGAAACTGATGCAGATCCGCACGATGCGCGCAGAGGTTTCTGGTTTGCCCACGTTGGTTGGCTCTTTTTGACACCACATCCAGCCGTCGTTGCAAAACGTAAAGTCATCGATTTAAGTGATCTGGAAAATGATCCCATTGTTATGTGGCAAAAGCGATTTTACATCCCATTGTTTGGCCTAATCGCAATCGCTATGCCGGTTTTGGTATGGCTTCTTTCCAATTTCTATTTCAGTATCAATGACTTAGTACGGTCAAAGGCCCTTTTTAAGAGCATACACTCATGCCTTTCACTATCTTTGCACGCATACACACAACACAAACCGAAAATTGACGATTTTCCACCCATTTATTCAAAATGTATCATAAAAACGAAAAAAAAAAATCAAAATATAACTGATTCAACAAATGCTCATATTGTTGTTGTTGTTGTGCATGGAAACAATATTTTATCACAAATGACTGTCGCAACAATTGCAAATTCTGTGTGATTCACGGTGATAAGAATCTTAGAACTAAAAATGACAGCAACTTTGTTTTCTTCACAGGTACCGTGGTATTTTTGGAACGAAGATTTATGGGCATCATTTTGGGTGAATTTCAATTTGCGCTTTTGCATCACATTGAACGCTGCGTTTTTCGTAAACAGTGTGGCACATCTCTATGGTATGAAGAGAGATTATATGAAATTTATGCATTATTCATGAAGTTTAATTTTGGAATATCGTTGTTTTCTTTCCATTTGTGAAGGCAACAAACCATATGACCGAAACATAATGTCAGTAGAAAGCTTGCCCGTGGCGCTTGCTGCTTTTGGCGAAGGTTGGCATAATTATCATCACGTTTTCCCATGGGACTATAAAACATCGGAGCTTGGCAATTATAAGTTTAACATCAGCACGGCGTTTATAGACTTCATGGCAAAGATTGGTTGGGCTCGTGACTGTAAATATCCAAATTTTATCATGTTTTTTTATTGTTCAAAACGAAATCAGTACAACTTCTAATGCTAAACGTTTTGTGTATTGGAATGTAGGTAAATTTGTGTCACCCGAAATGGTTGCACGACGTATAGCAAAAACGGGCGATGGAACACACTCGCACCACGAGGATTGCGTGTGGGGCTACGGAGATGCAGATATTTGTAAAGATGATTTAGAAGAATTGGATAAAATGCAAAGTTGATATAGCTGATAATTGTGTTTTTTTATTTCGATTATAGTTACTTTTACTAATAATGTAAATTAACATTTAAATGAATGAATGAATGAAAGAAAGAAAGAAAGAAAAGCAGACAATTTTAATTACAATCTACTCAAATATTCTCTACTCATATAACTTCTCTCGGTACTTGTAAGAAGTGCATTGCGTTTGATACTTGCATTGTCGCATCGGATGATTTGGATAGTGATTCTTTTCGAAGACCGCCAAACATGATCAATTCTCCATTACCTGCCACCAGTGATGACAGAATTAAACGTTCCGGCGCTTTTTCAATGTGCCCGAAATTTTTATGTTCAACCCATTCGATGAACGGATTTTCAGCTAGCAAAACATTTGAAATATCACAGACAAACAAGCCAATACAATTGCGTTTGATGCGTTTTTGTGGAGCTGGTTGATCATCAATCGGATCGGGTGCTGAGTTCACTTGTCGAATTGCTTTTTTTGATATTTTCTCCTCCATTCGACGCAACGATTGCAGGCGTTTCTCACGTGGCGATGCCTTGCTCGTCGATGGACTGTCTGGATTGGTATCGTTGAATGCGGCCATCGCATTCATGCGATCGTGCGATGGGGCGGATGATTCACTAAAACGTTTTGGCATATTAAACATATCATTTTCGTGGCGACGACTGCGCAAATGAAGATTCCTCTGTAATCGATTCTGTACATCATCATCATTATTGACATTCGGTTGATTTGGTTGTTCGTCCATATTCAAAAGGTTTTGTCGAACATTGTTTTGTAGACGATTCGCTTCCTCGGCAGCACGACGATTCGATGGTTCACCAAGAAGGTTTCGAAGATTGGCCACTTGTGGTGATCGTGGATTATTCTGATTCGGTGGCATTGGTGGATTCGCATTTACGCGTAAGTGATTATTGCGATTTGATGGCAGCACTTGGTGTCGAATCATTTGGAAATCCGTTAGCGCTGATGCTACTGGTCCCAAAATGATTAATTTCGACCCCACCTAAATGGATAGATCGGAGAAATTTGAAATAAATTGGCTTCTCATTTCAATTTCAGATGGTATGTATTTGACAATGGATTACCTTGCACGCTGGATTGCACCACATATGAGTTGCGGCCCATTTTTTGTTTTTGATTGTAATTTGTCGCCATTGCCACGGCTCTTGTGACATGTCCAACAGCCAGGCATCGTTGTATAGATTATTGGGTCCTCCGCATCCACCCATTATAAGGCAATGATTATCACTTAAAGCTATTTGAAATTGGCCGTAACGCGGTGCTGGTTTCACTTGGCATGTTTCTTTTCGTGTCCATACCAATGACCTTAAATCGAATGACCATAAATCATTTTTGCTGGTGCCCGTGTGCTCGTCTTGTGAAAAACCACCAAATACGATCATCGAATCGTTGTGTATCGATGCTGAATGGCCGGTCACTGGTGGCGGTGAATTTCCATCTAATGTGTTTATTAATACCCAACGGTTTTCGATAACATTGTACGAATGAAGTTCATCGAATAGACGCCACGACTGATACGGTGGGAATGCCGTTGGATGTCGCCATCCACCGAATAAAATCAACGAATTCTTATAACACACCAATGTGGCACATGCTTTTGGCGATGGATAATTTCCCATCGAAATGGGTCGCTCCCATTTTCGGGTCGACAAATCAAAGCGCCACAAGTCATTGAATGTAGTTGCCGTTGACGAGCCACCGCCAAAAACGAACATTGAATTTTTGTAAATAACAGCTGAGTGTGAAAAACGGCCAGCAATGGTTGGAGCGACATCGATACTGTTCCATGGCTTCCAGCATAAACGAAAATCCAATAAGCCTTTACTGAAATTCAAGACTGTGTGTCGTCGTACGTCTAAACGGGGCAATGAATAAGAACATGATTGGAATGCAAAATCTGTGCAATAGGCCTATGAGCAATGGCCTCATCATTGAAATTAATTGCAACTTACTTCGAACAATGATTGTCCATCGTTTACAAACTAATGCGCACGATTCCAAATCTTTGTATGGTGGCATATGACCAAAAATGAACTCCAGGACTTCGTCTGGTAAATCATTTATATTGGTCGATGTCATTGAACCGAAATTATATCACAATTTTCCTTTGTCTAAATTTGATTAAATAAACTATTTGTTGGTACCAAACGAAGCTCTATAGAAAATTTATCAGCTGTCACACACGAAAATGTCAAAGTTACTGTTTACACTGTTCGTTGGGAATCGTTTTTGTGCTCGAATGGCAGTCGAAAAGCGACTTTAATGACACTCGATTTCATTAGCCTCCCATTATTACATACAAACAAAGGCAATATGGCACAAAATCGCTTACATCTTTGCTCACTGCTACTCCAACCGAATTTATATAACGAACAAAATGTACAAATCTCGTTTTCAATATGATTTAATTTCTTCAAAAAGAAAACAAAAATTATCACAACATTTGTTCAGCTATTAAAATTCTCATTTCATTTGCTGATTTCAAAATCGGTAAATATTTTTGGCGAGCAACGAATGTTTGTGGATGGTTGATGTGTGCGTTGGATGTTTGTATTTGCCAACACATACGCAGACACAAACACACAAGCACATGAACACGCATACACGCGCGCGTTCCGTGTGTAATGTCATGACACACATGTGACGTTGAAACCACCAGATTTATGGTGTCAGAAAATCGGTTCGGTAAATTGAACTTGGTTTTTTGTCTGTGGCGCTTAAATTATTTTGCAAAATTCCATTACATCCCAAACGAAAATTGTATTTTCTTTTCTTGTCCTAATGATAACTAATTACCAACTGATCGACTCATTAGTGCATTCTTTGAGCGTATCAATATAGAGGTAAGTTATTAGAAAGTTTTTTTTCTCTCTCTTCTTCATCAGTATTATACATGTTATGAACTCTCTTTCCGGCACCACCGAATAATATTGAAAAAGTATACAATAAAATAAAAACTTTCGTTTCAGTGAGACTAACGGACATTGCTGTGGCTCATTAATAACGTTCATTCATACGTATAAACAAGCTATCTGGCGTTTCAACCTTGCTCATATCGTGCCCATTGATTTTATATTTAAATTGTGCATTTTGTTTTTATTACAATAACATGCTTTGCTATTTCAACGCAATCGATGATCGAAAGAGAAGCATTTTAGTGAAGTGAGAAGCGATTCTAGAGCGCAGAAGAAAAATCATTTTATTGTTATTTTTTTCCGAATTGTATTGTTATACTATTTGTCAATGTAAAGATAAACGTTCAAATTGTACACACAATAATAAAAACCAAAAAATCATGACGTTGTTGAGTAAAATAAGCAACATAAACCCAATATCACACACAACCTCCACACAAAAGGTAAAATCATAATCCATCGATTTTGTTGCTTTTAAATTCGATTTAAAGTGAAATTTTTGTGCATTTTTTTTTCTTTTACTACTAGGTGATCTTAGCATCTTTAACAGCTGGGGTTGTTTTGTTAAGTGTTTTGGCTCGATATTTAGGCCGTCGGAAAACTTCTCGACCCGTTCGCCGTCCAAGAATTGTTAACAGTGGTCGACGCACCAGGAACAGTATGAGGTCGCCAAATGGTAACTACGAAAAAACAAATGATTAAAAAAAAAAAATTGCATTGAGACTAATGGATTTCTATTCTCATTGGTGACTATCAACAGATATATTATCTTTAGCTGGATCTAAAGTATCGGCGCGTTCCATATCGCCTGGTGGTTCCGTTGTTGCTCTTTCTGATCGCCTTTCCCTAGCATCCGGTTCATTACCTGGTGCAGCACACGATAATCCACTATCTCCACAGCAGCTCGGTGTTATGGGTAAGTAAACTCATTATTACCTAAATTAATGATGACGTTTTTTTTTTTCAATTATTATCCAAATTGATGACGTGATCCAGTTTCCACAGAACTCACGTTTCCAAAGCGTGAAACATGAAATCAAATTTTACATGACGCGTTTTAATTAAACAGCCAAACTAAATCGATTTTTTCCCTCTTTGTTTTAAATATTCAAATATTCAGGGATGGAAGCTCTAGAAACAGTTATTAACTTTTGGGAGGATGCACTCGTTGCATATGAAACACCGACCACACCAGAAGAATCGGAATTCTGTCGTGAAATTCAGAGTTTATTGGATCTTGCCTGGCAACTGCAAGATCAAAGCGAACTACTGTTTCTTGACCAACGATCAATACTATTCCGGAATAGCAGCCATGCCAATGATATAAATGCCCTGCATCGATCTTTGTCAGATCCGAATTTCGATTCGGCTGAAAGTTTTGCATCCGCTCTTGATCAGGTTTAGTCTCAGTTAATTTTTTTGGTTTTCCAAATGATAACCTGCTGGAAAGTGATTCAAATGAGTCTAGCGGATTTAATTATGTTTTTCAAGGTTTTTATTGGTATTTTGTTGATATTCATAGTGGAATTTTGTTAACTCTTTTTTTGCCGGCTATAGATCGCTGATATTAGAGAGTTTGAAGAGTTTGCCGACACGATACCAGACATGGAACGATACCCATTGTATCAAAGTGCAATAAGACACTTAGAAGAGACTCCAATTCCGGTTCGCATGATGCGCACAGAAATGGTTAACTGTGCATCAGATTTGGAGTACCTAGCCAAATTACACTGTATTCGTTTAGCATTTCAATATCTGTTCAAAGTAAGCATCACTATTCCAATCGAGTTTTGCTTCCAAACTTTTTTTCATTTGAAATAATTTAATCATTTTTCTTGGGTGACGTTGAGTTTGTAATTAAAATTGATAATTTTATTTGTTTCACAGGAAGAATCAACCGGACGATGGGTCGCTGATACTGGTCGTCAAATTTTGACGGATCTTTTATTGTATGGTGATAGAGATCCAAAGGACTTTTTAGTTGGATATGAAGCAATGTTAGACTTTTTACAAGACCAAAATAATTGGCCAGCTATTGAAAAGGAACTGGAGGCTAGAAATGTAAAAGCCCTGACCTTTTATGATGTGGTTCTAGATTTTATAATTCTTGATGCGTTTAGAGATTTGGATGCACCGCCGGCAAGTGTGACAGCCGTAGTGAATAATCGATTCTTATCCAATGGATTCAAAGAAACGGTAAGGTCTATTTAAAATTTGAAATAAAAAACATTGATATTAAAAATTTGAAATTAATTTACTCTATCTGAAACAGGCATTGACAACCGCTGTTTGGTCTGTTTTGAAAGCGAAACGTCGTATGTTAAAATACTCAAATGGTTTCATGGCACATTTCTATGCCATATCCGAGCAAATATCGCCGATGATGGCCTGGGGATTTTTCGGTCCCAATGAGAATTTGAGCGAAGTATGCCACTACTTCAAAGATCAAACGATGGGATTCCTGAATGACATTTTCAATTTCCAAAAGTGTCGATACACAACGGTCGAAGAATTATCGGCCGACATTTACCAAGAAATGAAGAATCGTGTAGCCAATATAAGCGTTAAATTTAGCCAGTAAGCCTTATGAACAGACACAAACGCATCAATAGTATGGAATTTATTTGCCAAAATTGACCAATACACAAACTGAATATATTAAACGAACAAATAAAGATGTAATTGTAGAATCGAACGAGAGTAAAAAAAAAGACGTACAGATACAAATGCAATTTCATTGAACTTGAATCATGATTTGTGCTAAAACTTGTTCAATCAGTATCACTCACATGAATTATATTATATCTTTTAAACAATGACATCCAAAAAATCAGCTGTAGATGACATCGTCTTTGTGATGGATAAAAAAAAATGTACACATTCATTCTGATCTGATTCTGAATAAAGCATTCCAATGTCTCAAAAAAGGAACGTCATGCGTCGAACGAAAGACAAAAAAAGAACCGCTCCATAATAACCCTTTGACGTTTTTATCAATCTCAAACATTCGTTACCACAAGTCGATCCACTCAATTAATTCATCCAATATCTATTTGATTTGACGGTCGACAATCCAAAGTTTCAAAGTGTTAATAACACGTACAGATGTTACGAAGAGCGTCAAAGCAGAGTAAGTAAGTAGCTTATTCGTCATAAAGGCTAAAAGGCGTACAAACTAGTAATGGTTTGTTTTGATCATTTTTTTTTACTTTATGTGCCTTTTGTGATTTCACCTATGAATGTTTAATCATTTGATCAATAAGAGAAAAGACTTGGATTTATTTTTTTCGAATTAATTTTATTGGAGCCTAATACATAAAGATACAGTGCAATGTGTCATAGCCACATTCAGAGTCAGAGTCAGAGTTATTCAAGTATTGTTTTCAATCGCACCGTAACGCACAACACACTCAACACACAGCATCACAATAAACACATTCACTCACTCACTCACTCTCATTAAAATATTACACTTTTTCACACTCACAAACAGACATGCAAATCTCCATAGAACCTTTTTCAATGTTTATGTTTTCATTTCTTGTTATACATTTGTTTCTCTCTCTCTCTGAAGCGTTGTCCGAAATCAATATACAGAGTTTTTGTTTTTAATCGTGTCGCTGAAGATGAGCAGTACACTGCTTGAAATGCATACGAAGTTAGGTTTAAATAAAACCGTTTTAGTAAACTCAAAATAATGGTGTTTGTTTATTTAATCAAATCTGTATGAGAGTTTTAATAGAAGAGAGAGAATTTATAGCAGTTTTTCGATAGCCGATTACTCAAAAAAATTGTTCCTACATAAAAAAAAGTAAAAACACTACATTAAACTACATAAAATCTACAATTGAAATCGCCCAACCCGAAGTCATTTCGGCAAATTTTCCAAGATTTTAATATTCATCTAAATATTCTCTGTATTCGAAGTATTGCAATTGAATGTCAATCATTTGTTGCCCAAGACTCATGTATATTTTCGAACTTGAAGTATTCAAACTATTCGAATACCTACAACTTATATAAAACAATATGTTCTCGGTAAAGCCATCAGAATACACAAAACTGGAAGATTTAATCAATCATCAGCAGTTTGTCCTTATAAAATCACTGGGATTATAATCAACATTCATCATATGGCTTTTTAAATACCGTTACACATCCCCGTAATGACAAAAATTTGAATTTTCCGTTTTTATAACAGTTTATTTATCGGTAAACGCTGTACATTTTTCGTTTATTTTTAATTTTTCCTTCTCTCACCATCTTTTTTCCTTCTTCTTCTTCCTCTGTATCTTCAACCGTGAACAGTGAAATAACCATTGCAAAACATACACAAAGGAATTTTTTTTCAAACACTTTTACTCCCAAACAAAGTGTGGTTTGTTACGAGTTTACTAGTTTAATATTTGCCCAGTGCAAACTTCGTATATAATTTTTCGGCGAAAATATTCCATCCGTCTTTGGTTGAAAACCATTGGTCGATTTCGTGCGGCAAACTCGGCAAACATACAACAAAATATATTATTTTGTTTGGCAGTGTGTAGCATGTTTTGTATTTCCCAGTCTTCTTCGATTTGATACTTCTGTTGATATGCATCCATAATGAATGTGCTGAGTTCATCCATCAATGCAGCATTTCCATGACGAAGAAGAGAATCATATAATGCGATCGTCCTGTTTGGTGTGTTGATGATCGGTAATGATCAATGGTCCGGTGAGTGTACGGGGATGATCACCAGCTGATATTTGAAGGGATCATTCCTCATTACCCACTCGTCGATTCTCTTCTTTTTTTTGCAGCAGGTTTTCCATGAAGAATGAATCAACCGGCAATACTCGCGGCAATTCAGGCATTTGTTTGCTCCGCTCGCCTATCAACTCCATATAAAAATTGATGATCATGTCATCCAAGTGGACTTCAGGGGCGAGCGTTTTGATGTTGCGGCTTTTGATAGTCAACCCGAACTTTGTCTCCATCCTTCAGGCTAAGCCAATAGCGGATTCTGTTCTCCCTTCTTTTACCCAATTGCGGATAATCGTCCGGTTCGTCTTTTATTCGCATCACATTCGGTAAGATGTTCAGACGTGCAAAACTTTCATTGAGATCTTCCCTGAAATAAAAATTTAAAAAATCTTAGTATGTCAGAAACACTCACAGCAAATTGGAACACAATATAAAATAGTGGCTCAAACGAGACTTTGACGCGAGTGCCATTTAAATAGGTATAGAACATAGTTGTCAACGAACAATTCAGCGAACGTAGGTAAGATAAATTGATAAATCCTGTCATAAAGAAACTTTGATTGGACTTTGGACAGAAAACAAGTAAAATTACTGCGGTGCGAAAAAGTTTGGCTAACGATGTAATTCGTTTTATTATCACTATGCGTATCAGTCGGAAATAACTTACTACGAAATGCCGTGTTCAAGAACGATCTTGAAAAATAATGAGTCGAAGGCGATTCATTTGGAGACTGGCAGTAAGAACTAAACAAGTTCTCCGATTGGTTTTTATTTGGAGAGGGTGTTTTGTCAGGTGGAGACTCTCCACTGGAGAGAATACTGAAAAAAGTAAATGATAAAAGTGTCTTTGTTTACAATGAATTTATTGAAAAAGTTGGAAAAAAATAGAAAAATATCATCTATGTACTATACTCATATCTATTTGGAAATGTTGTAATGAATTCATTTTGGTCAAATTTTGAATATATACGCTTACTATCTATTTCTTGTTGCTTGATGATTTTCTTTTCGTTTCTAATTGCTATTTATTTGAAATGATCGAATGAATTAATAATTTCGTAAGTATCAATTATTGCATACAAAACAATAAAAGCAAATTGCACCAACTGTTCCATTTTTCAAACTAACAAAATAATCTATGGCAGCAATTTCTTTGGACAAACTCGATGTGTATTTAGTGCCGCGCAATGTTACATCTTTATATACTTGCAAAATGTTTTGATTTTGTATTTTGATTCCATTCTGTACAAACAACTGACATTCAATAGAGTTTAAACAAGCTGTGGTTCTGCTACCAATTGAGAATTCATTTTTTTCGACACTTTTTTGATTAAATTTCAAAGTTTTCTTCGTTACATACTTCCAGGCCAATTGGTGAACCATTTCTTTATTGCAATTATTAGCTTTGACAACGATTCCATTGTTAGACTCAAATACATAAGCTGATTGGAACCACAATGGGCCGAGATTCTTGACTGCCAACGCAAAGTGTAGAAGAAGATAAAGATTCATGGTGACATTTGAACTACCATATAGCTCTTCATAAGAATCAGCAAACTCATTTAATTTTCGCTCTGCTTCATTTAACGTATCATGCTTTCTTGCAGTAACATGTGTATAGAAGAAGAAAAAGATGAAAATTTTTCACATATTTTGACATCATGCTGCGAGGTTTGTGTAATTATTTCAAGGCTTCGAGATAATATACCTTAGCACGCCACATATTTAATGCTCGGTATAATATGCTTGCATATCGAACACACACAGCTGCCGCACACACTCCTCTTGCGCGCAAACGGTTGCGTACACAGCGATCGCAACCAACTCGCACAAAAAACCGAATCGCATACACATAATCATACATTCACAACACAATGCGTATAATTCGGTTTCCTTTTGCAAAGAAAAAAAAAATGGAAATAATGACAAATCTGTTTAATTGGTTTGATTGCAAATTTAATAAATGATCAACGTAGTGTTTACATGCTGTGTCTTTGGTTGAATTTATGTTGCATTCGAGTGAAAAATGAAAAGAAAAAAGAAGGAGAAATCAAAGCGTTGTTTTGTTTTCTTTTTGTTTGTATTTTGTTTACATGATAAGCATCAGAATACGTCTTATGTTATTTTCGATGAGAGCAACACGCATTGAAGAAAAAAAGACGAATACACTCAAGCATACACTTGTATTAATGTAACTTTTTTTTGCTTTGGATATATATACTCACGAACATTTTCACCCGTTGAAGCCAAATTCGAACTTGATGTAATGGTATCATCAGAATTACCATATCGAATTTCACTATTTGCTAGCACCGAGCCATTTAATTCACGATCGTGCCCACCTTCAGCTCGACGATCCTTTTCCTTCGTTGAAGCCAAACGAGAACTTGATGCACTGGCGTCATCATCACTATTTCCGCTTTCACTATTTGCCGACATCGTGTTGTTCAATCGAGTGGATTGAGCACCATCGCTTGAACTAGATACGACTAAGATCATCGAAAGATTCGACCGAATCATCTCGGGCATTCGATTGTTCCGCCTGACTGCTATTCAAATGTGATTACCACATCTTGATGCAAATCCGGCAAGGGTGCCTCGTGTAGCCGGCGAACGTTGTACAAACCCGGCTGCACTGGTCGTAATCGATTTTTATTTGCAACTGCATCGTCATAGTTACAAAAAAAACTGACGGGTTGGCCATGAAAATAACCATCGACTTGTGGTGGAAACACTTTTTGTATCGGCAAATCAAAATTCGGCTGAATATTTGTATTTGGCTTACCGTCGTCATTTGTTTCGTTCGACCAAAAAAAAAATGTGTACCTGATTTCGATTGATTCGATTTTGGACGAATTTTTCGAGTTGAGTGTTGCTGTTTTTCATCTACGAAATTGGAAAAACATGGTGTTTTTCTTGCTGGTTGATTCCAGCCAAACGAACGACGTGATACATTTTTAATTAACACGTGTTGAACGGCAAAAAAAAATTATTTCGCAATAGTTTACGAGAGTAAAAACAAGACCGCAGAGCTTCGCTTCGCTCTGCTCTGCGTTCTTGAGTTTTTAGTTACTTAATCTATTTTGTTGTTTCACAACAAACTATTTTTTGGCGCACTACATGAAATTTATTTCATCAAAGTAACTTTGAAGTAATATATTTATTTGCAAAATGAATGACAAGACCTTGGTTTTATTTCTTTTTTGAATATACTGCCTTTGGTTTAAATTAAATAAATATTATGAGCATAGAATAGAAAGTCACTTTAATTCTGTTCAAGACCCAGAAAATACTGTACGAAAAATTAATGTAATTTTTAAAAAACTTTTAATAATATAAATTTGATTGGCGCTTTGAGATGTTGTGCACTTATTTGTCGTTAGTGCACCTTTTTAAATTAAATAAAAAATATTAGCATAAAATTCAAATTCACCATAATTTGTTTCAACACTCAAAAAGTATCTAGAAAAAAAAAGCAGATTAGTAGCTCTACATTTCATGTAGTGCTAAAAAGACGTACAGATACAAATGCAATTTCATTGAACTTGAATCATGATTTGTGCTAAAACTTGTTCAATCAGTATCACTCACATGAATTATATTATATCTTTTAAACAATGACATCCAAAAAATCAGCTGTAGATGACATCGTCTTTGTGATGGATAAAAAAAATGTACACTTTCATTCTGATCTGATTCTGAATAAAGCATTCCAATGTCTCAAAAAAGGAACGTCATGCGTCGAACGAAAGACAAAAAGAGAACCGCTCCATAATAACCCTTTGACGTTTTTATCAATCTCGAACATTCGTTACCACAAGTCGATTCACTCAATTAATTATTCATCCAATATCTATTTGATTTGACGGCCGACAATCCAAAGTTTCAAAGTGTTAATAACACGTACAGATGTTACGAAGAGCGTCAAAGCAGAGTAAGTAAGTAGCTTATTCGTCATAAAGGCTAAAAGGCGTACAAACTAGTAATGGTTTGTTTTGATCATTTTTTTTTTACTTTATGTTTATTTGTTTTTATTTGCTTTATCTTCTGATACAGCCTCATTTGAACTGAATGGGTACCACATAACCAGATTTTATCATGAAAAACAACAGTAGCCGCTAAAATTCGTAATAAAATTGCAATCGGGCGCTCAAGATAAACAGAAAAACAATTGATCTTCGACTTTCTCGTAATTTCCGTTGAATGCAGAATTTTTCCAATCAAATTGTATGTCAAATGATATGTAAAGAAAGTAACTGGGAACTGTGAAATTGTCTATTGTCAACGTTGAACTTTAACTACTGTGCCCAACTACACAGTATACATTTAAACCAACTCATCGATTAACGAATACGAATGAGAACGACAATGCGTTCAATTTGCATATAAACTAGTAGAAAATTTAAAAATCAATGCGATCAAACCGTATTTAATTGTGACCGTTGTGAAGAAGGCTTGGAAATCGATTGGTTTGTGCAAATGAAAATCAATCCACTGGTTAATATAGGTAGTTGTATGTATCGCATATATAATTGGTGAACTTTTCCGCAGCAAAAGTTGAACTTGGACTTGTTTATAAGTTTATAAAATTGCTTAAATCATTCCAAAATACATTTAAAAATACTCGCTATCGAAAATACATGATTTGAAGAAAAAAAAAAAAGAAGTTGGATTTGCATGAGGTGGCGCGTCATACGGTTAGCAAAATACATACGTAAACATGCGTCGTTATACGGCGACGGGTAACGTTACCACATACACACACACACACAAACACATTCCCATATGCATTATAATGAGTTCATATGGCACAAGACGAAGCGTAAAAAACAGACAATACCTAAAGTTATGATTAGACGAATTGTAATTCATTGTACTGTCGTTTATTTCTACTTTTTCGTGTGTCGCATCGATACAATTTGAACACAACGTGCGCTGGTTCCTTAAAGCTACCGTTTAATCCAAATCAGTTAGTCTTTGAAAGCGGTCGTCGAAACAAATATTCGGTTGTTTTGTGTAACCGTTCCAAATAGAATTGTTTGATCAAAAGGAATAAATAGAAGCGTTAGAATCAAATTGATTCCATTGATTTTGTTTGTTGTTTATTTTCTTTTTTTTTTGGTTTAGTGATGATAGTATTTACCGTCAATTCATCGTTCTAGCGGATATTTGTTGACGGATTTTTTGTTTGTTTGTTCGGAGTGAAATAATAAAAATCCCAATCAGAATATTTTTTTCACAGTGTGATTTTGTGAACGGAAAAGGATCAAGTCAAAGTACTTCAGGTTAGTAAAATTAGTTGTTTCAAGCCATATTAGGGATTCTTTCAATCGTCAAAACGCATTCAGAATGTTTGAACATAAATTATGTTTGAACGCGCGGTTTTTTTTTTCTAGAAAAGTCTTGGTCATTTGCAAGTATAAGAATTTGCCAAATCACTTGAAATGCGATATTCGTACGAATGACAACGAAATGAAATATTTGAATCGAATTGGCCAATGTCTGTGCAGTGAAAAGCGCTGATCTAACTGAAATTCACAGTATTTGATCAAAATTAACGAAACATGTCTCCATATTTGCTGTTGCAAGCGATTCTTAGTCACTCATGTGAAATGTGAGAAACATGATTGAGTACGAAATTAGCGGCGGATAAAGAGACTTTTTTTAAATGTCATTTTAATGTTAGTATTGTTGGTTTTGGGTTTTTTGTCGGATCCACTCATTACGTTTTTTTTTTTTTTTTTCGTTTGGTTTCGTCTCTCGTATTTTTTTTTTCTTCTTCTTCTTCTGAACGTAAATATCTTACGTGATTCATGTATACGATCGGTTTGGGGAAGATCTTAACAAATTTAAACAGGTAAACAAAATCGAAATGAAATCGCACTAGCCGCATCTAAAAGGTAGTTGATGTTGGAAATTGTGACATTTTTAAACATATCGACCAGAAAAAAAATGTGGCAAATAATGTGCTGATAAATTACTTTCACTTCATGTTCAATGCGATGGTTGAACGTCGCCAAACATACCGAATTGACTTTGGCACAATTATTTGAAAATTTGGTTGTTGGCAGTATTTTGCCATTGTTGTTGTCATCATCTTCTCCTCAAATATTTTGGTTTGTCATCGAATTTCGTTTTACATGTTGAACTTGAAATGAAGCAGAGCATTTCGTTCGAAAATATGCATGGCTCTGACGAGGAAAAAACGCACACGTACACATTTAATATTTGTTGCAAAAAGTATTACTGGATAATAAGTAGTTTATATGTTAACGCGACTGAGACATTTTTAGCGTACACATTCGATTGAAATCACTCTCAATCCTATGTTATTTGAATGAGGTTCAATTTTACTTGTAAATCTCACTGCGTATAGGGAACTAACCGCTTTTTCATCCCGGGGCGAATGACGCACAAATTTACGGGTTTAATAGGATTGTGACGGAAACAAACACATTCCAGAAACGATATTTTATCGAAAAAAAATTCTTTTTTGCGGAGAGTAAACACTTGCTTCCACTGACAATTTTTGCATGCTTGCCTTTGAAGCGTGCATGCATTTCTATCGTTCACATCAAATTTTACTCAACAATTGTCTTTAAGGTTTGGTTTTTTTTTTCTCATTTATGTACACAGGATTAATTTGATATTGCACTCGGTGAAAATATGACGACTACGAGTCAACCATCAACAACAACGGTCACAGCTACGGTACCGCCAGCTCGGAATGAACCAACTCAGATCAAATCAGATGTCGATGAGAAGGTGGCCAATTTGAGTGCGAAACGAGATGCGAGTTGGCCATCGGTTCTGTTTTACATACATTTAAACATACTCGGCCTGTACGGGATTATGGTGCTCTTCACAAATGCCTACTTTACAACTGTGATATTTACAGTCTTTTTATCATTCATCGGTATCATCGGTGTGACATGCGGTGCACATCGATTGTGGGCACATCAAACATATGAAGCCAACACATTCCTTCGATTGTTTTTGATGTTGTGTCAAACAATGGCCGGTCAGGTAAGATACGAGCATATTTTCTGCATTCCAAAAAGAAAGAATTTTGATTCCATTTTTTCCACACTAAAATGCATGAAATCGTCTGTGAAAATTCAATTCACTACTTTTCCATAAAAAGACAATAGCATTTAAATGAAGCTCATTATCCAGTTTGCACCAATTAAACTCAATTTATTCACTGAATTCATTAGTATTGTTCTTTTTGGAATAAATCAAATATTCAGCAGCGAACAATTAATTAAGAAATTTTTCGCTGAGTCATCCTAAATTTCAAAAATTCAGTTTGATTTTCGCTGTGTCGCCATCACATTTGTTATGCTTGGCATTCTGCCTAGCGTTTTACTTCATTTGAAAAATTTGAATTCATTCAAAGTTGTAGCGTTACAAATAAAATAAACAAGAAAAAAAATCAATGTTGGTAAAGTACGCGATTGACCAAACAGATGGCGCTCCATAATTGTCCGTCTCCATACGTAACAATTTTTGCGATAGTGGAAACTTTTCGCCGATGGCCATTCAAGCTCTGCAATCAACAGAGCACAGATATGGTTAGATCAAAGTGCAAAAAAAAAATAACGAAAGCTTTATATTTTCTAGGGATCAATATATGATTGGGTTCAATATCATCGCTTGCATCATCGTACATTTAAAACATCCGACGATCCATATTATAGCGAAAAAGACTTTTTGCATGCTCAAGTTTTCGCGCACATTCGTAATTTAAGCCCCAAACAAGAGTATTTGCTCAAACAAGTGGATATGAAAGACTTGGAAGCCGACAAAATTGTTATGTTCCAGAAAAAGTATGTGTGATTTATTTGGTTGAAGTTTTTTTATTTGTGTCAAAATGATCGAGAGTACTGATTTTTTTCATTACACAATAACAGGTTCTACTGGATTCTCTATTTGATTTTCTTCGTACTATTGCCAATCAATGCACCGTTAGAATATTGGGATGATTCCATTCAAGCCGCATTGTTCGTCACATTTTCGTTGCGATATTTGATTGTGTTGAATATTTCATGGCTCATAACATCGGCTCACTTCATCTGGGGATTGGACAAAAAGCACAAGCCATCCGATTCGAATATGATTTTCTTGGTAACAAAGAGCTACTGGCCACAATACCACTATTTACTTCCATTCGACTATCAAACCGGTGAATTTGGAAATTATGGTAAGTTGTTTTTATGGCTGGTGACTGTTGCCGAAACTTGACAGTGAATGTGAATTAATGACCCTTTTAATCAATACGGTTGCGTAATTGGTCAGGTTTATCGGAGATTGCATGCGTAGAAAAAAAGAAGAAGAAGAAAAAGTTGTGAGAAGAAAAGAAAAACGCACACAGATGCATGTACACACGCATTGAAATGGTAGCAAATTTACAATGCACTTGAGTTATCCTCCGATGTACATCAAATCGCCACGTAACTTCGATATACAATTTATATAATTTAAAAAGGTGTAACACCGCACATGACCAAGAAGATTGAATGGACTGTGAAAACAAGTTCTCTCTCTCTTGTTTTCCATTTTCTTCGCTCTTCTTCATAGCGGTCTTTAGAATGTTATTGAAAATAGTTTTCGCATTTCATAACACACACACATTCTAGCTTGTTCTCATCACATTGCGCAGTCACTGAATTTCCAATCGATACTTGCACAAAGTCACGTAGACCGTGTAGCAATCGGTATCATTCTATATCATTTTCGAAATAAACTGACAGACAATTAAAATAGGGAGAAAGAGAGTGAGATAGATAGATAATGAAGCGGCTATTGACCTATCTTTCTGAAAAACAATAACACTTTGTTCTCTTTTGCAGGCTCTGGATGCACAACCGCATTGATTCGAGTTTTTGCTGCACTTGGACTGGCCGAAAACTTGAAAACGATGACATCGGACGCATGCAAAGTTGGCCTATCTCGTTCGGTCGATACCGGATGTCCTCTTGTTGACTGCCTCACCGACGCTGGAAAAGAATCAATGGAACGACTTCCCAGAAACCACTACCTTAATAAAGACAAATATTTCTAATGCACGCAATACATACATGAAAATGCGCATGAAAAATCCAAAAAAAAAAAAACAGTAATATCATTTCTCTAAATTATAAAATCTTTTATTTGTAGAAAAAATATCATTGGTTCTGTCTGTACCAATAAAATGACACAATAAATAATTCAACAATTCGCTTAGTCAAACTTCTAAGATTCGACTCCAGACTAAATCCTTGACTTCATCTAAGGAGCTATTGATTTTTTTTTGTAATGAATCTCTTCCAAATGTCTCTTGTCTCATATAAACAAAAGTGTGTTTTTATTAAGGTTGTTAGAAAGTTTGTTTAAATAAAATGCAAATTTTTCCAGAAAACAATATGCTTTTTACATTACGTTATTTCGCCTTTTTCTCTTGTCGGTTTAATTTAATGGTCAGGGTTTTTCATAGGTGAGTAAATTTCACCGGAACTGATTATAAATCGTATCAATGGTTATTCAATCTGAAAAGTGCAAGAAAAGAGATTTCATATGTTGTTTTTGTTCGATTTGCACAAATCGATAAGATCGTATCAGTAATATAAATGCACAAACCGCAAAAACTGCCGCCGTATATGCCATACACATTTTTCCGTTCGACCACTCACAATTTGGCGTTTCATTTCAAAATTAGTCAAGTCCATTTCTCTCAAAAATCAATTCATAGAATTTGGAATATGTGTTTCGAGTGATGGAGAGATGGAAAGAGCAAGAGTGGGAAAAGAAATGTACATCACTTCTCTTGCACCTGACATTCAACTTCGTTCAACACATTCAATTAACTCAATCGACTGAGAATCTTCTCTGGGTTCATATCACTGAGAGAAATGCAAACAAATTTCATCATTTATATGATTTACAAATGGTCATCTATCAATAGATTTACGAAAACTCACTAAAAATGCCGCATTCATATTATTATGGCTAGTATATTACAATGGCTGAAAAATGCAGATTGGGTAAATTTTTCGGTGTGCGAGAGCGATGTTCAGAAGGTTATATTTTGTTTAGAAAAGTATCGAGTATCGAAAGCCAACCTCGGTGCTACAAAATGACTAAGAAATAAAAAATGTCCAATGATCGATGCTGACGTTATACATCCTCATGCAATGTGATACAAGCCGAACAGAATGTACATATTGATTTAGTTTGAACAAATACCGTGTGAATAAATTAGCATCTCAGCACAATTCAAATAATTTGCTTGTGCACAGAAACGAAGCTGTAACCAACGATTTGTTTTTCTTTTTGAATTGTTTGTACGTTTTTTTTTTCGTACAATGTTGAATTGAAATCTCCGCACATATCATATCATGTGTTCAAAATAAATCAACAAGTTGAAATCGAATCGAATGACCGAGAATTCATCAAACGAATTGTTTCACTCTTCTAGATTGATTTCATTCGATGGTGAAGCGCGAATTAAGTGAAACTTGGTCAGAGCGAGAAGAAAAAACAGTGAAATTTCATTAACGAATTGAGCCATTACGTTCTGGGCAATGCGAGAGGTTTCGATCGATCGTTAATTCATTTATCGTCTCCATTTAGAGTGAGATACTATGATTTGGCAGCAACGATGAAAAGACGATTTTTACACATTTTAAATGAATTCACGCTAAAATTTTGTAATTATGTCACCAATCTAGATTTGCATGTTAATTGATTTGTTTTGAATGAAGAGACACTAGAGCAATAAGTGAAGACCAAAAACAATTCATCGAAAAATCACTTTTATTTTCTACGATCTTCATCTTTTTTTTTTTTCAAACCAGAGGACAGCGTAATTTTGTCACTTACAAATGAACATTGAGGAGCGAATGATCGAGAAAGAGCAACAACAACAAAACGACAGCACAAATGAAATAGAGAAGGGAATTCATCCAACAGGCAAATATTATAGTCAATAGCGAAAAAAATTAGCAAACATCAGCCTTTCGGTACGTAAGCCACTGTTGACTATGTGATCATTTGCATGTTCCGCCGGCTGAAAAGTGCAACGCGTTACAGCTTTGGTGAAATGCAGAATATTGAAAAAAAAAAAAAAATGAAATAAAACTAAAGTAACAACATGCTTAGCTTAAATATTACCAATAACAAACAGACTCAATGAGACATTTTGTGTGAATTGTGCGAATTTCGTGCAATTCCAACCGTGTTTATAATAACAATTTCACTATTTAACGCTAACTACACATACAGTTCCGATAAATGGTCATTGCCCATAATAATGTTCATAATTTCATTGTGGTATTGGTAGAAATATGTTCATATGAATATACGTTGTTTATTTTTCGGTAATATGTTCAAGTGCTTTGGCATCAAGTCTCGTCGATGAACAGCTCAGCACAGCACAGCACAGTGCTGAACTTCACCGACACCACACGGCACGACACTCACATGCAAAGCCATAGCGCAACGCATTATGTGATTGTCTAGATCAGAAGAGTTGGTTGCGTTGGAAGGGGATCAGTTAAAATGGAAAAAAAGATTATATATAAGAGAGGCGCATAACCTTTTTTGAATCTTTAGTAGGAAATCGACCATCGACTTCTTCAGATCAATTATTTTTATGAGGTCTGAGTTAAAATTTTCGTGTTAGAGTGAGTGGATGAGAGAGGTGAAAGGTGTTGAACAGAAGAAAAAGTTAAAAAAAAAGAAAATAGTAATTGAACAAAATGATCGTTAATTACTTTCGTGAAGTTTAATGCGCACACAGAAAAGCAAAAAGTTTTATTTATTCAAATCGTCGGTTAAGTGCAACATGAATTAACGGATAAACTCAATTTGAATTCAGAAACCGTTATACCAAGTATTTTATTCAGATCAAAAGAAAGAACAAAGTAAAAGGCAAACTTTTCGAATCACAATTTGAAAAAATCGATTTTATCGTCAATAATTTCGATTGACCGTCATTCAAAAGGCTTAAAACGAAAAAAAAAATTAGACAAAATGACGAAAACCGATCAAGTCACCACCATCACCCACTTGAAATTGGCTAAAAATGCCACAGTGAACATAGTGGATGCCGATTATGATCAGCAAAAATGCCAAATCGTACAAGAAGATCTGCAAAATAATAACGAAATCAAGTGTGGAGTTTTGTGCGATTACAAATATGAATCGGGTCAGCCGAAAACAGAGGAACAGTTAGCCAATGAGCCAGTTTTAACATTACCACCTAAGAAGACCAAATTTCTATGGATGGAATTTGATGCACCGCTCAAATGGGATAACATATCCGGAATCATTATCATACATGCTTTATTTATTTATTCGATGGTTTGTGGAGAGCCGTTACCAAAATTCTGGCAAACATATGCATGGGGTAAGTAATAGCTGTTTTTTTTTGTTTCGTTTACAAAATGAAAAAAGTGAAATTCATGCAAAATGATAACGTTTTTTCGCAAGGAATGTTTTTCATACCGTATAAAAATAGTAACTAGAGCGAAAGGACTGAAATGCTTAGTCGAAAAAGAGAGATGATTATTCAAAAAAAAAAAAAAAAAAACAACAATAAAATCCAAATCGCAACCAAATTTTAAACCGTATAATCACATTACCTATGCCAAATCTATGTAAATTTTGTGTTTCGGTCTTTCGGTCAAACTTGTTAGTTGCGATTCAGTTCGGTGTATTTGATTAGTACGTGGCTGGCCGAAATTCAAAATTATGCAATAACTGATAATTGCGTGGAATTGTGAAAATCCGACCGCAAATATGAAATGCGCGATCGATGCTCATCTGACATGAAAACAAACACACACATATGCAAACACCTCAACGTTAATATAAGATCGGAGAAAAGCGATACGTAACATGGTTTTTGTTAATTTTCGAATCGTTCACAATAATGGCCACATCATTCATATAAACACAACACTGTCTGCATAGACACACTGAATGCGAGAAAAATAAAATGCACGCATACATTAATGCCGTTCGTCGCTTTGTTACACACAAATTCTTCATTTTCGACATCACGTCCCATTAAAACCTAAAATATGGTTTTTGGGGTCTTTTTTTTACATCGTTTTGTTTTCTTTCTTCGTTTCTTTTCTGGTGTTGAAATAAGTGTTTTTTTTTTCTCTTGGGTTTTGTGTTGCAATTGATTGGGATACGAACAAAAGTAGTGGCAAGAGAAGAAAGACCACGAAACACCAACAGATAAGAGACAGCAAAAATTTTGTTTTGGACGGAAAAAGTAATTCGAAGAAAGTAATAGCGGCCAATAGCGGCAAAAAAGCGGTTAAGCTTGAACGCGACAGAGAAAGGAAGAAAACGATGGTTAATTGTTGCACAGCTAAATCTTTTTTTTTCGGCTATGTATGCATGAATGATTTCGCATAAACTTACGAATTGAGATGATGTTGCATGTTTTGGTCTACGCGCATGATAAATATATGTGAATTGATAATGACCGAATAATGAAGATGATGAAGAAGAAGAAGATGAATAAATATCGAAATTCACTCGGAGCCGTGATATTTGTGATGCAAGATAAACACTTTCTATTTATGCGTATTCAATTCAAATGGTAGACTCGACCAATATTTCTTTTTTTTTTTGGTATTGGATTTATACCGCAGTAATTTTGCTGGCCTAAAAAAATTCAAACTCAAACTGTCATGAGTGAATAATACATTGCTAGAAATATCTGTTCCGACTGTCTTCCGATGTGTGATTCATTGGAAACATTTAAAACAATGTCACATTCAACAATGGGAATTAATGTGGCATGAGTAAGTGAGCTTTAAAATCAAGTTGCACCCAGCTGGAGCGAAAAAGAAACATATTAAGTGCAAAACTGAGCGAAAGAAAAAGAAATCGAGAAAACCCATACCGAAACGAAAATTACGAAACAATTGACGAAATGGTTTCGAACTACTTAAATATGTGAATCCGATAAAATTCCCAAAACCAGTTTCATCAATGATTGGAATCTGTCTCTCTGTTGTTGTTGCTTTATTATGAAATCTATTGCAATCATTCACCGTAGTGTTTATACACAATGAATGGTATTTATATACCATTTAATAAATATTCCTCGGCAGTATCGGTGGATTTTGGAAAGAAAAAATAAGAAAATCATTAGCATCTTGCGCAATTTAACACGTGCTCCATACAACTCTTCTATTTACACCATATTTGGTTGGTTCAGAAGGATACGCATTTTAGTCATCTTTCTTGACACGCGCCCAAAAAATTGCGGAAAACATTTTAAAAGATATTTTTAGAAAATTGTCATCAGCCTCCGAAATGTTTGAATATAGCATAAAACCCATGATCTCCAGCTTATTGCCAAGCTTAACTTGCAATTATTATTTGCAAAATTTACAACCAATCAATTTTTTACCAAATCAGTAAAAGTTGACAAGTTGTTTTGACCTAATTCGAAACCGACCGGACACAGACATGTTTTCACCCTAAAGTTGCTGTGACTGTTTATGAAAGCCGTGTTCGTTCTAATCGCAACTTTATTTCCACGTCGTTGCCATTTTGATGATTTCTTTAAAATATCGTTTAAATATTTATTTCGGTTTTGTTTTATATAATTCACATAATATCAACTTTTTGCCGTTTCTTGCATACGAGAGATTTCGTTCATCTCGATTCATTGTGAATTATTCGCGTTACATAAACGCAGACCTCAAACCGTTATTCAAGTAATGAGAAATTTTGCGATTCGATAGGATTCGAATCAAAGCGGAAGCCATCGAATGCTGGTCTCAAGATTGTTTTTCGAGAAATAATTAGTAAAAAATAGGCAATTTAGTCATTATTTCGTTCTTTGATTTGTTCAACGAATGTCCCATTCGAGTTCAAGGTGTTTGATGGTCAATAGCTATGTCTTGTTTTTTTCTTCTCTCAATTGATCAACATGTTTTTGCCGAAGAAACTTGCGCAATTAACTCTGCTCACCGTTACACTTGGACTTTTTTTTATTGCTTGCGTATTTATCTCACTTTGTCACTGCGTAAATACCCAACTTATTAACTCCAAGTACACGGTATCGAGATAAACGATTCCCTTTAGTTTGTCTTTTTTGTATGCCCACATGGTGGGTTTTTTTTCGTCATTTGGATGATTTTGTCGCTCGCTTCCTTTCATGCACGACCAAGATGAATTTATCGAGAAGAGCGTTTGTTGTTTTCGCGAACGTTCATTTTGAAGACGCGAACGCGCAAAAACACATATACATCCAGGCATCAATATGTGTGTCAATCACCATCTATTCGAAAACATCTCATTGGGCCCGAATAAGTGAGGGGTAATGTAAAAACTGGCAATTATTGAAGCACGGTGTCATTTTTGTTTTGACTCACTGGGCTTCCGAAAAGCTTTTCAAATTCCATCTTATATACAACCCGTCGCAAATTCAATATTGTTTTTACTGTAACCAAGGTTAAGTCATTGGATATATGCGTTCGCCAAATAATACAATTATGAGATGCGCAGAATGTTGCTGTGAATGTGTATTGATGCGGTGTTGCTAAGAGAAATGTAAACACATTGAAAAGCAAAAGAATCTTTTGATCAAATATGACAAACCAACAACAATGATAATCAATTCGTCATATCATATTTTTACATTGATAAATTTACAATAATTCGCCCGTATTTATTCATTTTAAGTGAAAAAATGACTTTGATCGAAATGATTTGTTGTAATCAATTCAACACAATTAAAAATCGACTATCATTAGCACATTCGCAAAAGGGGAATCGAACATCTCGTTCAGTTTATTTGTTCAATTAGCATCAAATCACGGTGCTGGGATTTTTTTTTCTTTTTCTTCCTCTTCTTTTTCCACATATCTTTTGAACGATTTCATTTATGGTTGCCAAAATTTATGGGATCGACATATAGGATGAGATATCATTAAAAGCGATAGGTAATTTACCAAATTTGGTCAAAAATGTTGTTAAATGCCGATATGAAGATGAACCAATGCATGCGCGCCACACACTGTTAACAATACGATTTTGGGCCGAAGCATATAAATACACATGTATGTGTGAGTGTGAGTGATGAAGCGAATGGCACAGAAACAGGGAAAATTTCAAATAAAATGAGCACGCACCCAATTGATGGATATCAAAAACTATTTCTTGCTATTGCCTTTTTTCAATCAAGGTTAACATACCAATTTTGTAGTTGACCATAATTTGGGCCCCCGTTAAAAAAAAACTTAAATAAATTGTATTTTGTTTTTTTTGTTTTTTTGTTTTTTGCGCAGTGTGTGTGACATGGCCAAATAATGTGGCTCGATTGGAACATCGTTTGGGTCATTTTATTAGTTGCTGTGTTAACATTTTCTTCTTTCGTTCATCATTATCAACCAGGACATATTTTTAAAAATGAAATGCGTTTGTTTGGTTTTCGTAGTTGATATTTTTCATTCAGCACATTCAGTTGCACAATAATTCAACACAATTTCTACTACTTTTTATATGGACGATGGTTTATGTTATTACAAGTTTGTCGTTCATTTGTGTTATGCTTACATTTCATTTGGTTTATTGTCGCTTCGCGATTGTCAATTCTTATGCCGTAATAACAACCAAATAACATGTGAACTTGGCCGCGATTTGAGCAATATTACACTTTTATACGGTCAACTTGACCAGAGCGAAAAATAAACGACGTAGCACCAATGCTAAAATAATGGTTGGAGAAGTTGTTTTGCTATTTTTTTTTCCTTTCTGCGTATATCTTCAGCTTTATAATTTGCCCATCTAGTTATGTTCAACCATTAATTGGACTTTTTTCGGGTGTACAGGTTTTTTTATAGGTGGAATTAGTGGATTTGGTGTGACCGGCGGAGCACACCGATTTTGGACACATCGTTCGTATAAAGCAACAACACCATTGCGTATCATTTTAATGTTGTGCTTTACCGTATCCGGTCAAAATTCAATCTATGAATGGGTTCGAGATCATCGTGTGCATCACAAATTCTCAGAAACCGATGCCGATCCGCACAATTCGAACCGTGGCTTCTTTTTCGCACACGTTGGCTGGCTGATGATGCACAAGCATCCAGAGGTGGTTCGTAAAGGAAGAATGTTAGATTTGAGTGACATTATGGAAGATCCAGTCGTCCGATTCCATCAAAAGTAATTGTCCGAAAAAAAAAAAATGATTAACGCCAATTATGGCACTATGATTCAATGACTAATTTTATCTAATATTATTTCTCTGTTTTTGTTTCGGTTTCCATTCAATGTCAAATTAGATGGTTTATTCCCATGAAGTTGTTGCTTTGCTTTATTTTGCCTGTTGTGATTCCGGTTTATTGGTGGGGAGAAAGCCTTTTCTGGGCATTCTTCTCACAAATTGTGATTCGGTACACCCTTTCGTTGAACTTCACATGGCTTGTGAACAGTGCTGCTCATATGTAAGTGTCATTTTACCATGATTTACCTTCAATATATTATCTGTTCAATGCTTATTGATTGGATCTTGAAAAAAAAAACCGAATCGATTATTTTTCATATAGGTGGGGTACACGTCCATACGATAAAAAAATCAACCCAGTTGAAAATATTGCCGTATCAATTGCTGCTATGGGTGAAGGATGGCAGTGAGTTGACTTGAGTTTTAAAACTTGCTGTATGAGTTGAAATAATTTTTTCTTCACATTTTTTGTTTCAATCCATCAGCAACTATCATCACGTATTCCCATGGGACTATAAGGCCGCCGAACTGGCACATCGTATCAATATTACCACATTTTGGATTCAATTATTTGCTCGAATTGGCTGGGCCTACGATCTCAAGGAACCATCAGCTGAATTAGTTCGAAAAACCATCCAAAAATGCGGTAAGTACTCTGTTCACCGCAAACGCACATTTAAATTCATTGCACCAATTAGTTTTGATAAAACTAAAACGATCAAATCAATCTCAAAATCAGGTGATGGAACGCATCCAATATTCGGTCACCATATGAGCGAGGTGCCACCACCTGACGATATGATGGAGTCAAATGATCACTTGAAATCATCATAGGCATGCCGACGACAAACACAAAGTGCATATATTTACAATTCGAAATAAATATTTTTATAAATCTAGATAATCTTCCTGCGCCTTGCGCGTTTCCATTTTACGAAACTTCGGAAATTATAAAATGATGGCAAATTTTTTTTATTTAAGAAAAAAAGAAGAAATTTGTTTGTGATGACACATAGCATACAAACAAACATGGAACATATTAAAGTAGTATTTACAAAAAAAAAAAAAAAAAAAAAAACGTAACGATGTATTTATGGAACCAGCATAGTTTCTTTTATATTTGCACGACCTTTTTTTTCTTTGGTACCATCACGGAATTAAGGTGTTAATTCAAAATATTCAAGCAAAATATAAATATTACTAATAATATAAACACGAATTCGTTTTTCAAAGCTGAGCAAAAAAAAAGAGAAGAAGAAGCACAATTGGAAACTTTTTTTTGTAAACGATATGTGTGCAACAACCAACAAACCAGCTGACAATGACGACAACAATGAAGTAATTATAAATCAATTAATTTTGTGGAACGAAAGAAAGAAAAAGAAATCGTACACATTTCACAAAAGACCTTTAATATTTTAGATAAGTTTAGGTAATTATGAATGATTGAATCCTCATCGTAATTTGTAACACAAAAATATATGTTATGGCAAATTGAATTGTGAGGCGATTAATACAAATTTTAATAAAATTTGAAAATTAGTTTGCTAAAAATAATTTTCGAAAGTTTTTCTTCTTTCATTTTCTTCATTATCATCATCACATCGATTTCATCAATCACAATTTATTAAGGCCATACACAAAAGATGACCGTTATTTGAAGTTCTATTGTTGGTAAAAAGCATGCTTCAAGCAATGAATACACAATTCATAATCACACTTAGCATAAAAGGGGCATTCTTCGGGAGTCATGCAAAAAGTAATTAACAATAATCGAATCTATAGCATCGTGGCCAATGTTTGAGAATCGTACAATAGCCAATACTTGGCATTTAATTTAAATGGAAATTTGCTTTCTCTTTTTTTCGTGTAAATGCTGTTTCTTTTTCGGTGGGTTATTGGCTCACTTAAATTTTGTATTTTTTTTTCTTTCGAAATGGAAAGTTCGAAGTGAACCGCATAGACTTTACTTTGGCATGATTGACAATTTTTTTTTTTTTTTCCTTCTGGTCGAATCAATACGTGTATGTATGTGCGCACACACACGTGTGTCACTTACATAACTGTCCGAAATAACCAAAACCGGTTCGATTAACACTTGCCGCCCAAAATGTATTTTTCGTCTGACTTTGCACCTTTCTTCCATTCATTTTCGAACTTTCTCGAACCCGTTGTGATCAAAGTACCACAATGTGTGAGCATGTTTTGTGTTCAATACTGCAAACAATAATCGATTCGAGCAGCTTTCCAATGATCGGATGACTCAGAAACAATTGGCCGCATCAGAAAAAAACAAACTTTCAAAGTTTTTGGTCGAAGCTTTTCAAGCACAAAGCTTCGCAGTGGCTCCACTCAATTTCAACAATCGCAATCAACACACTCGGTGATAAAGTGAAATGCGATTGAATGTTTTTTTTTTGTCCCCGTACATCGTACGACGCACACGTGTTTTAACGAGCGAATCATCACACGTAATGCTGTTTCTTGAAGGGAAAAATTTCAAAAGAAACCGAGCCCCGATAAGAAATGGAAATGAATATAAACAAAAAAATTGGTAAAAGTGAAATGGAAAAATAATGCGAAAATGATGATTCTGTTTGTTGTTTTGAATTTATTTATTTTATTGTATTTTTTTTAATTTTTAGACATTTTTGAAAACGAGCACCGGTAAATTCCAGTAAATTCGATGAAATTCAATTTATGCTTCTATTTCAATCCTGCTGTTGCGATCGGCCGTTGTATGTGAATTCATTGGATTTCCTTCCAAAAATTTCATGGACAAAAACGAGAAGGACTTTTTTCTCCTAAAGAACCTTTGCTAAGTTCTGACACGAGAAACCAAGATAGAAGGGCACACACGCATTGATTTGGCAATGCTATCACTTTAATATTCTAAAATACTAAAAATGTCTTCTTGTTTTTTGTTGCAACATATGCATAATCAGATTGTTCATCTTTAACACGCTTTAAAAGATGTAAATAAATGAGAAAAAAAATTCAATTTCTTCTCCCCGAAATAAAGGCTGGATTTGCGCAATTCGAAAAAATAATCGGCAATATGATTTGCAAATCGTCGTCGTCATCAATCAGTCAGAAAAAACATGTCCAAATTTTTTTTTTTTGACCAAGCTGAAGGTGAATGTGAATAGAATACGAGCTGTGATATTGATGTGTTCACATTTTTATTGAATGACTTATACGTGTACTTTATAAAACTGTTCAATCAATTCATTATCAATTAGAAGGCATTGTTAGGACAAACACCCTAAGCATCAAATAATTTAGAAATAGAAAATATACAAATCGCAAATAGTTGTCATTAGTTTGATGAATAATTTCAACATGATTTCTCGTAATGTCGACTCATACAATAAAAGAAAAATTAAAGAAAAACAACGAAAGGCACATACAAAAAAAGCATAGCATGAAACTAATAATCGACACATGTAACTTATTTGCGTATGATTTGAAGGAAATTCGAATGAACTCTCCTTATCTGAATTGTCGTGTATAACTTGAGGTGGTTTCAACGTACGTACTTTGGCGAACATGCATATGTGTTTGCTGTCCTTTTCCTTTGTCCGTTAAAGCATGGAGTACGTGCACATTCTTAGCGCCTCAGCTATATAAAATCAAATGCTGCCTCAGCTTAGCAGTTATTACTTAGGTATCACTTGAGGTGGTTTCATCTGATTCTTAGTTTGTTCTGTTGAACACATTTAACAGTGGAAAGAAACAGTTCTCAACAATTGAAGAAAAGAAGAAAAAAAAAAACAGTTGAATTTGAAAACAGTTCGAATTGATCTAGTGCAACCGAAAGAATACGGTGCCATCCGTTTTTGTGTGTGGAATTAGTGGAATAATTGTGGATTTACATCGCATTTCGTAAGTAAAAATGCAGTTTTGTTTTGTTTTGTTTTCTCTCTTTTGAAAATACATTCAAGTTTATATTACATTTAAATTGGTTGAAAGCGAATACGGTAACTTTTTGAACTTCCGAATAAATGAGATTCAGAATAGTGTTTTTGAAGTAATTAGCATTGTTGACCCGTTGGGCGATTCCACTTAATGACCAAGAAGTGTTGATTGTTCAACGGAAAGAATAGCAAAACAGTAGGCATTTGGAACAGTGTGACAGTGACCAAAAAAAATGAATTGGAACATTTAGCTTGATTTTTTGTTTTGCGGCTTCCAATAAATTTCCAAATAAATATTTGCGAAACAATCCATCCTACATTCTCTGCGATGAACATAGTAAATTAGTTTGCGATTTCATATAATGAGCGTGTAATTTGTTAATCTCACTGGCGAAAAAAGAAGACTATTTTCATTCATTTCGTTTAGTTCCATGCATTGCGCTTCAATGCTATTGTACTTAACGACTTTATTCCCGCGCAATTCGATTTCATAACATCGCAGAAATCGGTTGCTACTACGCATAAGCTACGGTTGCGTGCGTGTTTTTGTTTTGTTTTTTTCCGCGATGTAAAGTGCAGAAAATCGAAAGCACTTTCCCATCATCTGCTTCATGATATACTTTCCGCAGTTGCACATCGTGCGATTGATACACATTCAACGGGCTAATGAAATTTAATATAACACGGCTTTGTGATTGAGACAGCTATGATGCCAATATTGTTAGCTAAGCAAGCCTACACACTCTAGCAAACAAAGACAAGTGCATGCAAACTTTGCGAATTTCTTTGCTTCGCTCTATGTGGATGATAAACAAAAGAGAATTCAAAACGCGTGATCATCATATCGATGTGTTGGACTATCATGACCACCACGTTGGCATGCGTGGCATCTATCTATTTACATACACGTATATATGCAAAGAATCTGTGATTGCTGTCACACATTTCATACTCTTTCACTCAACGATGACCTCAAAATTTCCAAAAATATCGATCCAAAAATAAAGATCCGACCATTTCGATTGCGATCTTTGAGAGAAATGCTGTTGGAAAAGTATAAGTACAAAGGCATTTAATGAAATAACATGCACTACAAACCGCAATTAGCCATAAAATTGTTTTCTACAGATAATTCTTTTGTTCATATTTCGCACGAAAAACACTCAACCTTCTTAAGACCCAACATAAAACTAAAAAAATGCAATTGACAGGCTAGATAAACAAACAATCAAATGAAAAAAAAAAAAGAAATAGCATTGTCACGTAATGAAATCGAGAGCCCATTAAAGAGTGTGCAAATCATGAAGTCAATAAAACAAAATGACACAAAGTATAATGAAAAAAAAAACATTTAAAAATCCGCGAGAAACGAAAGAAAAAATCCATTGAATGCTCGTTTGCATCTCTAGTATTATTATTATATTGGTGAGTGATTGATGTATGGACATATGAAATCATTCATGATGGAATTATGTGTGATCACAAAATTGTCCATGTTCTATCACACTTGCGACGAAAAAAAAATCGCCACTCACAGCTGTTTAGAAGGAAAATGCCAGAGAAATTTCGTTTACGTTCACCCTTTTGTCACGATCCTAGTTGAAATCGCTGTTTTCACAAGCTGATAATTATCGTAACGTAGCTTCGTCATTAATCTGATGAATATGATATATACATATATATGCCTATCAAATTTGAAGTATATGTGAAAATAATTACGCACATGGCAAACCGATAAACTTTATGATGCTCAATCAGATGTTTGACGAATCATTCGGAAACGACGAAAACAAATCAATTCAATCAGTGCACTTATGGCATAATAGGCGCATTATCTTTGTTTTTTATTACGTACACAATCAGTCTCAGTACTTTTTCTCTCCGTGTGTGACATTCAGTACGGTTAAACGGTGAACAACACGTGATTTTAAAGTGAGATAGAATATCATACGATTCTCTTGTGTGCTCCGTTCTTTTTTGTACGCTGTTGCTGCTGTAGCCGTTGTTGTTGTTGTTGTTGTTGGTTCAGCTGATTGGGATGCGTATCGCCTTGCGAAATTCGTTCGGGCGCACAATTTGTATATGTATTTCTCCTATCACCACGTAATGGTCGTAGTTTGTGTGTTTCGTTGTTATGCTTTTGGTACTACTAAATGTTATTCTACGTAAATACACAGTATCCATATGTATATACGTATTCGCTAAACGCAGTGCCTAACACGTAGTATGCACGGGTGCACGAATTTCGCACGAGCACAGCATTTGTGACGATGACGACGACGACGACGACGACGACGACGACGACGACCAAGCAGGCACCCGAATGATTCACATCAGATCATAATATCGTATGATTTTCAAACGAGAAACCGTTCGGGTCGTAACAAAGCTTGGATGAAATTCAAACGTGTTGCGCTTCAGCACTTGTTCACTGTTACACGAACTGATCTCTGCGTTAGAAGAAGTACGGAGAATTTCTGTTGCGTTTTTTTTTTACTAATCTCTCTGAGAGAAAAGGCTTGAGACAAAGGGAGGAAAATAAATTAAATCGATTGTGGTTTGATTTCATTTTTTCATTGCAATCAAATAACAATAATTTATCGATTTGATTTCTGCCGTTGTTAGTATGAATAGAATAGTTCTTATCGCTTAAATTGCTTTCTAAGTAAACAAAATTGTCAGAAAAAAAAACCGGTGGTTTGAACAACATGTGCCCAGTACATGCTCGATTAACTTAATGATTCGTGTTTTGTATGTGTTTTTATGTGTGTGTGTGTGTATGGCTATTTTTCCTAATCATAAATTCATTTGAAGTAATCATTCATAAATCATTTGTGATTTGGCAAATTTCAACGTGATTAATTTATTGAACTGTACATTTAAAAAAGAACGCAAACCATAAAATTGCTGAAGGAAAAAGAAACGAAAAACAACTAAATAAATAGCCGGCTGTTAAACGGCGTTTTAACAATGTCGACAATCATATGCGGCTAATAAGACTCAAACACGGATTATTTTGAAAACAAGTAAAATTATTATGTAAGTTTTACCTGACCTATCCCGTATCATACCACTGAGTCGTGACATTGAGGCACCTTCAAGTAATTGGCAATTCATCTCAGATGAAATTGAAATATTCGTGTTTGCACATTAGCCGGCCGTTTATTTGAATGGAGTAATCATTTCTTTTCTCTAATTGACGTGTTTCAAAATATTTTTGAGCTGCTCTTCCACGCAAATCACACACATACACAAAGCGCACACAGAACGATTCATATTTTATTTTGTTAATTTGATGTTTATTCTACGGTTTTACTAAAGTTTGGATTTCGATTTATTTACAGAAATCGATCAAAATGCCACCAAATGCAACATCAAATGTTATGGTCGAATGCACCGGCGTTCTGAATGAATGCGATGCTGAGACTATCGACGGAGGATTAGATAAAAACATTGTTGAATTGAAACATGCAAACGATCGCAAACTGAAATTGGTATGGAAGAATATCCTTATCTTTGGATATGTGCATCTTGCCGCGCTTTATGGAGCATGGCTTATGTTGTCATCGGCTAGGATCTACACAGCAATTTTCGGTATGTATTTCAGAGTTGATTTTATTGAACCAATACAAAAGGGATACTTATGAAAAACACTATTTGTAGCATTTGTATTATACATTGCATCTGGTCTTGGAATCACCGGCGGCGCACATCGTCTTTGGGCCCATCGTTCGTATAAAGCGAAACTTCCATTGAGAATACTGTTGACGATATTTAACACAATGGCGTTTCAAGATTGTGCCATTCACTGGGCTCGTGATCATCGTGTCCATCACAAATACTCTGAAACCGATGCTGATCCACATAATGCAACTCGGTATGTAACGTTTATTCATCGTCATCGAATGAATGAAATACAAGTCTATGATTCATAATAATTCATTATTTTATTTAATTGCAGTGGCTTCTTTTTCGCCCATGTTGGATGGTTGCTGTGCAGAAAGCACCCAGAAGTGATTGCAAAAGGCAAAGGTATCGACTTGTCCGACCTTGAAAATGACCCAGTATTGGCCTTCCAAAAAAAGTAAGTCACACATTTTAACGATAAAAATTGAAAGAAATTGAGATGAAAACAAGACCGCGTTCTTGAGTTTTTAGTTATTTAATCTATTTTGTTGTTTCACAACAAACTATTTTTTGGCGCACTACATGAAATTTATTTCATCAAAGTAACTTTGAAGTAATATATTTATTTGCAAAATGAATTACAAGACCTTGGTTTTATTTATTTTTTGAAATATACTGCCCTTGGTTTAATTTAAATAAATAATATGAGCTTAGAATCTAAAATCACTTCAATTCTGTCCAAGACTCAGAAAATATTATACGAAAAATTAATGTAATTTTTAAACAACATTTGATAGTAAAAATTTGATTGGCGCTTCGAGATATTGTGCACTTATTTGTCGTTAGTGCACCTGTTTTAAATTAAATAAAAAATATGAACATAAAATTCAAATTCACCATAGTTTGTTTCATCACTCAAAAAGTATTAAGAAAAAAAAAAGAAGCAGATTAGTAGCTCTACATTTCATGTAGTGCTAAAAAACAAGCCTTCGACATTGTCCAAGTACGCACGGTCATTAATTATCTTTGCCGCGTATATTTTATGTCGATGACATTGCAGTAATATCTAATTAGTGAAAGAAAAATAACAATAAATTATTCTGCTTTTTTTCCTCGGTAGATACTACTTGATTTTGATGCCACTCACTTGCTTCATTTTGCCAACATTGATCCCTGTATACTTCTGGGGTGAAACACTAGAAAATGCTTGGTTTGTTGCCACCATGTTCCGTTGGACTTTCGTTTTGAACGTGACCTGGCTTGTAAACAGCGCCGCTCACATCTACGGTGACCATCCATATGATAAGTATGTATTTAGTATGCAAAAATTCTATTGAAATTGTCATGTTATCATTTATTTTATTTTTTGTGTGAATCATGCTAAAACGAATTATCATGTATTTTGCAGATACATCAACCCGTCCGAAAACAAGTCGGTTGCCGTGTTTGCATTTGGTGAAGGTTGGCATAATTATCATCACGTATTTCCATGGGATTACAAAACCGCCGAACTTGGAAACTATCGTGCAAACTTTACCACACTCTTCATTGACACCATGGCAAAGATTGGATGGGCCTATGACTTGAAAACCGTTGCTCCGGAAACAATAAAAAAACGCGTCGAACGAACTGGCGATGGAACACATCACACATGGGGCTGGGGTGATAAAGATCAAACACCCCTAGAACGTGATGAAGCCCTGATCACACATCAAAAAGACAATTAAATGCCTCAAATTACACACTATTATATCATATCCATTTCTACTGTTTTTCGGCTAGGTTTAAATTTACAAACAGAAAAAAGTGTGTTTTTTTCTTCAAATCCTTTTATAACGATGATTCGATCGTTTGCTCGATCTTATTTCCATTTTTGAACACTTTTCTTGCGTGTATATTTCCAAGATCTTAATTAATTTATTTAATTGCAACTTTTTTCATTTCTGGACTGTAGCTATACTATTTTAAGTTAGAGAAATGTATCAAGAATAAACGAAACAAAAAATGAAAAAAATGAACAAAAAAATTGAAATGCAGGGTTCAAAATGTTAAACTGCAATGATTCAATTCACATTTACCAAGCTTGCTTTTTGGTATATAATAATATAAAACAAATAAACGATACATTTGTAGTAATCAATTGTGTGGTTTTTTTATGTTAATTTTTTGTTTTCGTTTTCGTTTTTTTCGCATACTTTTTCCCATGTTCGATTGATTTAAATTCGATGTCATTTCTGACCATTCCTGATGATTACAAGTTGTAGTCTATAACGGAATTCAATCTACTGTTTATATGATTCAACTCTGAATGAAACAAGAAAGACATAATTAAACCGAAATTCAACATTCATTCATTCAACAAAAATATTTTTTTTAATTTCACAAATCAAGCGGACTGATATTCTCAATTCGGGAACATTGTATCAATTTATTGTTCTTCAGGAGATGATTTGAAATAAAAAATGTCTCACTTCTTTCATCAAAATGCATTTTAACCCCCTATTGGTGGCGATTGAAATCTCAGTTTTGGTTTAAACTTCGATCTGTCACATTCAAATGAGATGACATCGTCCACTACACACACGCAAACCGTTCGCTAAACACAAATATTGCAACTATCGCATTGTAACACCATCGAACCGCGAAAAGACGGCGTCATATTTCGTATCGAACCAACTTGGAATTTCTCCACTATTTTCGTGAAACGTTTAGCCTTTAAAGTGTTACGGGCTCCAATTACTGGTGAGATTTTTCTTAAATGGATTAATTTTTTCCACGAAGAAACATTTATTGTGTATTTGTGCAATTTAAAACCGTCTAAACCGTTTTTGATAAACTACAGAGAAAAATCCCAAACAAATTCAAAATGGATGATGAAGGGGAGCCGAGCAACTCCCACTATTGAAAGTACTGGAGATCCATTGGCCGTTTCAACAACTGGCTATAACGCAACTGTTGTTGAAACGGCCAATGGATCTCCAGTACTTTCAGTATACGACATGCGTTGAATCCAACAGCTCGGCCAATAATATAAGCGGTAACAGTGATAACAACGATAACAGCTTGAGTTCACCATCATTGACAAATACAAAGGTGGCCAATCCGACTATTGAAAGTACTGGAGATCCATTGGCCGTTTCAACAACTGGCTATAGCGCAACTGGAACGATTGTATCGAATAGTGGTTCGACATCGGTTGGAAACACCAGCTCAACGAATAATGCCAGTTCGGCCACGTTCAATTATATTTAGCTGATCTATAAAATGTTCATTTGTGCCAAATGTCAATTTCGACAGAATTCTTTATTCGCAAATTCGAATGATGAAGTTTAATGAAGTCCGTTAAGCTGATGACTCATCTGAATTTTTATTGGGGCAGGCTACTGTATATGTATTATAATTTTAATGATAAAATCATTACTGGACATTAAATTCTTGAAAATTTCTCTCACACCACTCTGAAATCGTTTGCTTTGAAAATCATTTCTTCAAAGACATTGGTCTGGAATTGGTACAAGGATTTACGCTTGAAAAAAAAACCGACAGGTATCCTGACCCACCCGGTACAATTTAAAACAAATAAACGATAGATTTGTAACAATCGATTGTCTGGTTTTTCCCTTTTTCTTATATTTTATTTGCATCATTTTGTTTCCGTTTATTTTTTGCATAATTTTTCTCATATTCGATTTCTTTCAGTTCCCATTCGGGCATATTGTTCAGCTTTAAGATTCGGGCTGATTTAAGTGAATCTTCGTTAAGACTAATGTTTGATTTGAAGTCATTTAAAATCGATGGCCATTTATCTTTGTCAAATTGTGACCCATGCAAAACACTCAAATCATGCTGTAACGACGATTGGGGCAATGAAGACAAAAACACGGCAGTTTTTATTGCGGAGCCGAGTGCTGAAAATTAAAGAGAATAAAATTCGTTCAGTGTCAATACGATTGTTGAAATGTGAAAGGAAAATAGTTAAAATTCGAAATTCGAAATTCCAATGTACCAGTTCCATCTTGGACGACAGCGTTGACAATCCCCAAATCGACAGCTTCTTGAGAACTGATCTGACGGTCCATCACAAGGAATTCGGTGGCTTTTGATAATCCAATCAATTTGGCCAGCCGTTTTGGCCCATCATTCAAAAGCGGTATACCCAACTGACGATTACTGAAACCAAAGAAAGCCTTTTCTTCCGCATACCTCATGTCACACATCAACGCTATTTCAAAACCAATTGATTTACATAGACCGCTGATGCTACACAGCATGGGCTTGCTAGTTTTACGTTGAAATGGAAACTATTGAAAAATATGATGAGAAAGATAAACAGTTAGGTGCACTGAAATACCAACAAAATGTGCTCGCAACCATACAAAAAGGCTATTTTGAACGGAATTTATGTCATGTTCACTTCTCTGCTTCAATTCATCAACATCGTATCCAGCTGAAAAATTACCACCGATGCCATTTATAACAGCAACCGAAGCACTATTGTCCTCTTCGAATTGTGTCAACTGTGACGCAAGCTCGTGCAGCAGCGATTCATTCAATGCATTCTGTTTGTCGGGTCGATTTATCGATAGGATAGTAACTGCTTTGAATCTCTCCGCAACAACTATGTTTGCCGTTTGCTTGGCTGAAAATCGTATCAAAATCGAAACTTAGCATATTTTCCGGCACGGACGAACACTGAATATCTACCATCGGCTTTTCGGTGCAATGATGATGTCATGAATGGCCTTAAATGTGTTAAAATACCGTGTAGTTTTCGCATTTTTTATACGAATTCTGTATACAACTGCACACATCAAAGAGGTTATGACTGCTTTTTTTTTTAATGCTAGTTCAAAAGGATAGTAAATCAATTTGACATTTCAACATTGTGCGAATCGGATGAAGTTGGCTGCAAATGTGGCATTTGAATATTTTATAACTCACTACAGCCGTTACAAATACAATTGCAATGATAATTTACTTTCTCTGTGTGTTTCGAGTTTAAATTTGAAAAAAAAAAAAATGCAATTACAAATTGATTCAATTTTTCACCTTCAAAAAAGAAAATTGATCAATAATTTCATATGAGAATAAATACCACAAAATATATATTAGGTCAATTCGAAAGTTTCCGCCGCTGACATTTAAATGTCGCCACTTGTAACTGAGCGTAGCTTGACAAGTGAATCCAATTGCATTTTGTAGATGTGACATTAAGCAATCTAACTCAGAGCAGAAAGATTCATTTTTCGTTCTGCGTCATTGTTTTTGAATCGATTGAAAATGGATCGTGATAAGGTGTTTTTTCGAGGGGCCCTTCTTTTCTTATTTGATTCGAAGAAAACTGCCGCTGAAGCTCATCGAATGCTGTCAGATACTTATGGCGAGCAAGCTCCATCGGAACGAAGCTGCAGAGAATGGTTTCATCGATTCAAAAGTGGTGATTTTGACTTGAAAGACAAAGAACGTTCAGGTCGGCCAGAAGCGATTGAAGATGTCGATTTGCAAGCATTGCCTAAAAAATCTTGAAAAATGTCTGAGACAATGAAGAGAAACTCGGGACAATAGCACCAACATTCTATGTTGAGCTAAATATCGAAAATAAATAACAAAGAATGTGATTTTATTGTAAGCCAATAAAGGAAGTTGACTTTCATTTTAATTTTTTTTTAATTACATCATCAAAATAAAATATAAATTACAAAAGCTCTAATTTACTGTTTTCGTGCAGAATTTTATTTTGTTTTTTGTCTAAATAAATGTTTTCTCAATTGTTCATTGGGTATGTTGTGACTGGCAGTCATTGTTGTCTGTATGTTGGTTGGAATTGTTGGGCCCATTTTCATTTTTAACAATTTATTTTGTCAAAAGTGTAGGCTAACTTGTTTTTTTTTATTGTTTGTTGAGAAATTGAAGAAAAAAAAATTGTTTGAAACGAAAAACGATGAGAAAACCAATGGAATAAGAATATATGATTTTAATGATTTTAATTTGAAAATACAATATCGAGTGTTCACTTGGTTTTTTTTGAAAATGCAATATTTCTTTGCCCTTTTGAAAATGTTATATTTCCGAGTGCCTAATAGGTTATATGACCTAAATCAAAGTTGTTTTCCATTTCACATGTTCATGTTGACGTTAATTTTTTTCCCTACAATTTCAATTAAAAAGAAGAAAATTCAAACGAAATAGAAAAAAAAAAAAATTGTTAGAAAATATACCTGTGAATACATTTTTTATAAACAGTTTTTCTTTGTTTTTATGGGAAAGAATTTAAATCAATCTATAATAATTTAATGTATGCGAAGGATTTAATGTTTTGTCTCCATTTGATTTTCGTTATGGATCGTACTTGATGAACAGTTATAGTTATACAAGTATACAATTTACGACTTTTTTCATTTCATTACCTTCATATGTGTGTGTGTGTTTGTTTTCTTTTATTTACATTTACATGGTTTCTTTTGAGATTTTTTTTTTCCTTACGAACGTTTGACGTACACAGTTCATGTTATTTTTTCCTCTCGACAAAACTTTTCTAACAAACTTTCGAATTAAAAAACAATCGTCATCGTTCAGCTTAAACCACTAAATTAAAGAAAGAATGAAATTATTAGCTATAATCATAATATTATAACAATAGTCATATTAGTTAGAAGAGAGAAAAAATGAAAACAATTTGGTAAAATCAATAAATTCGGCACACTTAAAATGCTTACATGACCTTGCTTTGTTACGTCAATGTTCTATAGAACTAGGTAAGAAGGAATTGAAAAAAAAAATAACTTGATGATAATCTAAAAGAAAATGTGAAAGGAAAATGAATGCATGTGTAATTTCTGTGATAGACAGATAGAGAAAGAGAGAGAGAGAGAGGGAAAGAGAGAGAGAAACACTTAACGTCAATGGTGTTTTTCAATTTAATTAAAAATCCTTCGGTGAACTTAGTTTGTATATGATTGATAAACGGGCATGAGAAGATTTTTTAAAAATTGTTTTCTTTTTCTGTTAAATTATTTTTATTGATAGATGGGAATTCTATCGATCTTTTGGTGAAAAATTTCTCTCATTCAGTATTTTCGACAAAAAATAAAAATAAAAAAAAGAAATAAATCATTTCTTGTAAACGAACAAAGAAAACAGAAAATGGTAAAAGAACGCAGTTTTTAATTCAATGACTTTATTCTTCAATTTTATTGTTGTTGTTTTTTGTTATTGATGCAATTGCTATACTTTAGCATAGGTTTGTATCGCGTACTCATTTGATGTTTTTCTTTTCCTTCTCAAATCGATTTATAGTTATATCATGTTTCGTTATAATTATCATTAATAGTTATTGTTCATTCTCATCTTTCTTTAGGTTTTTTTTTTTTTCGTATTGAATATCTGGAATTGGTGCCCAATATTTGGAAAGCCATAAGAAATTCATGTGATTTGTTTGTTGTTGTTGATGTTGATGTTGCAACTTTTTTTCTCTGTTTTTGTATGTCGATTTATAATTTATTCGTTTCGGATAAACAATTTGTGATTCCACTTATGAGGTTAGTCGACTGATGAACGATTTTTCTTTGTTAAAATGATAAAAATCGAATTTGTTGCTTGACATTTGCAAATGTTCGGTAAATGCGTATAAAGTGTATGGATGGTCTAGTTTCTTGAATGCGATTCGATCTTGGTTAATATTATTGTTTACTTGTTTTTGTTTTGTGTGGTATGTACGAGGAATATACCGATTTAAAAATAAAAAAAAAGATCGAGACGAGTACTGTGCTCCCACAGAAATGCAAATCTTTTATTTGTGTAACTTTCAAAGAAAACAAAGATTGGGCACATTTAATAATTACTTATTTCCAGAGGAAAAATCGCGTTTATTTTTTCAATTAATGGGAGCAGAATTCTCGTCTCTCGTATTTTTCATTTCTTTTTGTTACTGAATAGTTCGATTTTTTGATGATAGTTGCTATCTTAAATTTCTTTTGTTTTATTATTTTATTTTTTTCAATTTCTATTTTGTTGTTTCGCCATTTTTTCTTCTTCAATCACTCGACTCTCTGTTTGCTCCTCTTAAAACTTCATCAATTTCCCTTTATTAGTTTTTATTTAATTTTTGTTTTTTGTATTTTTTTTCCTTTTTATCATTAATAAAAATATTGAAAACTTTAATATTATTATTGATCGGGTGCTTTTGCTGTTGAATTTGAAGAGGCGATTGCACCGTTTACGACTGGCGTAAAGTATGGATGATCCATGGCTTCACGAGCTGTTAAGCGTTCGTAATGATCATAACGTAACAGTTTGTCAAGAAAGTCTAGCGCTTCTGGTGACACCAAATGCTGGTTGTCCGAGTGAACGAATCGTTCCCATCGCTTGCGTGAATGTCGTGACAAAATATCGTTGAAACGTGGATCCAGGTCTATGTTATACTTATCCAGGTATGCATAAAGCTCCTCAGTGCCTAATACCTTAGCAATTCGCACCAACTGGTCGTAGTTGTCATGTCCGTGGAAAAATGGCTCTTTGCGGAATATCATTGATGCTAGCATACAGCCCAGCGACCACATATCCAACGAATAGTCATACATTTGATAATCAACTAATAGTTCGGGACCTTTGAAGTATCGGCTGGCCACGCGCACATTGTACTCTTGACCGGGATGATAGAATTCAGCCAAACCCCAATCGATGAGACGCAGTTTTCGGTTCTCGTGATCGATCATGACGTTGTGTGGCTTCACGTCGCGATGCATAATGCCCATACTGTGACAGAAATCGAGCGCCTTCAGCAGCTCGTACAAATAGAATCGAATATCATAATCCGTTAGTGTTTGATACAGTTGTTTGAAATCGGTGTTGTTAACATGCTCAAAGATTAGAGCTGGTGTACGTGACACAGGATCCTTGACCACAGCCAACAACGATATAATGTTCGTACCGAACCGAAGATTTTCCAAAATCTTTATTTCCCGTTTGATTTTTTTCTTTTTGACTGGCTTCAGAATCTTGACCACACATTTTTCGTTGTTGGTCACATTGATCGCCTCAAACACCTCGCTGTACTTTCCTCTGCCTAGCTTCCTGACAAGCTGATAATCATCTTGATTGGCCCAATCGACGACGTAGCTTTCGTAGTCCCAATATTCACGAGGTTTGTGTGCATTCACGTCGGCACTGAAAAAAAAACATCGGTGCAAAAATGTTAATGTTCATTCGCTTTGATTTCGATTTGGTTATTTTTGATTTAGACCTTAGTCTGTAAATTGGTTTATTTGATAGGGTAAAAAAATCTGTCTTTTTTTCTATGTCAGGTTAATTTCATTTGCTCGTCTCTTTTTTTACTCAGTTTGCACATGCATATGGATCAACACAAAAATACGATGGAAAAAATCTTTATCGTTACGGATAATTTTGACAATGAGTCTATAATCACATGGATTGGCATAGCATCCAGTTAAACAATGACAGTATGTCAACTTTATCCATGGATCGGTCTAAATTACGGCTTATTTCATTGTGGCGAAAACACACAGGCTGCAAATTACAGCTAACACGGGTCCCGGAATATCGATATGGTTCTCGGTAGCAGAAGCGTGTATGTGAATGCAACTACGGTGTATTGACAATACCGAGCGCCCAATACATGAAAAAACATAATGGATTTTTTTTCTTGCATTTTGCATGACAAACCGATGAAATAGAATTGGAAATTCGTTGAAATAAAGATTTTTTTTCGTGCTTTTCTGTTAATCCATTATCTAGCGTTTTTACACACAGACATCTAAATGCAGACAAACTCATTCGTATACAATGTGTGTATACGTAATCTTTTTGTCTATATTACTTTGTCCCTTTGAAATTTAATTGGATAAAAAAGACAAATCACATCGGAATTGATTGAATGAAATCGATGCACTTCAGAATGAAAACCGAATCTAAATGAAATGCTGAGCTTCAGAATTCAATTGCAAATAATATTTGTTCGAAACGGAAGGTAATGTAACATATTCTCTGGTACTTACTAGACTCGTGCAGTACTTGGTAATGTCATTTTTCCTTTTATATTACAAGCGTATCGGCGATAGACATATGTCTGAGTGTACGCCGATTTGAAAAAGACCTTTCCGGCACTCAATAACTGGTTACACACAATTTTGCCGTCAAAATTCGGATCTTTTTATACGATTAATTTCCGAAAAATAAAAAATAAAAATCCTAACTTTTATTTTCCACGGAAGAAGCCAGGTTAGTAGAGAATCAAGATGGAGGCGATTTGATTGAAATACGTCTACCTTCTCAAAGCGGCGAGAGGGCGACTTCTATGTTCGTACAACCTCAATGGCGATTTCGTTTCAAAGTGTGCTATGCACGATTGACATTTGATTTTCAACACAGTTGTGTGTGCGGCGCGCATACGCTCAGCCTAGTATTTTTGCCGCACAAAATATCTATACGATGTTTCGTTTATGAAAATTGAATGGAGTGCAAAAAAAAATCGGATCGATTTTTTTTTTTGCTGCTTTTATGACTGTTTCGCACTAAAAAAATTTTCTTTTACACGTTTCGCAATCTATCGCATTTTCTACACTGGCTTATTGACAATGACGATATTCTTTTTGAGCATCACTCATACACTTTATTTTTTGTTTAAATTTTTTTTTTGTCAATTCACAAGAACACGAAATATTCGATGATTTTATGTTTGTCTTGTACGCACGGTATCTGGTTCTGTGTTCAGTTTGACGATTATTCATTTTTGTCAGGTTGGCGCTCGTGTTATTCGCATCAAAAACACTTCAAATGTTTTTTCGTTTCATTGTCAAGTATTTAATACGTTTTTTCGGAACATTTAATGGGAGTAAAATATATAGTTGGAAAAAGAGAAAATGTAAAATTAATTTGATTTTGTTGAGCGTTTTACTCTTGTAAATTTTCGAGCGCTTCGAATCACATTTGAATTACACTTGAAATTTTCTTCGCACATCCCATTGCCTAGACCGATTATTAGTGCTTTCAAACACTCAAACATGATTGGCGAATCGGTTTTTCCATTTGTGAGGCGTGATGATAACCAACTCATTCCAAGACTAGAAAAACAAAATAATTTCTAATAATTTTTATGCAAAAAACAAAAACAAAAGAAACTATGAATTACCCCCACACCGGCAACCAAATTTTATTACTTGAGACCGTTTTCATTTTATTATTTTGACAAAGAATTTGCTTCAAACAATTTCCATTATCGTCAGGCGCAACTATAGCTGCCTCGATTGATTGTAACACTTTACGCGACATTTCGTTTACCTGAAAAATTGCTTTTGATATTATAATCGAGAAAAATATGTATGCATTCATCAGACGCACCTCTGAAACAGATTCCATCAGAGATCGTTTTTTACGCACGATCCGCGCATCTCTGACTTCGGTCAATTCCATTGTCTCGGTAATTCCGGCAGGAACTTGAGCCATCATCATCGTACTGCCTGTTTGCGCTTTGACCTACCAAATAAAGAATTATAATTCTAATTATTAACTCAAATAGCCCGGGTATGTATCCGAATATAACACATAGGCATTTACCTGTGAACAAAATAAAAAACAAAAACAACAAAAAATTGCAAATTTCATTGATTCCCAAAATATTTTTGATGAACAAACCGTTGTGATGCACATTATCACTTGCAGAACGAATATGCCAAATGCAAGATACGCAATAGCTGTCAATGCTAGCTCGTAGACCTTTTTCAATGTCATCTCTTTGCCAGATCCACCACCACTGTCGTAGCTCATACCATAAGATTCAGGTTGCCAGCCCGATTCGTATCCTGTAGTACACCATTTAGTCGAATTATTTATTTATTTGAATCGATTCCCGTCTACCTCAACTTTCAACATCAATTCACACAGTTGGTGCTGTTTCATTAGCATTTTTACCTGGTTGCAATTGTGGTACATTATTGAATAAATTGGCCGAATTGTGTGTTTCATCATTATGTTTGGTTTTATGTTTGAAAAAAGATTTGAATTTTTCTTTCAAATTATGAAAAGACCACCATTTGTGTGTTTTTTTGCCGGCAGTTTCTTCGGGTAGCACAACATGTGGCGTAAGATAGGGTTGGCCGACAGCGTATAAATTTGGATAAGGATTTGGTTGAAATTCATAAGTTGTGTCGGGCACGAGTATAGATTGCGGTATTGGATACGGAGGATTTTCATTTGGTTCAAACAATGTGTTTATGCTATGTATGTACGGAGGAGCTAGAGATGTATGAAAAATTTTGCGGTAGATGTTATATATATTGAATAAACAGTAGAAAAATAGAATGAATAAATCATTTAAAATGAAAGTGAAAATGCCAAAAAAAAAACTTTTTAACACATCAATTTGCACGTCGCTTCAATAGCCAAACCTGCTTTATTTCCCGCAACCGCGTATCGGTGATAGTTTTCGTAATCGATATCGTTTGGTGCATGATTTTGCGGTGGTACAAAGCCAGATGGAATTGGATGCTGTATCGCATATCCACTGGCCACTCCTACTTCATACTCGTTATCGCCACTCGTCGCTGTTGCTCCATCGATTCGACGAAATGGTGGAGTTTCGTTCACACTTTTCATCGTTGAATTATCGGCCCTGATTTGTTTGTACACATCATCCAATAATGCTAATCTGAAAATGCACTTCAAATCAGTTTGCGTCGACGTGTCGAACGCACGCATTTCCATAGTAAAAAGTAGACATAGAATTCAATTTACTTTGTCAGCCAATTTTTATATGCACTCGAACCCTGGTCAAATAGAGCAGCATCGATATTATTGTTCCACATGGGACGATGCTGTGGAATGTGAATCAGATCTAATATTTGCCAAAAATAAATTGAAATTTTATTTTTCATCTGGATTATTCAAACTTATATGCGTGTTTACCACTAGAATTGTTGGCAATCCCCAATCGATTGTGTATGGTGTGTGGTGCAATGTCGGCTAAAATTTGTTTGGCAATATAATTGTTGCACTTGTAATTTTGAATCATTTTCCGATGGAATTGCATCAAATGGAAAGCACTATTGAAATCGGCATGTGAATTTGGATGAACCATTTGTTCTTCACCATTGTTTGGAATCGATAAATTATCACTATCACGCGAGCCTTTCACATACAAAACTGACATTGGCATTAGTTTTTCATTGAAAATATCGTTTAGATCAATGCCCATAAGATCACGATTCACGATTGCAATTGATTGTTTTGTGAAAATCAACAGAAAACCTATTATTACAAAGCAATCCATTGCAATCCAAGAAAAATTAAAATTCACTTCTGTATATGTTGGCAAATGTTCGTCGACTGAATTCTTTAGAGAGATGCTCGGTCTCACAGTAAATTCCATTAAAGCAATCCAATTTTCTCTCAACTATGTCACATTATACGCGTCACAACGCATTTTGATCTCAATTCAAACCAAAAACACGATTTACGTCTTACGTTTTTCTTACGTGCCTTTCTCATGCTCATTTTGCTTTTCAAATAATGACACTTGCATTGTTCCGATGCTTCGATGATTTCGCCAAAGTAGTACCCATATAGTTTATCGTAATTCAAGTGGAAACAAAAAAGTCGGTTTATGTTCTCAAAACAGAAAAATTTCCATTTTTATCGCGGTGTTGAGGTGTGAAAACTTCCTAAATACTTGGCTGATTAACATGCCCTGTTTCAGACAGAAAATCGTACATTTTGCCGAACCATGAACATTTTTACGCTATATTTAAAGAATTATCGCAAAACCTGTACACATACACACGAGCAAGATATACTACGTACACTACAAATGTGATAAAATGAAACGAGCTTATGGTACATCATTTCATCAACAAATTTATCAAGTCGTTGGAAATGTCCAACCGATGGAAAATTGCTCGTTTGTACAGTTCGGATGAATGAAGTGCGGTGTGTAATGCAGTGTAGTGATGTTTTCTTTTTCCTCACACATGGCTTTAAATCGTAATTGGATGCTGTGCGAGAGAAAAGCAAACGAGTGCAACAATAGCTGGATGCTATAACACGAATGTGGGCGGAGCATATTAACATCATGGGATGATTAACTTTCAATTATCATTTTGCTAAAACATCTTTGTCGATTCAGCTCTTTACGATATTTTGCAGTGTGTGTATAATTCTCTGCATTTATCGATATCTGATTGAAACAAAATGCTAATTGCTTGCCTCGGAATCTATTTGAAGAAGAGTTAGTCTTTAAAATGTGTCGCCATTATTTAAATAAATTTATTTAAATGCATAAGAGCCACACACTTTATGATATTCGGTAAATATTGATCGACATGTTTTTCTCAGAAGCGACAATTCGTTCCGCATCGTCTACCTCTCTATTGCTGGCACAAATAAAAGAATGAGAAAGATAATGAGAAGCAACAACGAGAAACAAATAGTATGGAAGAGCGTGTAGTTAATTGAGAATAAAATATTTATTTTTGTCAAGAAGGTGTCAAATTGGCATAAATTATCCATAAATTTAAGGATTTTGTTTATTGTATCACCTCAATATACTATTCGAAATTAGACACTGAAAAACTCTTTTGTGTATTTATATCTTTTCACTTGCAAACGAACCACAACCAATCAAATACATTCGGTCCAGTAATAATTATTGCTTCACCTGGCTTGTATAATGTAAAAGAAAATAAACACACCAGAATAAAATCGCAGAAATTACAATTGAATCGAATTGTACACACTTAGCGGTATTCGAGAAAATAGTAATGAAAATAGTCCAAGATTGCTGTGATTAAAGTATTTGTTGGAGATGCAATAGTTATATTTGAATTGGATTGAATAACAGCTTATGGGAAATTACGAGATGATTCTCCAAGAAGGAGTTATAGACAGCATCCATCACATGAGACCAATGAAAAATTACATTATTTCACTGAGCTACCAATATTTAGCTAACACCAATTATTTGATCGTTTTCAGATTTGACCAATTTTGCTGGCGTGAACAACATCTAACACGATACAGATGCTTATCCGCAAAAAATCACATGATATAATAAGAAAAATGGTTTAAATGCATGTTACATCGTCCATAATTACTCACCGGCAGCAGCACAATGAACGCATAACACTTAGCACGAATACATACCTTAATGGCTATTAATATATAGCCGCCTACAATCAAATTAAATTATATTGAATTGTATTGTAAACACATGTTTTGGTTCACACGAAAATTAAGAGAGCGATGACTAAAAGAAAAATTAGGCGAAACTCGCTTCGCTACGTGTTGTTGTTGTTACTTTTCCTGTGATAGATTCAAATATAAGAGACATAGTCGAAGAGAAGGTGAGGAGATTGCGTGTCAGCATTGCACTCGCATTAATCATGCGTATCAAACGCACAATCAGAGGGATGATTGTAGCAAATGATTTTTCACACGATTGAAACATATTTTTATTTATACACAATGGGTGGTGCGTGATGATCAGATCATTTTTTATCATCACTCGTCGCATTTTGTGGCCACTTAAACTCGTAAAACCGTACCGCACCGATTAAAATATCGTTAACGTTTCGCCCGCTCATCTTTATTTAGTTATTATTCATTCGCATTGGATGCACGATTTTCGGTGTGTTGTGTGTATTTGGCGATACAAATTTGGCAAAAGGGATGAGATTGTTAAAAGTGTTTCCACACCTCCATTCATCATCGCAATCGCTTATATTTATTTCACCTCATCGCTTTACCATTTGCTTCCGCATTTGGGATCAAACCCACTTGGTTTGGCCTGCGACACGGCATTTGGTGCTATCTGGCTCTATGTGTCGTGCATCATCGACGCTTTTGTGATGATATGCTGTGTGAATTAACATTGAAAATAATACGAGTTAAGTGTGGTTTGTGTGTGTGTGCGAGAGAGAGAGAGAGAATGAAAACCATGCAAACCGTGTAGGAAATTCATTTGTGGCGGCGAGTATAAGTGCGAAAAATGGGCGGCTACTATTTTTATTTGGATTTTGTGATGAGTTTTGAAGTCACTGGCTTGTTTTGCTCATTTTTGATCAACAATACCAATCACATAGCCAATAATTGCGGACGAAAATTCATTGGAATCGTTTCGTGGAAGTGAAGAAGAAAAACAAAATAAACAAAATCAACAATAACAAGAGCCCAAGCGATACTTGGAATCGGGGCACGGATTAACACATTTAAAATTCTTGTTTAAACGGTATGCAGGTAGCCTGCGTATAGTGTAATTACAAAAGATGCTCTAAAGTGCGTAACGATAAAATTACTTCTTATTTGCTCATGATTTTAACACAATTAGACTAAATAATAAATTTAACACCATCCTCTAATAACTAACTGCACACACATTGTACAACAACTTAAATCACATAACCGGACAGTCCGTGTATCTACGTTTTTGTGGTGATAATCTTCGCATCATTGGATGATGCTCAGAGTATAACATCAGTTTGACACGAATTATTGATGAGGACACACTTATGAATGATATGCTCTTATCTGTTTGGTGACGATTCAAATTCTAAGTTCTGATTGTGTAAACAGTTTGAAAGTGAATGGCATAAAATTGAAACGAATCAGTGATTATAACGGTAAAAGTGATTTGAAAGTTAATTGTGTTCAGTCTAAGGTGATTGAATAAAATAATGGCAAAGTGGACACGATTGGAAAGTCCATATTTTAGCGATAATGAAGATACATACGAAACGGAAACAGATAATGTGTGCTCCGACGAACCAATTGACTTGAAGCAAGTGATGTGTAATCCAAATCAATGTCAAGAAGATGCTTCAAGTGATTGGGAAACATCGAAATTGGTGAAAACGAAAGCATTTCGAATAAAAGATATTCTGGGTTTGGAAGAAAATGAAAGAATTGCCGCGACGCCATCAACGCTGCCAAATCTAGATAGCAATTTTTCCAGTCTCAACAAATCTTCGACCACAACACCAAACACAATAAGTATGTTTTAGATTGGATGGTTACTGTGGCAAAAGAAAATCATTTTTATAATTGAGTTATTTTCTTCTTCTTCAAAATGTGTCACATTTTCAGCGTCACCCAGTGTTTTAAAGTATTTGAATGCACAAAGTGTCCACGACCATATGCCAAATGCAAACATTTTAAATGCATCTGCTCTATTGCCCTGCAATTCATTCAATAATAAAAATCCCGCATTACTTTCATCACCGTCGCCAAATGCCTATACAAACTTTATGTATGCTAATTGGATTGATCTACATACTAAAATGCCTGATCAAACAAAATATTTGTTCTGCTTACAAGGTAATTTGTCGCTTTTCCACTCATTTCACAGTACAACAATTTTTTGGTGATGGCTGCACGCCTTGGGGTTTTGAATGCACGATTTTATTGGACTGAAATACAAACCAAACTGCATCATTAGTTTGTTCAGGGGACGTGCAGATAAAAAAGTTATCAAAGTTGGCGAATTTTAAGTACCCCTTTGAACAAAATAGGTCTGAAACATTCAATTTTGTCAGAAATCTATATGAGCATATATCCTTTCAAAAAGATGAGACTTTTTCATAAATTTTGGTACCCTATTCATTAAAATCGGTTGAATGGTTCCTGAGATATAGCATGAAAAGTGTTTGAAATCAATGAAAAATCATCGATTTTGGCTGCTTTTTGCACATAGTCCATTAAAATTTCACGAATACGTCACACGTATGCACGATTTACACTTGATTGTTATAGGTGGCATCTCTGCAAAGAATATTAGGTACCTCGGCATGAGTACTGAAGGACTAGTTTGAGTAGAATCTACAAAGATGAGTGAGATGACTCAAGGATTTTTTTGAAAAGAAAAGACGTCAAAAACATAGAATTGGTTCTGGTATCAACATGAAACTCTCAGAATCTTATTTTTTGGACAAATTTGAACACAATCGGACAAACTATTAGGGTACCTCCCGAACAAATTTCCTGATTTTAGTTCAAATCGTCGATTTTTCACTGATTTAAACACCTCTTGTGTTATATCTCGGGAACCATTCAACTGATTTCGATGAATAAGGTACCAAAATTTATGAAAAAGTCTCACCTTTCCGAAAATACACATATCATTATAGATTTCTGGAAAAATTGAGTGTTTCAGACCTATTTTGTTCAAAGGTGTACTTGAAATTTTCCAACTTTGATGACTTTCATATTTGCACGTCTTCTGAACAAACTAATGATGCAGTTTGGTTTGTATTTCAGTCCTCTGCAATCGTGCATTCAAAACATCAAAAATTTGTTGTACTGTGTTAAAGTTTACTTTCATAAATCGGCCAGTTTTAAGCGATCAATTGAGTCTGACGAAAAAAGACCGTTTATTTTTTCTCTTTTCTTCAAACAACAATTCATTGAGACGATAGTTGTCTAAATAGAAAAAATAACGATCAAATAGAAATGTAGGAAACAGATCAAATACCAACGTTTTGGGTAGAAAAATGATTTTCTACGGAATCCAAACGAAAATGTTGGACAAACTATTTGTAACACAAATATTTGAATAGCCCAAACGTTGTCCACTCTATTTAACATTCTAATTTATGTATATGTGTAGGAATAAGAAATAGAGAGCAGAGAAGAAAAACTACGTACAATAAAACTTGGCAATGTCTTTATTATTATTATTATCACTACAGACAAACATTGGATTCTAATAAAAACATCATTCTATTAAGTCCTTTTTTCTTGTGAAAGAAAAAAGAAACACAAATTCTATATAGTATATACAAATGATTATTCAAAATAGCTCAATCATCGTAATCCGTTTTAGTTCGTCGAAATACAAACAAACCACCAATTGGAGCGCTATTTTCCATCAAAATTTGAAGAAAACCAATTGTTCAACCAATTCCACGCACTTCAATTTAACATTTGTGTTAATTTGTATCGTATTCAGTAATCGTGTTCGGTAACGTTTGAACCAATTATCATGACGACAAATTTGTTGACATTTTGCGCGAAAAGAAAAAAAAAACCGACACCGACAACAATATTCGAATCAATCATTTGTTGTTTTGTTAATTCACTTAGCACAGCTGAAAGGCTTGCCTGAAAATAAAGTCCATTGTCAACAATTCGACTATTAAAATAGATGGAGCAGAAGAAAAAACCATGAATTGATTCTGATTATCTTTGTGTGTATATTAGGTCCGAAACTGTTGGGGAAACGATCGCGTAAGCCGGGCATCGATCGAAAACCGCGGCAAGCGTACAGTGTAAAACAGTTGGAAAAGCTTGAAAATGAATTCAAACAAGATAAATATCTAAGTGTGAGCAAACGAATGGAATTGTCAAAAACACTGAATTTGACAGAGGTGCAAATCAAGACCTGGTTCCAGAATCGACGGTAAGTAAACCCTTTTAAGATCGATAAAAAAAAATGGCACAATCGCACATTTTTTGACATTTCTAGCCAACTTCTTCGAATACAAAATTCACCACAAGATATTCACAAGAATGGCACGCGTAAATGTTAGGGAAAATTTATTTTTTTCTTGTCTTCCCTCCTGTTCAATAAAGAATTAAAATCCGAAGATGTATTTAACTAACAATGGGTATAATATTTTTTGTATTTCGTCTGGTCTTCGTAAGGCCGTTGGTTAAGGCCAATACATTTGAAAAGTATTTTATGGCTCACTGTTTTTACATTTCACAGTACAAAATGGAAGAAACAATTGACATCACGTTTGAAAATTGCACAACGCCAGGGCATCTATGCAACCGGTTTTGGTATACAAAATGTCACCGCTGCAATGGGCACATCGTCAATAACACCATTTCCGCTGTTTGGCCCATGCTATCCGGGTTCATTGTGCATGTCAATGCTGACAACTCCACATACCAATTCACATGCCATGGTAAGCTCCACGACGGACGCCTTGCCAACAAATGCCAAACCAAATGCGCTAAACGAAAATAGCACCCCATCAACTTTACAATGAGTTGACCGAATGAAAAAAAAAGGGTTGCTTTTTTTCCTGTAAATCCGTTTTTGGCTCGCGTTCTCTCAGGACCACGTTTTGTTTAGTTTTCTTCAGGTAGTCAAATCAAAAGTAATTAAAATCGTGGAAAACCACTTTAAATTAAACAAATGTCACTGTATTTTAAACACGTTTTGTCTTGCACTCTCATTAAAGCCAGTATAAATCATTAATTCTTACAACAAACTAGTTAATTTTTTTTTTTGAGCGTGTGTTTTCATTCCGTTTGATTTTTTCTTAACTATTCTGTTTGATTGTTTTTTGTTTTTGTTTTTTTTCTTCATCTTTATGTGCTTCTTCTTCCAAGTTATGAAGCATCTTTAAATTTTCTTCTTTTCCAATTCATTCTATTCCATTTTTTATTTTTGTTCTTTTAAAACTATTTAATAAGGCATGTGCTAAGTCACAGATTATTTTCGATGTACACGTGTGCATACGCAAAAGAAAACTAATTTATATAATAATTATATATTTCATCTTGTCAGTGACGTTTATGTCTTATATATTAAGTGTTCAACGCAGGTACTTATTGATTACTTCAACATTACAATTACGATTTGTATGTATATAAAAACGAGTTTGCAACTTTTGTTTTTTCTTGCATATTTTTCTTCTCCTTGGTTTTTAAGTTTAATTAGTGGACTATAATTTGTAACGTCAAAATAAATTTGATTCTTTATAAAATAATGTGAATTTATTTACTTTTTCTTTTTACCATTCTCTCCCGTTTGCATTTTGTATTATATTCTTCGTACAAAATTGGAACAAGCGAATCGTAACAACATTAAAGTTATATGGTGTCATTTCATGAGCTATATCCTATAAATGATCAACAATTTAATAATAAAATCGATCGATAAATCATTTTCAATACAGAATTGGTTGGGATCTGTTTTTACTCTTCATTTAAGAATATTTGGCCCATAAAATTGAACACTGTCTTAAGTTGTCAAATGTGGATAGCTGTATTGTTTCAGCTCGGCCCAATTTGCCTTGTCCATCATCATTTTTGTTCATATAATTTGTAATTTTTTTTTATATTTCCAGTATTTTCATCATCATGATTTTAAGAGTCACAGCGGAATTCCTATTTATTTATAACTTGAAATAAATGATTATCTATTTGCTAACTAAAAAAATAAATCTAACTCTTTTTTTTTCAATTTTCGACAATTCACGGCAATCGATTCAACGTAAAGCACTTTATATACCACAGACTTGAATCGGTAGCAATTGTTTGACGGCATATTTTTTCTTCAACATCACACCTTTCTAATTTTGATTTTTCAGAGAAAAGCTACAAGAGGATTTCAAAAAAAAAACATTTGGTATTTAAAGTGTAGTGTGTGCGTGCTCAATAACAAAATGAAACCTAAATATACAGTTAACATCGCATATTTGTCACAGTTCTGAGCGATAATTTGATGAAATACTCAATGTATCGTATAATCACAAAGCGATTCAATTTGCTTTCCAGTTTCAATTTAAATGATTTTTTTTTTGTTATTAGTGATACGAATGATTGAACCAATTTCAAATTTAACCCTCAGGACTATGTGCGTGTGAAATGTTTTTTTCTCAGGCGAAAATATCTAACAGTTCAAAAAAGTGTTTGTTTCCAGCATCTTTTTTTTCCATACATTTGCGAAAATTTGTTTCCATGTTTACAGTAAAATGTTTCCTAGTGTGACCGCACCCTAAAAATGTCTACTTCCCTAATAATATAAAACTAATTGTCACATTGTCATCATATAGAAGTGTCAATATGTTTTTTCTTTCTCTCATCCTATTAATATATTGACATCAATAACAAACATTTTTTTTTATTCAATTAAAACCAGTGATTTGTTTCTAATTATTAAACTATTTAGTAGTTGTGTTTTGAGAACATCATCCACGGAAACGGGAACAAGATTGTTGTGTTATATGGTTTATACCACTATTTTGCCCGAATAAGTGTTGCTATTTAATGTAGATACTATGCGGTAACAATGGTGTTCAATGCAATCAATCCAATGCCTGGCCGCCGGTATTTGGCAACAGCAAACATAAGAATCCACTAACTGTGAAAGAAAATGGTGTTTGAGAGGTTTTTTTAATTAAAAATAGAAGAAAAATGAGTGAACATTTTAAGCAGTTATGTGCCACTTACTAAATAACATTGTAGAAAATAATACTATTGGTATGACACAGTTTAAATCTATCAAAAAGCCGAATATTAGATTGCCTATCAAAGCTCCGCCACGGCCGAAAGTCAAGGATAAAGCAGCTGCCATAACTCTGTGTGTGATAATAGATAGCGTACAATTTAATTGGATATATGCTATAAATAAAGTGTGTGGTTTGCCATTGAATCGAAAGAACAATGGGTGGAAAGGATAATAATTGTCGATCAACGACGGTTGGCAATGATTTTTTTATGTTTTTACCTTAAATTCGTCGGGAACAAATCTACCATAACACAGTACACAGTTGATATGCCGAGTGATGTCAGAGCCTCAAATATGCAAGACAATATTAAATTTTCAACTGAATTATGCACAAAGTATAATCCAATTGTTACGGTGCCAGCCACTACTAGACTAAATACTAAATAGATCGAAAGAACAAAAAAAAAAAACAAAAGAAAAGAAAAGAGAAAAGAAAAGAAAAACAAAAACAGGTTCAGGTGTTTGTTGTTTGTCCGATCGTCCATCCATTCATATCGTCCATTGTGTATGAATATTAAATGCATCCAATGCTTAAAATAAATTTCTTGAGTTACCTAGAAAGAATTTCGCACCCAATCGATGAACACACAGTGGTAGCCATAGACTAGTCGGTATGCAACTTATTCCAATGATTATTGTATGAATATAAACGTTATTGTCAATCGTTGGACCGTCACAATATTCATCGTAGACTAGTGTTCTGCAATCACAATTTTTCTTCCATCAATTTCAAACATTTAATTATGTACTTTTATGGCAAGAAAAAAAATTCATTCATTTCAAAATAAAAGGTGAACAATGAATGAAAAATAATAATTGTACCCATTCACGTCTGGTTCAAGTACGACTGATGACACGTCACATACGGATGCCGATTTGTTAGCGTTGTGCTTTTCGAATTCTTCAAAACGGTAGAAAAGTTCAGGAAACCAAATCATCAACGTATAATAGCTAAAATGGAAAATAAGTTGATTACACATGGAGTGACTGAATCAGATTTTGACGTGACACACACACACACACACACACACACACACACAAACTCACCTGGTGGTTAATCCGAATTGAATGGCACAGGTTAAGACGGTGTTCCGTAAATGCGGCGGCTTGCACAACAGTTTCGTTTGCTGCCAAATTTCAGACATTAGCATTTTCAATTCCTTCGGTTTTTTCATGCTGAGTGTGCGAACTGATTTACTCGTCCGTCGTGATATCGTGCTAATGCTTTCACGCTCTTTTAGACTCTTGATCTGTATGTGTAAGTGAAAGAAAATCGTCATTTTTCTGATTTGCAATGGAATGAATTGATTCGATTCAAATTACCGGATATTCGGTTTGTCCTTTGCCCGTATTCTCTTGGTACATGTGTCTTAAAACTTCAAGGGCTTCTTCCGTTTCACCGCACTCGATAAGAAATTTCGGACTTTCCGGAAACAAAAACAGTAAACATCCGAGTAACAAACTATACATCGTGAAAAATATTTTTTTCAGTTAGATTTGCAAAAGTTGAATATTTAACAATGAACATTGATTAGTAAACCTTGGAATGGCACAAATCGCTACGAATAAATTCCAACTATGGAACAGAAACCAGCCGTGCCTAATTTCAACATTTAATGGAATAATCAACCAAGCAATAGCTGCAAAAGAGACAAAACGATTTTTATTTAATAGGTCAATTGAGCGTTGAATCAGGATTGGCACATACCTGGTAGCGCAATGATTCCAACTGTCCAGAACATTTCCATCCAGCATAGAATTTTTTCGCGATATTTTGTTGGTTGAAATTCGCCCAAATAGGGAAAGCATATACCCATTGCTCCTGCCACCCTTTGTTTTGTAGATAAAAACGTTTTATTTGATGAGATCAATTGCAGCGACCAATTTTGACCACTCACCCGAATCCATTGAAGAAACGAAAGAGCATGAATAAATAGTAGTATTGTGCCACAGATGATAAGAGACCACAAAATCCGTCGAGCAGTAGTGTGGCGATTAACACTGTTTTACGCCCTTTTGTATCCGCTAAACATCCCCACCAATAGCTGCCCACGAGCATTCCTTGATGAAAAATAAACGGAAAAAAAAACAATGTTATAATATCATATACACATAAACTATATGCATGTTTGACACCATTGAATTTCAATCAAAGCGAATACCCATTTTTTCGAACAAATTGTAACATTTCGAAAAAAACTCAAACTAAAAATATTTTGTTCAATCGTTCTCAAAGTAAATGATTATCGAATCCAATTTAATTTTTCGAATTGATATGGTATTTTGATATAATTTATGCAAATACGTATTTTTTCCATAATTTTAAAGCCGATTATCAGATCCATAATGAATATTGTATGATCTTACCAAGCATCGGAGCTGCTGTCAACAAGCCTTTGTCACTCGACGACATACGAAAGTCACAAGTGGCTGACGGTAAAACGAATGATATAATTGTAATCCCAATCGCCGTATTCATATAGATCATACCGCAAACGATGAGCAAATAAATGTGAAATTTTCCGAAGCCGGCATTAATGAGCGCATTCTCGTAATCCACTCGTACACCAGAATTATCCATAAAATCAAGACCTGGGGGATCGAGAAACAAATATTCAAGTGCGTGTATTATATGCGTGTTTGTGTGTTTTCTTTATTGTGGTCCTGAAATTTTAATCTAGGGGAATATCACGCTTGAATTATTTCAAATATTTCAAAAAAATCCAATTTATCTCTAAGAATCTGTCGTATGAAATATGGTGGATATTTGTGAATACGGCGGAATATTGTGGATTTTTGTGATTATGAATGATATTTAAATGTATTTATTCGGATTTAATGCAAAAAATCTCAAATATCTCCAAAATCCACAAAAATCTGATTCATTTATTCAAAATATTCGAAAATATGTCATACAATTGATGTTTATTTCAAATATCTCAAATATATCACAAGATTCAGGAGCGTGATATTCCCTTAGATTTTAATTTCGATTCCAAATCGAAAATTGTTTCGAGAGCACACATACGATTTTGGGTTGAATGATTGTTCATTGGTTCGTTCGTATGACACGATTACTCAAAATGATGGAGTAACACATACCCATGGTGCAAGTTGATGAAGGTCGCTGACTTTGTGCTTCGGACGGTGTGAATATTGGTTCAAGTGATGTTCTCGGTCCGTGATCATCAATCGCGTTTAATATGTTCAGCTCTAAACTGGAATGTCGATTATTGTTTTGCGAATCCAGTATATCACTAATATTGTCGTGTTCTGTGCTCAACGAAGACAGTTTTGCTTCTTTGCTTTGTGTGGCCTGGGTATTTACAATTTCAAATTAATTCCTTGATTTGAATGCAAAGCACGGGCTTTTTGACTTTATGAGCGTAGTATTGCTTGCAGGTTTTTCTTTACAAATCTCCACCGCTTTAACCAATTGTTGACGTTAGACAAATGTTTAGAGTGATGAAACCTGCACGAAAAAAAAAGAACAAAATTACATTCATTTTCCGATCGCTTCAACAAGATCATCTCTATTGCATGTAATGCTACTACTTGATTTGTTTGGATTTCTCAGTCTTAATCTTATTTTTATTCATTTCGCATTGTTTTTCTTTGTCCTCTCGATTGCGTTCATAGACCTTGCCATTGAAAGCGTTAGTATTGATAGAAAAGTTTCCTATGAAATTATCCCTTCAAGACATATGTATAAGTTCATAGTTGTTCACACGTGAACTTCATAGTTGTCAACATACAGCCTTCATTCATGCTTATTTCGCTTTTTATCGACAAAATGCGTCAGGCGAACAAATAAATTTTCCAGTTTTTTTTTTCTCATCGTAACGTTTTCTTTTCGTCGAAATGAAGGTGATGTGTTTACCTCCCCACATGTTCATACGTATGCGTGTGTAACTATTTATGTGTGGCTATTGAAATGTCGTGGTTTTATTTTGATTTTGACAATCAAATCAAAAAACATAATCTTATTGTCCATCGTGTATGCTTTTACTGATTATTTATCAAAATGAAATGACCATAAGGAAATATTCCAATGCAAAATGAAAGTCGATTCCCTTGCACTTCTAAAATAGCTATTGCGCAGTCGGATTTCAACGTCACAAGTAAATTCATTTCATTTCTTCGAATGTATTTAATCGTTGACATTGTAACACCACCTCAACACGCCGTTCATGAGCCATTAAGACACTTTGCATGTACTGATGTACTCAATGTCATTTTAATTAATTCCATCGTAATCCGTGTGACGAAAAGGTGTTGGTTTCAATAAATTGATGTACTCACTTCGATTGAAGATCACCACTAATATCCACAAAATGGGAAAAACCTTTGAACCCCGTATTTTAGTGTACAGTAAAAAAGACAACAAATTGCAAATGAACCAAGAATTTACTTTCTTTTGTCGAAATCACAAAGCACATTTACTTCCGTTTAATTTGTTCTCACGATGCAAAAACTATGATTTAATTCACGTGTTACGCCGGTTGAGCATGGATTGAGTTGTTGATCGGTGATATTTATTGTGTCGGGAATAGAGTTGAAATTCGGTTTTTGACCTCAAAATTTGAACATGTGTCACAGCAATTCTCGGTGTAATTGAGACTGAGCTTTAAAAAAGTGTTCACTGAACGGGACGAAATACTACTATGAACTACAGTTTGATAACAGATAAAAGTCAATTATAAACGCAATGTCCTCGATATGTTCGTGCATTTTTAATAAAACTTTCCTATTTTTATTCAATGTGGGGCAGGTGGAGAGTAGAGCAGACCAGAAGCACCAACAAAGCAAATAAGCAATAGCGTTTGTTCGTTCATTCGTTTGTTTCGTAGTGTTTTTTCCCTATCTATCTTCCTTTCTTTCTTTCTTTCTTTCTTTTTTTCTTTCTCTCTCTCTCTCTCTCTCTCTCTCTCTCTCTCGCTGTTCAACTATTATGACCACGAAAATGTGTGTATATCATACATACAATTTTGTTTATTTAGCTATTGTTTTTATGTGTATACAAAAAAGCTACCTATCGCTTGTTCACCACCGCTAAAAGAAAATTCCCTATTGTCCCACACGGACTGATGAGTAGATGGATAGATAAAAAAAATGTGGAAGGATGGAACTTATGGATGAATGTGCAGCGCGCTCCGCAACCGAACCGAATCATTCCGAAAGGTTTTTCACTGTTCCGAGAATGAGCGAAAGGGACAGTGGTGCGCCGATTTGTTTCACTTTTATTAACAACCACCCCTTGAAATGAATGTGTATATATATATATATATATATATATATGTTTGTGTGTGTGTGCGTATGCTTTGTTACATTTTTTTTTATTCATAGTTGACCGTCATCATCTTCGTCATAAGCATCAATTTTTTTTCCTTTTCTTCATAAACAATTTAAGCGAATTTCCACACCGTTACATTTGATTAAAATTCAATGAAAAGCGACGTGGTCACCGAAAACCGAAAAGAAGAAGAAAAAAACAAATGCTGTCGTCGTCGTCGTCGTGAGAATGTCGTGTGCCAACATCAACAGTTTTAGTTTCCTATGGTAAGTGTGATACGTGAGGAGTAATGAGTTAGTCATGTCTCTGTATATAAATACAATCAAGAAATGGAAAACGAAGAGGTAAATCAGGAATAAGCGCACGAGACAATGAAAACCAAAATATATACATAACAACACCAACGCCACACGGCCATGATTCAGTGAGAAACCGACAAAGGTAGCAAATGAAAAGGAAAAAAAATAGCCATCGTAAAAGCGAATTATATTGGTAGACGAAAAGAGAAAGTGACGCCTTCACATAACAGCATTGTTGTGGATTGTGACGGCCATATAATCTAATCCGACCACAAACGCCACCAAACACCGACAATCCAAAATGACAAAGGATATTATGCTTTGGCAAATTATTACCGGATTGTCACGTACACAGTGCAAATATTCATTCAAATATATTCATTGTAAATGATGAATCTATGAGAATTTGAAGGACAATTTGCTTCGGTTTTTAAATAGTGGGCTCGTATACGGTATATATGGTTATTAATAGCAAAAATGGTAACAACAACAATGGCAACGGCAACAAAATTCGATTTAAAAAAAAAATACAATTCAATACTGATTGAGACGAGAAAAAAATGGAACAGGTGACGCCAAATTGAAAACGTGAATCAAATTATATTTATATCCCCGATATTTCCCGCAAATGGCCTATTTGCCATCATTATAACATTAAAATCTACTTATTTTAATTCAATAAAAATTGATATTAGAACCTAACCAGCATGATCAAAAGGTGAGATTGAAAACAGATTTAATGGGTCAATGTAACAAGTAAGCAAACCACAGCCTTCTTCATGAAAAATACTTGGTGTCAACGGTCAATGTTTACTTTGATAGCAAATTCGTTCATTTTGACAATAAAAGTGGACACATTGGACTGGATACATGCGTGTATTCGACCAAACCAATATATCCTCATTTCTTTGTTGTTATTGTTGTGGTGTAAACTTATCGTGCTTTAATGTGCACGCGTAACCAACAGTCACAATCACACAACGTTCAATATTAACATTTGGCTTGACGCGCGCGATGTTAACGTAGTTTTGTCGTATTTTTTTTTAATGTCGATTCCATATTATATGGCTTACATATATGGGACCTTTTCTTATTTGTTGTCGTACTTCATGAACGAGGCGAACAACACGTTTACATTAAATGCATGCATTTTTCCATGTGGTTGTGTGTGTGTGTTTTTTTACTACATTTCTTTCTGCTCTTCGATTGTTGTTGTTGCTGTTTTCTTTTCACTCTCACGTTCTGTTCTCACTTTCATGAATGTCGCCGAATATGGATATGGATATGGAATCACTCTAAATAAGTATCGTTTGTTTTAATTTTAGATTATTGTTTTACATTGTATCTCATATCTAATTTATATTAATTCCAATACATAATCAAGCACGCAGTGGATTTCGGATTGTGCATGTGGGTTCCTCTATATTGGTATACACTAACGACATTGTGAAGGACACCCAACATTACATATACCATTAGATAATTGATGATTTGTCGCTAGTTTCTAAACACAAATGTGTCGTATTTCAATTCTTGTGTGAGTTTTCTAAATTGACCGCCATCACATAGAATGTTGTTCGTGCATTTCGAAACTGAAACAATTAAGGAAAACGTATCCTATTTTTATGAATAATTTTTTGTTCGTATTTGATTTTGGATATTAATAATTGTCCATTAGATGGAATTTTCGGAATCAACTAGGATAATATAAAGCGTGTTGTCCTTTGGTTCCCATTTCTTTCTCTCTCTCTCTCTCCCTTCTCTGAATGCATGGTAGATTGATCAACAAACGGTGCAAAAAAAAACTATTTATGGTTTCAATGCTTTCGAACGGCATCGTTCGAAACTAATTTTTTATAGTGCTCAAGTGTAAATGAATGTTTACATTCCGTTTACTTGATCTACGGTGATATTAATTGCTTGGGAATATGTACATTGCATCGCTAAAGTTTATTATAGTTTTGTCGCCTTTAATGGGCTTGAAATTAGAGAAGAGTCGGTACTGAAAACAGAAAATGAAATGAAGCCCAAATCACTTTTGACACTTTTGGTCTTGTGCAAACGACGAATTTTTTTTTCCTATTGCAAGCATGATGTGAATGCTATGTCAATCGAGGAAGTAATATAAACAAGGCTCGTGTTCTGTTTCTCTCTCTCTCTCTCTCTCTCTCTCTCTCTCTCTCTCTCTTCGGACCTCTTCACTAAAAATAAACATGCAAACGGACGTTGTCTCAAATGAACCTCGACGAAATGTCTAGCATTTTGACGGTCAAATTGTTAATGAGGATTGGTTTATCCTTTTAGGAAAATTCCCAATCGAATAGAAAATATCATTTGAAAATTGGTCAACACTAAAATTCATACCTCTTGAGGTTTCTTTTCTCACTCACTTCGAAAATGGAACTTTCTTGTTCACATATTTTGATATTTATTTGATTCCGTTCGTCAATCGCTTTCCACATAAATCATACTTATTCATCACTAATACACAATAACCATTTTAACAGGAGAATTTTTATTCTTAACTTATGTTAAAAACGAAAAATAAACGGTAAACTTTGTTGTTGTTATGAATACAAGTGCGATGAAAGTAAAACCAAAAACTAAACTGACAACAACGGAATGGATTTTTTTTTTTAGAGGGAAAGTAAGTATTTGCGTGCGTACAACATTATTAGGTCTCGTTCTGAAAACTGTCCATATCATATTATAAGGACGTTTACAGTCGTAAGAAGAAAAAAAACGCGAAAAAGGCGATATATTAACTTCATTGGAACCATAAAGGTGGTAAAGCAGCGAAATACGCATTGTGTATATATAGGTTTCTTTTAGCTCGACTAGGGCGTGATCATAAATTCGATAGGAAAGGTTTTTGAGGTCAATCCATATGAAATATATATATATATATATATATATATATATATATATCGTCCCAATGAACATTGCTCCCTATTTGCTTGGCCATACACACGATTCCGTATTTGACTAACGTTCATCTAATAACCGAAATTCTTGCGATTGAGGTTAATTTAAGTGAATGAATTTCATTTGGATGGTAATTTTTTGTTCATTGGGGGAAACATTATTTTCCCTTCAGTGAAAATACATATCGCGAATAAGACGGACGGAAAAGAAAACCTTTTTTTCTTAACAAATCGACTGAGACGAATGATTTGATAGAAAAAACAAAATACATCAATAATTATGGAATGTTGAGTTAACAAATTGTAATGTACCTGTGATTTCTTGCATAGTAGTAGAAATCCTATTGAATGACACAATTTTCAGTTTAACGTTTTGCTTTTTTTCGCACATGGATTTGGGAATAGAAAATGTCCTCACGCAGTACACACATTAATTTAAAGAAAAACAACGTTTTGGTCACCGTCTTAAATGTCGTCAATGGTCTGCTTTATCAACCGTTTATCTCGCAATGTTATCACAAGCTTTGACGGTGGATAGCACGAGGATTGCGTCTTTTTCCGCAAAGAAAACGCACGTAATACAATTCCATAGCAAATTAGTTGATAGTTTTCTTTTTGTTTTTCTTCTATTGTTCGTCGATGAATCGATTCGACTAAGAGTTTTGCATAACAGCGTTCACACTTGATTACATAACACAAATTTCCGTTGATTGAAATTTTAATACGTTTCTATTCTATTCGCCGCAGCAAATTCGTTTTCAATATGAGAGGAAAAAATTACGTTCACTGCAAGCATTCGACTTTAAAATTTCGATAGAGCAACAGCAACACCGAAATTGTAGCACTTTGCATTTATATATGCATGCGATATGCTCACTCAAATAGCGACAAAAATGAAATGTGACTCGTTTTTACAGGGACTCTTCAACGGAGCTGCCTTCTCATCTTCTCAACGAATTTTGTTGTGTGCTGTGTGTTTTGTTTTTTTATTCATTTGTTGTCTTATAGTTTTTGTATGTTTGTTTTCGTTTTATTCATTTGAAAATAATTAACCGTTTATCTCAATGCACACTAGCAAAATGACAACGACGTCGACGACGGGCGATGACGGCAACAACGACAACAAAAATCACACGATAAATAAGTCGGAATAAACATGACGGCTTAATTGAACATTCTAATCCGAATTGTAATTGCAATTCTCTATCGCCCGCTTGAAATTTTCCAATCGAACATTGATTTTTTGTATAATATTGCGACACAATTAGACGATAAATAGTTATTCAAAGCAATGGCTATAATTTAAAGGATAACCATGTGTGCATCTCATTTGATTTTATTTTCGGTTTAATTCTGAGAAAAGATTTCAAATGATTTTTTTTTTGTTTCATCGCATATATTGTTGTTTTGTCTCTCTGCAACAAATATGGCAACGAATAATCAGAGCTGCAGACATTGCAAGTGTATAAATCCATCCGCTCATTAATTATTTCCGAAATGGCTTGCCAAAAACTATACCTATATTTTTATATTTTTAAAATAAGTACACGTACTACTCAAGTAGTGATGCACACATTTTTGAGCTGCATTTTTTTTCTCCCTCTTTTTTGCCAGTTTTCTTTTTCTTTCTCTACCTCTCTCTCGCTCTGGCTCGCTCTCTACTCAAACCATGTGCTGGTCACATGTGCCGCCATAGGTTTTGTCTCGTTTCGGTCGAGTTCCATCAAGTCATTTACCCTCAACCGATTACATTTATCACAACATCATTATCGAAATAGATGGGCACTTGTTCCGCAATTATACAATCAACGACATGAAACCCCAACAAAAATAGCATTTCGAGTTTCTCAAAAATTCAGATCAAGGTGAATTCTTGGCCGTTAACTTGAAATAAACAAATCTCGTGCATGCACTCGACTAGTCGACTGCTCAAATGTAGCAAAATAAATGATGTGCGCATTGAAAAGGTGCACTTTCTCACGCAAACACACACACACACACACACATGCCGCACATGTTATGTTGCATCAATCCGCAAACATAGTTTACATTTTGAAATTGCATGCTACTCAATATTCTCTCCCATGAACATGAGAATTGATGCCAAAAAATATGTGGAGTGCGTAAACAAACAACGAATTCAGATTTTGATCATAATACAAATTGTGTCGCAAAATAATTTAATTTCCCGATTTTCGGAAGTGATTAAATATTGAAATGAAAAGTAAACGAAAGGTATGTATGTTAAACTTGTCTTTTGCATTATTTTGATAGAGATTGAAATCGTTGTTGACAGCTTGCAAAATAATGATTATTTTCGACCCTTGCCAATCTTGCCCTTGGCAATCAATGATAATAATTATTAGATATAATATTTGCCAACAAATTATCCATTTGTACACAAGGAACATCATTGCACAGCTTAATTCGACGAATTTATTGATGAAACACTTCCCTGATTTGTGGTGATGATGATCTCGTCTTTTGATATCTACACATTTGTCTTGATTTACAATTTTGACTTTTTATTATTGTCGTCTGATATGAAATGGCGACATTTATCACAAGATTTGTGCAAAATTCTGCACAGTACTTACATTATGTATTCTAACAAAGTCTCTATAAGATTGATTGTTGCTGTGTCGCCATAATTTATTCGATGACAACCAATTTACACAAAAAACAATGAACAAAAATCGAGATAAAATAAACAATACACAAAATTGCACAAAGATCAGTTTCAACGTTTAAACAATGGAATAGAAAGAACACGCCAAACAATGAAAGTAACATGTGATGTTGAATGTCAGTCAGTCAAATCCAGTGTGCATGCGAATGGCCGAGATGTGCTAACGGTTTATTTTTCTCTCTCACTCTCTTCGATTCGGTGTGTCTGTCCGTGCAATTGTTTAAGTAGATGTTTAAAAATTTACATGTACTAACAGAAGACGCTAGACAACCCTGCGTATTGTCGTCGGAGAGAATGTCGTAGAGCAACCGATGCGCCGATGCCAAGTTCAAAACATATCAGATTGATGCTCAAGCATCAACAGAATATTCCAATAGACTTTTATTGTTACTTTGCTCCTCGCACTGATAAATGCCATGTTGCTGCGTTGTTCTCCGGCATTTGCTTTGCATGGTTTTTCGTTCGGTGCAGAACCAAATGAAACAAACTAACACCATCACCGAGTGCTGATGTATCGCATCCAAAGTGAAAAACTAACAAATACAATTAGAATATTTGCATAGTGACCAATGGGTTTTACCGATTCAATGGCCATTAGCAGACATTGTGTGTTTCATAATAAGTTTTTAATTAAATTAACCATTTGAAGCGCATGCATACGGTATGCATTGCAACCCGCTGCTTCTGCTGCTGCTGACAACGCAATAATTATATAGTGGTCATTTGAGAGCTATATTAAACGGAGGGCTATTTTTGGAGTGTAATTTATTCTAAAAATAAAAATCCCACCAGATATTATTTCTAAATTTAATTTTTTTTTATTGAGTTAAGTCATTGCGTGTGCTCACACGATTTATGTGTTTATTGTGATAAGGCTATCGAATTCAAGTGATAAAAACAAATAAAACATAACAACCGTATAATGGACAAATTACATTCATATCAAGGTTGGATCGGTCGATTTCATGAGTGGCGAGAATCGTTTCGCGACCGTTTTTCCAATTGGAGACAAGAAAATCCCGAAACTGTCATCGAACTATTGAAAAAGAAAGTTTACAATGAATCGTCGAGCTGTGCTGATGCCGATTATTCCCACAGACACAGGTCTTTATTTATTGCTTGTTAGCTGACATACATAAATTTTAGATTCAATTCTCTTAAACCTTTTTCGCATTCAATTTGCTGCGAAAGTAAAAGAAAAACCTATTCAATATTGAAAAAGCCAATGTTTTTCATCGAGTGTTAGATGCATCGATTGGAATAAATTCGACAGTAAATATCAATTGATGACAATCATTTGCATTTCAATTGAATGTATATTTGCGCGACTATTTCGAATGCATTAGGTTTTTCTCTCGTTGAAATTGTACAACATGCAATTTAGAAAATCCGTTTGATGACCCATTTTCATGGTTATTATCGTTCTATTTTTCTTTTTTTTTCTGTGCAAATTCCAATAACGAAATAACAATAATAATAATAATAATAAGAACAAAAACACGGTCTGAGTTGCTTCGAGTTTCGGCCGCTGTAATGGGTATCGAATTTTCGTATGCGGCAGAAACGGCCTTCGTTTCACCAACCCTTCTAAGCATTGGCGTTCAACATCAGCATATGACATTGGTATGGGCACTATCGCCATTAGTTGGATTCTTTTTAACGCCGATTATGGGTTCGTTCAGCGATCGATGTCGACTGAACCTGGGACGTCGAAGGCCATTCATAATATTATTTTCAATCGGCATATTTATCGGTAATGTGATTGTTATTGAAATTAATCGAAATTAAAACTTTGTAAGAAGAACAATTCTATTTATGCATATTGTGCTGCCCATTAGGCTTGCTGATGGTACCAAATGGTGAAAGTATCGGTTATGCTATGGGCGATTTCAATCCGTACGAAACGAACGAAACTGTAATAAAGTCTTCGGTGTTAGCACATCGTGCGACGGCTTCTGAAACGAAAATAGTCCACGTTTCGAATACATCGCATCCATGGGGAGTATTCTTTACTATAATCGGAACGGTTTTATTGGATTTCGATGCTGATGCATGCCAAAGTCCAGCTCGTGCTTATTTGCTCGATGTCACTGTGCCGGGGGATCATGCAAAAGGTTTGTCAACGTTCACAATAATGGCGGGATTAGGCGGCTTCATGGGCTATTCACTCGGCGCCATCAACTGGGAAGAAACGTCTTTTGGTATTTCAAAATTAACTTTTCGATTCTTATGTAAACAGCAATACGAGCAACTTTTTGACTTTCAGATTTATTTTCCGTTGCTTTTTCATGCCTTTATGTAGTTTTTGCTTGATGATTTCTTTTTGGCAAGTTCCTTTCTGCTTGGTTTCTTTCTTTTCGGTTCGGTAAATGTTTGACCAGTTTCTTTACTATGTTAATATGTCATCAAAATCTATTTCATATTCTGGTTTCTATTATTATGTGCGAAAAGGTGTAATGTTGGGTGGGCACGTTAGGGCCGTATTCACATTGGTTACCATTATATTTATCGGTTGCGTTATCGTGACACTGAACAGTTTTCGTGAAATTCCGCTATGGAGATTAGAGTCAGTGTCCCAAAGCATTGTCGTGATTGACGAATGCGACGATGCAAAACCCGATTCAAATGAACAATCTGCACTTAACGAAAGACTTCAAGCACCCGATCCAATTAACCGGACAACTTCTTACGGAGCCTTATCGAACGAATGCCTCGAAGTACCAAAACAAACAGTAATAAACAAATCATTGCTTCTATCCATGATTTATTACAAGAAAAGAAAAGAAAACGAAACAAGACCAAATAAATACTACTTACTTACTCTATGCTCCCCAGGGAAATCATCGGAGATTCACAATGCCAGCACTTCAACACACTGAAACGGTAACAGTGAATGAGCCAGAGGTTGAGGCTGAGACGACGTTTACTGGAGACAATGTGAAAACAACAACACTGCCAACTGGAGAAGAGGAGCCTATTGCATCTTTTGATCAGTACCTAATGTCAATCATCTACATGCCACATTCTTTGCGAATGGTCTGTCTCACGAATTTATTCTGCTGGATGGCACATGTGCGTTACGATTGGTTGATTCTCACCAAAGAAATAGAAATTACGTTAAATTTTCCACTTGAAATAATTTGAGAGAATTTTAATGGCTCAATTTTTAATTCCATTCTCGTAAATTGTGTGCAGGTCTGTTATTCATTATACTTTACGGATTTCGTTGGTGAAGCCGTCTTCCATGGCGATCCAAAAGCTGCTGAAGGATCGGAATCGTATGCGCTCTACGAGGAAGGTGTGCGTTTTGGATGCTGGGGAATGGCAATGTATTCGCTATCTTGTGCGTGCTATTCGCTAATTATTGAAAAACTGATTCGTAATTATGGGTAAATGAACCATATATACCAACTAAAAAAAAAAAACAGCTGAGCCTGATTAATAATGATGAGTGTTGCTTTTTTTCTAGGGCGAAGAGAGTATATATTGGTGGACTTTTATTCTACAGCTGTGGCATGTGTATATTGGCTTTGACAAAAGCGCCATCCAGTGTTATCATCTTCAGTTGGTGTGCGGGCATCATGTATTCAACGCTTTTCACAATGCCATATTTATTGGTCGCTCATTACCATTCAGAGGGATGTGTAAGTATTGCGTCTTGTTCTTCTTCGGTTCTTGAATCAAGTGCATTCCTGATTAAGAGAAATGGTTTTTAGTTTGCAGTTGACGCATCAAATTCACAAGGAGCACAAATTCGAGGATTGGGAACAGATATTGCTATTGTCAGTAGCATGGTTTTCTTAGCACAATTCATTTTATCGCTGTGCATGGGAACGATTGTCAAATGGTCGGGCACAACCACTGCTGTTGTTTCGATGGCCAGCTTTCTAAGTTTTTGCGGTGCAATTAGTGCCACACAAGTTATCTACCTAGATTTATAGGTAAAAAGCTAAAATGTTCTTCTTATTATAATCATACACTTTATTCGATTAGAAATACATTCACTTGTTACATTTGCAATAATAATTCATACATCCTTTTGCAAGTGTAAAATTGTTTTCGCTGCCATTTTAAGAAATCTTTACAAAATAATTTATGTGTCATAATTTTGATGTATTGATTATAAAATAACAAGAAACTGTTCTATATTTTAATCCATTGATGTTGTCTCCTTTTGTCAAACGAAATTTAACTCGGAAATGAGATCAAATAAAATATCGGTCTGTTTTATGTGCATAAAAAATAAATTGACTTCGATCGAATTCTATCAGGTTTTGTTTCAAAATTGGGCACTTTTATTTGTTTGACTGCTTCTATGTAAGCAACATTTAAATTATCAAAAGACTATTTTGATTTTACTCTTCCGTGGCAATCGTAAGTAACCACCTGTCTAGTACGCACGGATACGTACATCAAAGTGCAATATTTTGCACCGACCATTAGCCGTTTACATTCTCAGATTATTTCGACATTTATCTAAAATGTCCCTTTTCATGGCCGTGTAATCTGGGTGTAGCTTCAATACTTGCTGGCACACATCGATTGCATCTGCAAATCGCTTGTTCTTCATATAATTAAATGCCAATTTATACCCAATTGTTGGTTTTGATTTTCCACCATAGCGCCAGGCCAAGTCGTAGTGCATTGCTGCAATGCGGTAGATCTGATCTTTTTCAGATAATTGAGCCGATAGTTCATAGGCTTTTGCACATGATTTATTGTGCGAGGTAACTCTCTCTAGCAAATCTTGGGCCATATCATGTTTACCCGCTTGAATATAGATATGAGCCAACATCAACCAACATTTTTCCAAATATTCGGCGTCCTCAAAGTTCCATTGGTTTTTAGCGACGCGTTTCAATTGATTTTTTGCTTTTTGAGTTTGTTTCAATAATATGTGTGCGGTGGCTAAACCTAATATCGGTCCCACATGATCTCGATACTCTTCCTGCATTGCAATTTCCGTGAAGTCAGTCAAGGCCGTTTCAATGGATAGTTTCTGGCGCGTTGCTACCAAATGGAAATTGGTCAATAGACGAAAAGAGAGCGAGTCGTTTTCTAGCCCACTGGTGCTTAATTTGAGCTCTTTCAACAAACGTTCAGCTGTTCGAAGTGCCATCAACTTTGATTCTCGAACCTCCGACTGAATAATAAAATGATTTGAAAAAAAAAACATTAGGTTAAATAGGCGAAATTTTAAAATAAATCGAAATCCTTACATCATCGTTAATTGAGTCTTGAACGATTTCATTCGGTAGGTCATTGTCTGGATTCAAGCATATTTCAATCATATTGCAAATGGCCTGATGACCCCATTCCGAACTGCGACGAGCGTTGTTGAAATAACGAAGTGCATTGTTTGGATTTCCACCGTACCATTCATATAGACCTCTGCAAAAGTTCAGACCAGCCTCTTGAGTTGGTTGCGGGCAATTTTGCTCGGCTCGATCCAAAAATGGAAGAGCGTCAGGCAATGCAGCCGATCTAGAAAAATGAATTGGTTTTAGTAATTTTAATGAAATTGGATTGAGAAGCAGAAAAAAATGAATCACCTTCTCAATACTTCAACTAAGCGAGCCAATGCAGTCCAATAAGTCGGTTGCCCGATTAATAATTGCGAAAAATGGTATGCAGCACTTTCGAAATTCATCTGAAGTGAAATGTATTGGTTGTAATTTTTAAAGAAAAATCCATTTTAAATAGCGGTAACTTACTCCACGAAAAGATAGATCCGCCATCATCACAGACGCTGCTTCATTATTCGGATCGATTTTCAACACTTTAGTGCACATGCTTTGACATTCCATCGCATTATTCACTTGCAAATGAAGCCGTGCTAGGGCAATAACTGTTTTTATGTCATCCGGTGAATATTTTAACGCTTCCTTATAGTGATTAATTGCCTGATGATTATCTCGTAATGCAATTGACTGCTCCGCCATTAGCACACAAATTCTGAAATGTTTTAAATGTTGAGTAATTTTAATAATTTTTTTAAATCATTTTTCCAATTGTCACTAGATTATGTTGTATGCGTAAAATCCATTTGCATTTCTTACTTTGAAAGTATTGCATTTTGTTCATAGACACCGGACGATTGCTCAACAACAATACGATTTTGCAAGCGATATTGATTGTCGCGAGCCTCTTTGAGCGTTGCCAATGACGAATTTAAATGGCCGGATTTCTCGCGGATTCGTGCCAACAACAGGAGCTGTTTGGTTCTTGTTTGAAGCAGTGTTGTATCATCGCTTGTACTAGAAAGGAAACGCAAAATTTAATAAAATAAATCCAATCTCTCATCAAATTAGCACAGAAGTGATACTACCTATGACTCGATTCGATGTCTTCAATCAACGTTTGTTCGGCACTCGAAAATTGTTTTAACTTCAAAAATAATTCGGCCAAATCTAGTTTCATTGACAAGTTTTTGTCGTTTATAGTGGCTTCTCTGTAGTAATTGATGGCTTTGTTGTACTGATGAGTTTTTACATATGCTCGGCCCAATTTGCTTGCCAAAAGTGGATCGCTGGGATTTTGCCGAAGTGCCATTTTAAAGGCGTTGATTGCTTCTTCTGGTTCTTGTATATGCATGTAGGCATCACCTAGGCAAATGCAAGTGCAATTTAGAAAAAGATCGGTTTTATTGTAATTTTTTCTGTAGATAATTTTCAGCAAATGATATCCATCCACAACTCACCTAACATCAAGTAACTCTCTGGACCCGGCATATTGTCGACCAGTTCTTTGAAGCATTGAGCAAAGAGGATCCGATCTTTTTTATGGTTTAGATAAACATAGGCTAATTTATTTTTCGCCTGAAATTCACCAGAAAAAATATTTAGGTTCATAGTAGAAACAGAGAATAAACTTGAGTGCAAATTTAATTTTCACCTGTAGGTAGTAAGGTTGCCCTGGTTGAATATTTTGCAAGTAATTCAATACTTTATCAATTTTCCCCTGTTGCAATGCAATATCCGCACTGGCAATGATGATTCGGCCTTCTTCCGGAGTGTTACTGAACTCTTCAAACGATCGATCCATTAGTTTGACGGCTTCGGCTTGCTGGTTCATCAATAAATACCCGTCAATCATTTGCAAGTAGAGCGTCACCCGATCGGGCAGCGCAAGTGTGTGTTTGTCATTTGTTTTGTTTGCATTCATCGATGCATTTGAACTCGGCATGCTGCAGATGTTTAAAGCGGTTTGAAAACATTTTTGAGCATCTTCCAACAGTAGTTGACTTTTCTTAATGACCCCGTTTACAAGGTGATACATAGGATTGTCTCGAACATCAAAATTGTGACTCAAGCAAATCTCCAGATTCTGGTTTGCACGTTGATAGTGTTTTTGTTGAATGTGAATTTGGGCCAGGAGCAAATGTGCATCACTGTATGATGGATCAATGTCGTTCAGCAGGCGTTGTAGCGTTACTGTAGCAGCAGCCGATTCACCACAAAGAAATTCCGCTTTGGCCAATTGATAGAGAGCAATAACCGAGCCGGGATAGGCTTTAACTACTGCTTCAAGTATATTCAAACTCTGCTTGAGTGAAATATGTAACGTTTTCTTTGAAAGTTCAATTTCATCAATATTAATAGTCGATTGGATCGGTGAATATTTTAGCAAGTCAGTTGTGACATCCAATAGAAAATCGGAATCAAATCGTCGCAAATATTCCGCTCCGTATGGGACGGTTTTCAAATTTTTGAAATGCACTTCGCATGCCTCAGATAGAATCGAAATCGCTTTGTCTGGATTATTTTCGATGGTTTTCGCTGACATATGCAGTAGGAATGGATTTTTGGTTGTACCTTGAATCTCGCTCAAAAACTCGATTTGTTGTTTTACTTGTTCGCTGACGCCCGACTCGGCCATCTGACATTGAGTTAGACCACACAATGCTTGCAACGAACTGTCATCAACTTTTGTGGCAGCACGAAAATGCTTAACAGCATCTTTGTATCGGCCTTGAAATATCGATTGGAAACCGAGCTCGGTTAAATACTCAGCCTTAAATGGTGACAATTGATAGGCCTTTTCAGCGAATAGCATCGTGCAATTCAGTACATCTTCGTTTCGATTGCAGTTGCGAGAGAATAATTGAGCAAAATATAAATGTAAATCGGCATTTGACGGTTCATTCTTTGCCAGTGCCGAATATAGTTGCTTCAAGTAAATCAAACCATTCTCAACTTTTCCCTCGTGGCATATTAAACCTAGCGCTCGGATGCACAACGCTTCAATATTGTTCGGTTCGAGGTTTAATATGCGAGACGCAGTTTCTTTTGCGTTCTCCCAATTCCAACTGGCCAGTTGAATTTTCATTTTCTCAACGAGCGGAATATTTGTGTCGGGATATCGTATTGATAAATGATTCAAGATATTGATGGCCGTTTCGAAATCACCATTTTGCTGATGGTAGCGCACTTGAAGCGTGTATGCATCAAAGTTTTTTCCATATTCTAATGCGATTTCAGTTGCATCCAAAACTTGAGTAGCATTCTTCGTTCGGAGGTACAATTCACACCATCCCTTAAGGATGAGCGCATCAATTGAAGTATGCAGCAATTTCAATGATTTTTCTGCGTATTCTTTGGCCTTCTCCAACTTGCCGCTCAGAAATAGAAACACACCGGCATAGTATGCCGATTGACTGGTTAAATGCTTTCGCTCCGCTTTCAAATGTTGGTCAAGTGTTGAAAGTGCCTCTTTGTCTACAACGGTGCACCGTTTGTGTGCATATATCAAGCCAATGATTGCTGCCATTCCGTACTCTTTGTCCGATTGCATCGGATTTAGCTCGCGAATACCTAGTCGAAGAAAGAATAATTGGATTTTGAAATGAATAATTTTGATCTTCTTTTGGCTTCAATTTTAGTTGGAAAACAGTCAATTTTGTCATACCTTCTTGTGTACGATTGCCCAGAGACAGCGCAAAGCCATTGTACAATCGAAAGCATGCATTTGCTGGAAATTTGGTCAATGCTTCGATTGATTTGCTCTGCATCGAATGAAAGTACTTCTCTCGTCCATAATACAATATCAATGACTTGTAATCCAATTCATCCATTGTTACCGATCTTGATGATTTCTAAGGCGTTTTTGTCTTGTGTGTACTTGAAAAATGAATGAAAATCGAATTTGAAATGTATAACAACAGCATAGCCATTTTTATTCTTCAATCACAGCTCAATTCTTTTGTACAACACAATGCGAATATTGTGGCGCATATTTGTTTAAATAATGTTGTAAAAAGGTGCAGTTTAGTTGCATTTTGTAACCATTTTCAACACAGTAATCAAAGGCAAACTACATAGAGGAAAAGAAACAGTTGTGTAAGTAACAGGTGTACAACAAAGAATTCCAATCACCAGTTCCATTCGAACAACATACCTTGGCTAACAATTTTCCCAAACCGTTGCCAGCGAATTCCGCCGGCACTTCAGTATGTTCCAACACCAAAAGTTTGTCAAATTTTTCATAAGATAGAAATGCTCTAGATGTGCCAAGATCAATGAAAAATACCATATTTTCTACGTCATGTTGAATTTGTGGTGTGACTTTTTTTGACCGGGTCATATAACCATAAGCAGCCATAATTTTTTTTTGTCTAACAAAGTGCAAGTGCTTCAATTTCAGAATTCTACTCAAAACCAATTAATTCTCGCTAAAATTTCACTTACCGTCTATAAAATATAAAGAGGAAAGAAAATGAAATTTCAAACGATAACAACAATCAAAGCGAATTTTTGTTTATATTTCTTTCATGTTTCATCGTTTCCATGGGACAACACATAATTTGACAGCTGTCATCACATACTACCAACTATCAAACATTATCGACTAAATGAATACGAAGTATTGCCACCACCATTTTCGCCACACACTTATGTCCATTCATCTTTATTCAAAAGTATCCTGAAAACTGTATGACGAACACCCATTTGAATGGAATGAAACGTTAAAAAAAATATTTAAAAAGAGAATAAAATGTATTAACTCGATGAAATATGGATAAAAATAGATTATTGAATATTCTTAAGTATTTCAATTACATGAAAAATGCTTATTAGAATTTCTTACAGATTTTTAGCTGTCAATTTTCAATTAGAAGAAAAAACCTTACAATATATTCTGTTGAATGCCTTAGCTGAACAGAATGAATTCCATATTTTTGAAAAACAAATGACCAAGTGTTATTGTTGGGACAAAATATATATTTAGTGTGCTATTTTTTTCTAGAAAAAATATTGGGAACACAAAAAAAAATCAAGAAATTTCCAATTATCTTTTGTATTTATCGACATGGCGCGAAAATTTGGAAAATTCAAAATATAAAAAAGAAAAAAGCTATATTTGTTGAAGAAAGTGTTTTAAATGTACTATTCAAGAGCTGTTTTTTTGTGCCTGAAAAATTAAAGTACCATGAATGTTGTCTCGATTCTAATATTGAAGCTATTTTTTTTCCAAAATAAATAAAACTCGCACGATGATGGTAATACTAAAAAGGTTTGCGAAATAATTTCATTTTTTTTTTGTTTCTCGTATCATAACAATAATATTAATTTTAATTTACTTTTCTATTAAAAAAATAAACCATTTCGTTATTTATTCACTTTTACTGATTTATCTTTCAATGGAAACCACAACAAGAAAAAGAACAACGTATTTCAATTCTTCACAAAAACAACCACAATGTCATTGATGTTGTGCCAACTGCATGGTTTAGTGAATGGACGGCATACATACTCGCAATCAGGCAGCTAAATATGAAGAAAATTGGCTTTAATTGAATAATGTATTGGGCTAAATTTGAGGATTGCCACAATAAAAACAAACCAATCAGCGAAGCTCACACAATCATAGAATAGAAACAGAACTTATGTGTGCGCACACGCAGATACAGAATCGCATTGCCATCATTTTGCAGCATAACGTGGACTTAATCCCACAGTTATGATATCAGTCTATCTAGCATTATCAAGAAAAACGGATCAAATCTCTTTTTGCACAAAATTTTGTATAACCTCCTTCGAATAGAAAAGAGTGATTGATTTTGAATTTGTCGTGATTTCAAAAACATTTTATTAAATCATATTGTTTGTTGTAAGTATTTTGTTATTTTATAATAAGTAATTCATAGTTGTTTAAGACAAAATGGAAAAAAATTAAAGTTTTTTGTGACACCAACATGTGTTAAAAAACAAATTGCGCCATAGTTCACGTGTCTTTGCATCAAGAATAATGAAATATACGAATAAAACAAATCCTTGAATGGTTGCGGTTAGGCAAAATAAGTATGAAAAAATGATGCCCGATTTAATTGATGCTAGAAAACCGAATATCCACGATAAGCCCAATAGGAAGAATAGAAAAACGCTCAGTCGAAGCTGAGCAATGATCAGAGCGCGTTTATTTGATCGAATTTTCGCACTGGATCCAGCCAAAATACTGTAAATTACTAAAAGGAAAATGGTTAAATTTGCCAACATGATCACGCCAATGGGTAAGATCAATCCGAAGTAAAGGGATGACCCAGATGGATAGCAAATTCCGCCACTATTTGAATCGCCCACACTTTGAACGTACGAATTTGGCGAAGTAATTGTTACGATTAGAACTGGAACGAGTGGCAGTCCCCATCCGATTAGAAATGATTTCAAGAAAAATCGATTCGCTCGTTTCGGCCCAAGTACGATGACATATCGCATGAATTGTAAATATGCCGTTATCAACATCCATGAAAATGCCACCAATATCGAATACTGAAGAAGTGCACCGAGTGCAACACAAACGATAAAACGTTGCTCCATCACCAACACCATCGAACTGTATTCCGTGTTAACGAAGCACAATAGGATCATCTGAAGTGCGATCGCGGCTGAAAGCTGTAGAAGAACGACAGAGCTGGCTTTTTTGCGCCAAGTTCGAAAAAAAATGGCCGTGATTGCGATGCCACATACGCCCAACAATGACAAGAGGCAACCAAGCAGAGTTATAATATCCAACGCTTTCTGGTGTGTTTTTGTGATAATGACTTCATCCTCAATGGCGTTTGTCGGTTGAAAAACGGTACCAACTATCAGATAGGAATAGTGCGTGAGATGTGAGCACGCGCATAACACAACTGGATCGACCAAGTGAGATGATTTCCCGAGGAATTCACAACCATCATCCGACCAAGTAGCAAAATCTTTCTCAAAATCCCAATAGCCACACATCGACCCCGATGCATTCGCAGCCGCATTGCGACTGCGTACAAAAGTGGGCAGCAAAGCTGGCAAATTCGGCCCATAGCCCGGTATTGATACACTAATAATTCTTCCTGTTGATTTAGCATGCCTTCCTTTTCGATATTCTTGAAACAACCGATCATTATAGTATATGCTAATAACAATTTTGATGGGTGACGTCATACATTCCTCCGTTTCATTGTTCATCATAGCCGCCACTGTCGTTGTCATTGTCGTTGCTGACGTCGTCGCATTCAGTAAATCAAGTAAACTGTTTGGTACAAATGTTGCGATTTCTAATCTTTCGTCGTTTAACAACTCGTCGGATGATTGATTTGAATAAAGTGTCTTGATGTAATAGTCTGTAAAATCGTTACTTTCGTCATTCGATTGTTGTGACTTTTTTATCAACGCTACACCGGATACATTCTTAATGGATGGATCAATTACATAGACGATCAAATTCGGTGTTTGCGTCGTTATCGTACCATCATCTGAATTCACAATCGTGCTATTACGATTATTTGCCACTGACGTTATACCAATTTGAATGCCATTTAAAATGTTATCAAATGCGTCCAAGAGGATGTTTGTTGAATTAAGTGCCGCCGATTTTCGTGTTGTATTCTCATTTAAGTACATTAAATTATTATAAATGGAAAATACGTGCTGTGTGTCACTTAAATTGAATGTGTTTATGCTGTTTTTGTTGTTCAATCGAGAAAAATCGCTCATTATTCGTCCTAAATAAAACAAATCGGCCGCAACTACATTCATTTTTTGTGAGTTTTTCTGCAACAACGTTGATATATTTTGTATTGCATGATTGTTCATTTTATTAAACAATGACGTTTCAGTGGAGAGTTCGAACAATTTTTCAGTTAGCTGATCAGGTTTACGATGGCATTCTTGTTGAGTGGCGTATTGCCATACGCCGCCGTATAAAAAATCACCCACGCAACTTCGCAACGCGGGCAAACCATTTGATAACAGACACAGTTGATTCGGCGGAATTGTCTCACCAATTTTCGCACTAATCCAACTCAAACCACCATTGACCGTTTGGTTCGATTCGGGTAGACAGTATTCCGTGCTGTTCAATGAAACATATCCAAACTCTTCATTTGGTGGCAAATGTTGAAAGAGATTTTCTAATATTTCGTGAATTTGTATGATTCGCGAAAATTCCTCGAAATCATCATGTCGTTCGATCGAAACACTCACATGACATAGAATTCTCATTTTATACATTCCCGATTCCATTGGTCTCGACGATATATCCTCAATTTTCATGATTCGAACATTTTCGATATTAATTTCAGCATTCTCAAATCGACTTGAATACTCATTGGATTTCTTAAAAATTTTATAGTTGTCTTTCAGAAGATCTCGAAATTTTTTGGCATAATGCTTGATGAAATTCTTCAAAAAGAATTTGCGACAATCCTTACACACCGTATTAATCAATGTGGCAAACACTTCACCCTTTTCACGTCTAAATGCAACGACCTTAGCTGATTGAATCAGATCAAATTGTAGCATTGTATAACCTTCACACCAATAGTAACCGGGTCCCTCACCGTTCAGTTTTAGCTCGTAAATTGCCTTTGATCTCTTGCGCAATCTAGATTCATTGAATACTTTTTGGTTTATTTGTTCGATACTAAGCATGCCCGACCATTTTTTTCGACCAATTTCAACCGTTCGGATCAACTCATCATCAGCATTCGTGAAGCACTTTACACCGGTTTTTAACGTACGCCACATAAACTCTTCGTTATAAACGGTAACGTACAGTCGACGTTTCACCTTATCAAAGTTCAGCACGATTTCGGGTTCGTACATTTTAATGGGCATTGAACACACAAGGCAATCAAACGATTGATCAATCCAATTCCACTTGCCATGTTTATTTGTGGCCAGATATGTGCCATTCCGAAGTGGATGATCCCAATTCACATAGTTTACACGTTCAATTACTGTTTTCCAATTATTTACATCGGTGACGTAGACACTATTGGGTGCAACAGCAAACAAACAATGCTCACTATTCCGAAGACTATTTACACTTGCCAATTGTTTGAATATATTCGTTTTTTCCACCGAATCCATCGTAAATAAATCGCCTTTACATTCGGTTTCGATCAATTTGTCCAGTCCATCGGATTTTTTACCACTCAAACGCCCCTTATCAATCATTTGAATGGAGTGACAATAGTGATCGGAGCTTTGATACGATACGGTGAAACCATTTTTTGGGCATCCCGTTGAAAGTAATCCCGTATGATCGGTGTTTCGTCGGAATAAACACAATAAATTGAGCTTTTGGTGGCATTCCTTTATCGTGCCAGTTGTTAAGTTTGAGTGAACAAAGGCACTGAAGCAGCCATCGGCCGCAACACGCATTTCATCTATTAAATCGACATTGAGTTTATCAAATTCCACTTGTTCACCATTCAATTCACCTATCGTCCATATCACTGGACCGAAGCGTGAGAATCGTTTTCCAGGCAACCAAACTTCTTTCACATTTTTTGCATTCAAATAGTTTATCAATACTTTTTGTTCACTTGCATTCAAATCGTAAAATGTCACTGATGAGCCATCATAAATGCACTGATTTTGCCAATCTGTCGGTTCAGTTAATAAAACACACAAATGAACATCATTTTTACTGATTGTCGTGTAGTTCAGCGGACATGATTCACTCTTTTCGAATGGTTTTTGTGTGGAGTAACAGTTGGGGAATGGCTGTGGTATCCAAACACCGTCATTACATCGTCGCAAAATATTCATTTTCAATTCATCCAAACACATTGGGTCAGCCTGAATTTCACGAGCTGAAACATTGTTGTGCATATCCCACACAACCTCAGGCTGGAATTCAGGTTCACAAATGTCGGTCGCAATTTGATTCATAGACATAACTAAATATAACACCAATTCTGAAATGGATAAATACATTCGATTTTTTATAAAATGATATGAACTATTTTACTTTGCTGACTAAATTCTTCGTTTTTTTTCACATACCAAAAATTCGCCAATTGAAATTCCCCATTGCGAATCGTTTAAATTAAATGAAAGGCGATCGCAAAACTAATACCTATAATAACGCACAAAGAAGCTACCTAGAACATTACTTTATCAATTTGATTGCGAATAACAAACTTATCGTATAGTTTTTAGATATTTTAAATGGGGCAAATTTGTTCAAGAACGTTTGGCATACATAATTGTGATACAGTTTTCATTTAAAATTCATGAATCATTTGTTTGAATTTATGTTTGATTTTTGTTTTGTTTTTTGCATTTTATCGCAGGCAGAGACGGTAGATAAAAGTGCCAGATAATGCGTGGCTCACATTTACCTTTTCTGTTGCTAGTCACAGTTACAGTTTTTAGTGTGATTACACATGCAAGCCACAATGAAATACGAAGACGCCGCAGCATCGAACTATCGTCGGCACAGAAGCTTATCACTGATAATCGCTTGCCTACCGATATTGAGCCACTGAGCTACATTCTCGATTTGCGTCCCGATTTCGAATCATCAACCTTTTCCGGTAGAATTCGTATCAATCTAACGTGGAAAGCTGAATCGAAAATCATTGAATTGCATTCACATTATGATCTGCAAATCGATGAGACCAACGTTCAAGTTCGCCTGCTCGGTGCGGATGAGTATGTGAAAATTTTGATTTTAATCGAAATATCACTAAATAAGATTGATTTTATTCTAGTTTATCAAAGGGAAAACTCGTGGATATTCGTCGAACGGATCGATTACCTAAGCGGCCAGTGTTCCAGGTGTATCTGAAGGAACCATTAAAAAATGGCACCAAATGTGAATTGGAAATCAATTTTAACGGACATATTTGGGAACATGCTGAAGGTTTATTCAAAGGCAGCTACACCAATGAAAATGGTGCCAAAGTGTAAGTCAAAAACAAACTAATATCAATATGTTCAATTTTCTGATTCTAACAATTATTGACATTTATAGCACATACTTGGCGACACAAAATCGTCCAAATTATGCTCGCAAATTGTTCCCATGCTTCGATGAACCAGCCTTCAAAGTACCTTATACTGTTAGCATATCGAGACCATCAAATTACACTACCATTTTTCATAGCACCATTTTATCTACAGAAAAACTGTAAGTACAACGCTTGGAAAATATTCGCAGAACAATTTCAAATGTAGTGCTTTGTTTGTAGCGAGAACAAAACCGGCTATGTGGTTGATCATTTCAAAACAACCGAACCACTATCAACATTCGCCTTTGGTTTCATCATTTCACAGTTGACCAAAGTAAATGCCACTCCAACGGATTTGCTTAAGCCAAAGATCAATATTTGGGCTCGCAAAGATTTACATGGAGATTTGGCTGTAAGTTTTGATCGATGACAGTTTCCATTCCAATAACTTAAATTTTTCACCATCACCTTTATCACCAAATATATAGGATGTCTATGAAAAAGTTTCAATAACATTGAAATCGATTCAAAATTACTGGAACATTGACTTCCCATTGAGTGAAGTGAATTTGGTGGCTGCTCCAGGTCTATCAACTGTTAAACCAATTGACAATTTCGGCTTGATTCTTTTTAAGTAATTAAAATTTGCATTTGTTTTCTTCCCATGATCCATTTCATTCTTTTTAACTTGTTTGTTAAAATATAAAATGGATTCAATTATAGGGAGAGTGATTTGGTGAATCAAGGTTATTATTTAATTGCCCAAGAACTTGTTTATCAATGGCTGGGAACATGGATCACTCCATATTGGTGGACCGATGCTCATGTGAACAAAGCAATCGCCGGATTTTTGGCTGCATCAACCGCAAACGAAGTAAAATTCACACATTAATTTCATTCACATTGGAGAATAAAAACTAATCATATTGTCCCCATAGATTGACAATGGCAAAGAATTCGATGGAAAATGGCCAATGACAGTTTTGTACTCGATTTACTATGAGTTCAGCAAACGGTATCCACATTCACGAATCACGGCAATGAAACAAGAAACAACGTGCAGCAAAACCGAACTCGTGCTTCGTATGTTGAACTACACATTGGGTGCTGACACATTCAAGAACGGATTACGAAAATTATTCAAAAAAGAGTAAATCACTTTTCAAGAAAATCGAAGAAGAGAAATAAAATCTAATTTAAAAAAAAAATCACGTTCATTTTTTCTGTTGCAGAGAATGCAAAGATCTCTTCATCACTGATGATGTTTGGAAATATTTGACACAGCAGGCTCATGCAGACAAAAGTCTACCGGAGGATGTGACCGTGAACGAAATCGCAACGTCGTGGATCACCAAAGATCGATTACCAGTCGTTAGTGTAGAGCGTGATTATGCAGCGAAAACAGCCGTTGTTTCACAGCGTGTGTATCTGCGCGAACGTCCGCATGATGTGCCCGAACAAGATAAAATGCTATGGTGGATCCCATTGATTTTAATTACACAAGACAATTTGAGCTTCAACAACTTCAAACCATATCTCTGGATGAAAAAAACACGAGACATTATCCTCACCAATTTGCCGGCCGACGATAAATTTGTCATTGTCAATCCCGAAGAAATTGGTCCATTCCCAGTAAATTATGATACGAAAAATTGGAATTTGCTTGCATCCTACTTACAAACGGAAGAGGGACGCAAACAAATCCCAACTTACACTAGGTAAAACCACGAATTGCATTAATTTTTCAAAGTTAGATCGCGTCCATTTTATCAATACAAATTGATTCAACAATTTCCAGAGCCAAACTGCTCCACGATGCGTGGAATCTTGCCTATGCTGGAGATTTAAGCTTTGCAACTGCATTTAATATGACATTGTTCATGAAGTTCGAACGCGATCACTTGGTTTGGAATCCCGTATTCACATTCATTGACCACATTGGGCGACACATTGACATGTCGAATGTTCATAAGAAATTTGAGGTGAGACACTTTCGTGAATCGAAAGCAAAAAACAAAATGATTTAATTAACAATTTCTGTTTCCCAGATCTATGTCCGAATACTATTAACGCCGTTGTATGAAGAGCTTGGCCCAGTTCCACAGGAACACGAGGAAAAATGGAAAGACAATCTGAGATCATTGGCAAAAACATTCTTATGCCGAGCTGGATACAAACCTTGCATTGAAGAGGCCCAAATTGCATACCATAAATGGATGGATAGCGAGAATCCAAATGAAGGCAACCCGTACGCATTCACATTGTATTCAATCCGATTTTGAAATTGAAAAAAAAAAAAAAATCAAATTCCATCGGGAGTAGCAATAGTTTTCAGAAAGTTTCGGAAATAAGTATTCTTTTTTTCATCTCATACATCACATTTCAGTGTTTCGAATCAATTCATTTGCCCGGTATTCAAATGGGGCACTTTGGAAGAATGGGAATTCGGATTGCAACGCGTCATCAACTTCCCACCATCGCGCAAACAAAGTGAACGAACTTATTTGCTGAAAACACTTGCCGGCTGCCCAATCAGCAAGGGGAAGATCGAGCGATTGTTGAACATAACGATATTACAACAAAATGGTAACTTCACCGAAAATGATTTATTCCTCATATTCAGCATGCTTTCGGGTGGCTCAAGTGGATACACAACACTCTTCAACTTTCTGCAACAAAATTGGGATCAAATCAAGAGAAAGTACGTAAACATTCATTCGTCCGAATTATCAATCGTTTGATACGTTCATTTTCATTTAGCTTCAAGGAAAAGACCAATCTCTGGGACAATTTGATCAGTTCGGCAACTGGAGTGTTCACCACGCAAGAAGGATATGACATGGTCTCAAATTTGTATGCCAAGCATCAAGGTGAATTTGGCAGTGCCGATCACATCATTGAAAAATCATTGAAGAACATCAAAGAGGAGACCAAATGGAGCGATGCAAATTTACCTGTGATTGAAAATTGGTTGAATGACTATTTGAAAACGGTCGATGTAAAAGATCAGAAATTTTTATGAATACGACAGTAAATCTTAACTGTCGATGTTAGCGACAGTTGTGTGCTATAAAATTTTAAACTATCTCACAATTTCACAATCCACATTTGATTTATCAGTTGCATTTTTGTATGAATATAGCATAAAATGAAAAATGAAACCTTAGTTAAATATATTTTCAGAGTAAATACCCAAACCAAAGCAAATAAAATAGAAAAAAATACTTATGATTGTGAATGTTATGTGATTTCATTTATTATTTTTAATTAATCATTTTTTTTTTCGTTCAGTAAAAATCGTTTGTTGCAATTCAATTGACTAATGCATGTTAAAAACGGAACAGTGTTTCGGTGCGACAACCATTGTAATTAAAGCAAATGTGACTTGGTTGGTGAGATGATATTCTTGTTTTCAATTCTAATATTCATCTCCTTCGCCAACATCCTCTGTCGAATCAATTCCAACTTCTTCGTAATCCTTCTCGAGAGCAGCCAAATCTTCACGAGCTTCAGAGAATTCACCCTCTTCCATACCTTTTTGTTCAGAAATGAAATCATACCACATTGAGTTCCCAATTAGATTTTTAAAAAATTTAACGACGACCATTGACTCTTCGGTAATAGAAATACGACTTACCTTCACCAACGTACCAGTGGACGAAAGCACGTTTGGCATACATCAAATCGAACTTATGATCCAAACGAGCCCAAGCCTCGGCGATGGCGGTGGTATTGGACAACATGCACACGGCACGTTGCACCTTAGCCAAATCACCACCTGGAACAACTGTTGGTGGTTGATAATTGATTCCGACTTTGAAACCCGTTGGACACCAGTCGACAAATTGAATGGAACGCTGCTTTTACAACAAAAACAAATGGTTTATTCAATCGAAAAGAAAAAGAAACCATAGTTTTGCTTTTAATACAAACCTTGGTCTTGATGGTGGCAATAGCAGCGTTTACATCCTTTGGTACAACGTCACCGCGGTACAACATGCAGCAAGCCATGTATTTGCCGTGACGTGGGTCACACTTGACCATCTGGTTGGCTGGCTCAAAGCAAGCGTTGGTAATTTCAGCCACGGTCAATTGTTCATGGTACGCCTTTTCGGATGAAATGACTGGGGCATAGGTGGCCAATGGGAAGTGAATACGTGGATAAGGCACCAAGTTAGTTTGGAATTCAGTCAAATCGACATTGAGAGCACCATCAAAACGCAACGAAGCCGTAATGGACGAAACGATTTGACTAATCAAGCGATTCAAATTGGTGTATGTTGGACGCTCAATGTCAAGATTACGACGGCAAATGTCGTAGATGGCTTCATTATCGACCATAAATGCACAGTCAGAATGTTCCAAGGTGGTGTGCGTGGTCAAAATGGAGTTGTATGGCTCAACAACAGCGGTCGAAACCTGAGGTGCTGGATAGATGGAGAATTCCAATTTCGACTTCTTTCCATAATCAACGGACAAACGTTCCATAAGCAACGATGTAAAACCAGATCCGGTGCCACCGCCGAATGAATGGAACACCAAGAAACCTTGCAAACCAGTACATTGATCGGCCAATTTGCGAATGCGGTCCAACACCACGTCAACGATTTCCTTGCCAATGGTATAATGGCCACGAGCGTAGTTGTTGGCGGCATCTTCTTTACCAGTGATCAACTGCTCTGGATGGAACAATTGACGGTAGGTGCCAGTACGCACCTCGTCGACAACAGTTGGTTCTATGGAAATAAAATTTCGATTCTTTCATTAAAATACTCTAGGAAAATGCTCAATCGCATACCTAAATCGATGAACACAGCTCGTGGTACCTATTTTGATAAAAGAGATATTTATACAAGGTGGATTGAAAATGACCTGAAAAAATGAATGAAAGCTCAATTTTTCAAGTAATCCATATCATTTTCAAAAACTACAATCTTTTTTAGGAACCCAGTCAAAATTTGAGCCAAATCCGACCATCAGTTCTCAAATTATAACACTTTGAATGACGCTACTTGTGAGATTTTCAAAACCATGAAAAAACTGCATTTTTCCTGGCGATTTGGCTCTTGTATTTCAGAACAATAACAAATAGAAATATCAAACCTAGATATATAACCCTATACTAGGGTAAGTTTATGATATCCTTAGACTTTCGAAATCAATCATTAGATATAGAAGAATTGTATTTATACATAGTCATAAGAGCAATTTTGTTGATAAACCTCTAAATTGCTAAAAATATGTGGTTTTGGAAGAAATCATTGCCAAAATCCATTAAGTGATATTGGAAATCTGAAATATGATAGTGCATAAATTTACTAAGACCATAGGGCAACTAACCCCAGGTATAGTTTCAACTTTGTATGGCTATATGCATATGGAATACTCAATCGAAAAAGTCTTGCCGCATTTTTGGTTATGGAGCAAAGGGAACAATATTTTGAGGATTCGAAGCCCCGTTTGGAGCTGTATAAGCGAAATTTGAATAGGTTTTTGATTTTATATATTAAAATTAATGTCTCTCGAGTTCATTTGAATAAATGTGGGCATAAACTGTGGGTAGAAATCGCCAAAAAGGGTTTTAGCGACCAAGGTTGATAGAATTGAACAAAATCAAAGGGTGAACATAATGGATACCGGGCAACGCAGCCAACTTCACGTTGGTTGTTTTTTGGTTACTACTGCAACGCATTGACGTATGCTTGTGTTCGAAAAAAACCCAATTAAAATGAACTAAAACCAAATGAAAATTTATTCCAAATAATTTGAGAGATATATTTTTTAATAAAGTATAATTTCTACTTATATTCAACCAAGTTTTAGAGAAATCATAGTCTTTGTTTTGCTGCAACAAGACTTTGTTGTTTAGTCAGAATAAAAGTAGAAATCCATTTCAAAGTCTTATTGCAGCGAAACCAACTCTATGATTTTTTTAAATTTTGCCAAATATAAGTAGAAAAGGTACTCTTTCAGGAAATATGTTCTCTAATTTTTTTTGGATCTACTTTTCATTTGGTTTTAGTTATCTTTAATCTGGTTATTTTCAATCAGAAGCATACGTCAATCGCAACGCAAAGTGGCACAAGCTTGTACCATTTTTCGCATACACACGCGTATGAACGCAACGAGTGTATACAGAAAATGGGACATGCTTGTGCCACTTTGCGTTACGACTGACTGTAGTTGGCCGGGCAACCGCTTTGGCGTGGCGCTGTCAACAATGTTGCCCCATTTTTTAACACCTTGAACAAAATAGGTTTCAAATTGCTTCACCAACCATTGTGTTTTTTAGGCCCGGTCACTCTCTGAACTCTCCACATGAATATACTTGAATAAAATGCACCAGAAGAAAGTTATACCGTTTAAACTGAAAAATTAGAGCATTTTCGGGAGTCTTTCACTCGTATGACTGTAACTAGCGAACTGATGGTCGGATTTGGCTCAAATTTTGACTGCATTCCTAAAAAAGATTGTAGTTTTTGAAAATGATGTGCATTACTTGAAAAATTAAACTTTCATTCATTTTTTCAGGTCATTTTCAATCCACCTAGTAAATCATATTTTGATATATCTTTGAAATAGCAAAAAGGAAGTTAAGTAATTACATGTTTTCCGAACCCCGTTTCGCTGAAGAATGTATTGAATGAGTCGTCCCCTCCACCAATTGTTTTATCTAAGAACAATTGAACTTAAAATAAGTTTCCAAACTTTTCTTTCCACGTTATCAAAATACCTACCTGATGGCATCATACCGTCCGGTTGGATTCCATGTTCCTTCATTATTAAAAATAGCATTGATAAAGTTATTATTTTTTCAAAGAAAAAAAGTATGCACAACAAAAGTTTGAAACTCATTACTTACAAGACAGTACAATTCCCAGCATGCATTACCGATTTGAACACCGGCTTGGCCAATATGTACTGAAATACATTCTCTCTATGGAAAGCAGAAAAAAACCATTCCATGTCATGTTAGAGTATTAAATAGGATATTCGTTAATTTAAGTCATTTTACGAACAATTCTCTTTTTTTTCTTCCCAGAACGAATTGTCAACCAAAGTATAAATTGTGCTTTCTGTAACTTTGATTTTGCCGAAAAATAAAGAAGCGAATGAACGGAACGAAAATCGATTCGCATAGTATTTAGTAAGCCGCATTCCATAAGTCGAAGTCAATGGAATGATTTGCCTCAAGGTTCACAATTTTTTGGCTCGTGAACGCAAATCCGGCAAACGATTTTATCGAAGTGGAGCATGGAACACAGTAAAAATTTATTTGACTATTATTCAAATAGTGTTCGACACATCATGGTACCGCCGCGAACTAGTTTGAAAATTGAAATAATCGGATGTGTTTCAGTCTTTCTTCTATATATTTTGCAGCACAACGAGCTCAGAAATCTGGATCGAGCGGTGAAAAATGTTCAACTAAAAGTCATCGATACAATTTTTTTTTTGTTCGTTATTATAATTATTATCTGTTTCCTCATTATATTATAGTTGTTTAGTAATCACTTTTGATTGACAAATGATACACTTTGGTTTGTTAATATTTAAATAGTTTTATGAATGAGCGATCGTTTGTCCTGTTGTAAGTGGTCAAAATTGTATGGTTTGAGCAGAGAAAGAGAGAAAGACGTGTACAAAGGTACAATTCTCTCCCTTCAGTTTGAACATGCGTGGAAAATTAAGAACAACACTTGACGGGTCGAAAATCGTTGTTTTTTCGTATTATTTTCTGTGTGCCCTATTGCCTTTATCGCTCTTCCTACACATTCCCACGCTCTTGAATAAGACGGCATTTCAACTCATTACCTTATCAATTAATAGTGATTAATTGAAAATCGATAACAAAAAATTGTTGGCATTTTACAACTCTCTTTCGTTCAATAAAAAATTAAATTACTTTTTCATTCTATTCAACCTTCATGCGATTTGGATTCAATTGGCAAATATGTCTCGAATGTGTCTATATCGGAGCGATTTAATCGAACAATATTTTTGATACTAAATGTTAATTGAACAAAGATAGATCATAAAATAATAGAGTTCATCAATTCAGCCAATTAATTCTCCCACAAGTAATAAAATGCACGGAATAAGTAACATATATGGTATGAAGAACGTTGTTGTTTCCCAAAATTGGAATTTCGAATGCATAATCTTATTGAATAAAATTTTTGTTTACACGAGTTCCACTTAGGTGAATTAAATCATCTAGAAAATCGGCAACAAATATCAACAGACCGTACAAAACTGAAGGAGTGGCTGTAAGAGTCGAAAGCGCCCATTTCCTGTCTCAAAACAATGGCATATTTCCATTGAAAATGATGCATATATTTTAATACACATATAAAATTCGTAGAAAGCGTGCGCAATAAACGAAAAAGTTTTCTTTTTTTCCTTGGTTGTAATTCCCAATTCGTCACATTACCTTCCAAATAAAGTAGCAACGTTCAATGGAACAATTGGCTAATGGGCCAATTTCATTAATTAACAACATTTGCTCGTTCGCAACATATGGTCTATTTTGAGGATATATGTTGACATCATTTTACTGTCTCTCAACAACCAAATGATCTAATTCATTAGAATGAGACAATTTCGGATCTTAGATTAAGAAAGCCAGTTCAAAAGAGTTGTTATATTGAGCAACGACCAACAAAGTGCCTCCCAGACATTTCAATTTTTGTCACGGTATTGGGTTCTCCATGGTGCGGTTCATGCAATTTAATATCGTCTGCGATTGAAATCCCAATAATTACTGCATCGTGTGCAGTACGATATTGATTTTAATTCGGATATGTTGTTTATACCTAACACATATTTGTAAATAGTGCCAATTGTTAATTCGAATTGCTAGAATTACACGTTGTTCTTTATAAAGGTCTATATGAGTATATCATGAATACGATGGGTCAATATTACATAGTTTTTTTTTGTATTTGCGCAAATAATAATGACTAACTTTTCAACGGTAATGACCAGAATTACGTCGGTTTAATTGTAGAACTAAGCAATTATAATAATCGAACAAAGAAGGAAAAAAGTTTGGATAATTGAAAATAAACCAACAAGAAAATTCGAAGAGACTTTTTCGCTTTTCTTTTGCCCAAACGCTCTGATGATCAAATTATATGGCTACAGTGATATTTGCAAATTATACGTCAGTTTCCATTCAGTTACGTTGATGAAAAGAAAAACGGTATTGCTTTCAAACTAACTTATGGTTCACTTTAAAATCGCAAATGATCAATTAAATGGCGTTTCCGCTAGAATTTGTTCCGGGTTGAACAGAGCATAAAAAATGAAATCGTCTGTTTCAATTGACTAAATATCATGCATCCATCCTCCCTGCACAAAGAAGAGAAACCTAGTGATAATAGATCGAAAACCCAATTCTATTCATCTATCACAGAAAATGCATTTCACTCATGTGTGAATTTAAAGAAGTGAGGCTATTTTTCCAACAACAAAAAACAATGATGCAATGTTGAAAATTTTCTACGAGCACAACTGATAAAAGACACTCACCATTTTAATTGAATTCAAATTTCCAACTGTTTACTACAGAAAATAAACGTTTGTTTGGTTCACCGAAAACGAATTGTTCCACACAAAGACGCGAAAAGAGCTGAGTTTCACTGCGAAAGAAACGAATCAACCGTACTTTTACAAATTTGTCCGTAATGTTACAAATCTGAAGATAGACTAAACCGTTTTCCACTTGTAGTGTCGCTTATATACCGCTCAATGCTCGCGCGTATTGTACACGGTATGGCTCTTATTCTTCTTTACATTTTTCGAACAGTAGCGTGTTTCCATTTGTTTTATACATGTTTCATTTTACGCTTTTAGCTGTACGTTTGATTGAGTTCAAACAAATTGGTGTGTCTGTGCACACAGTGCAGAGGTATTTGATTGTTTGTCAATCAATTTCATGGTAGATTGAATATGAAGAAAATGAATAATCATAAACGCCACCAATTTTGGAGACTAATAACAAAATGATTCAAAACAAAACTTTATTTCAATTCATTCTTTTTGGTTAATAAGCAAATGACAATTTGGCTTACTATGAATATATGCATAAATATAAAGATCCAACTAAATGAGGAAAGGAATTGTAGTACATTGAGAAAATAGAAAAAAAAAATCGAAAAAAAAGAGACTAATACAATGGGAAATCTATTTAGGACTTCTTTTTCGGATTGGCCATGTGAATAGAGGCGGTGTGTCGTTTCAGTGCGCTTTTGTCGTTGAATTTTTTATGGCAATAGTCGCAACGGAACGTTCTACCAGCATGGATCAGCAAATGACGGCTCAAACCAGAGGAATGGCAAAATGACTACAAGAAATTGATAGAAACAGTGAAATTAAAGTTAAATCAATGTGAAAATTGAAGGTTTTTTTTTCTCTTGCGAACAGTCTATACTATACCTTGGGACAGAATGGGCAATTGTGCATTTCGGGTGTTGGATTTTCCGTGTGATTTCGGTTGATGTGCTGTCTCAATGCCTCCTTCAGTATAAACGATTTCGGGCAATGTGCACATTTGAATGGCCGTTCACCGCTGTGGGTCATGAGATGCCGTTTCAAAATCTCCTTCTGAATGAATGATCGATTGCAGATGTGGCATTTAAACGGCTTTTCACCGGTATGCACGCGAATGTGTCGCGTGAGTGTACTGTTGCTGGGGAACCATTTTTGACAGTATGGGCATTCTTGTCCATTTGACTTGGCACTGTGATCGCGTTCGTGATTGATGAGTTTACCACGTCTGGAGAATGTTTTCGGACACTTTGAGCATGAGAATATTTTCAAATCACCCGTTTCATCGCGCTCATATCCAACCGTTGGCTGCTGCACCATTTCAATCTCAAACTCCTTACCATCTGATGCGATACACTGCACTTTTATCTCATTGCCAGCCGTTCGTATAATTTTGTACTGTGTTTTGTCATCCAACACGGTGCCACTTTTTGCGGCCACCGATTGCTTTATCGTTGGTAAAATGGATTCCAAAAGTGATGCATCGTAGAAATCATCTGAATGTTTCGAAAGTAGAAAATTATATGGTATGATATCGACACAACTATCCCAGAATATATAAAAGAAATCTTTGAATATTACCTGTGTCTTCCTCTTCCATGCTCTTATCGCCCATTGACTCTTCGGATATGTCGAGTTCATCAGTTTTGGCTATATTTTGCAGTACGAATGGATCGTTATCAAATTCAGCATCTTCAAGTGTGAGTGTGTTCAATTCGTCATTGGAATCGGTGGATTGAAATGCTTCATCGTTGTCTACAGCGTCGGCTATCACATATTCAATTTCTTGGTCTTCGTCGATTTCCTCCATCAGAACTTCAATTGTTCCATTTCCTTCATAAGCGGTGTTTGCGTCTTGGTTTTTGGCTTCGGCTATGTTTTTAAGCCGATTGGACGATCGTGTTCGCATAGTTGGATTGGGATCAAGATTTTCGGGAAGAATGATGTGACTTTTGTTTGATGTGATTTTGACCTGAAGCTGTTGGGTTTTCTTCTCTTCAACATTTTGTACTGCATCGTCCAATTTTTGTTTGAACTCTGGTTCTGGCTTTATTTTCGCCTCTAATTCTTTAATCAGCTTTATGGACTCTGTGTAGTCGTCTTCGAATTCATCCTCGGAATCATCGAACACATGACTCACTGCAATGCAACGACAAAAATAACAATTAATTAAGGTGCAATCAATCAACCGTCTTATGTTTTGTGTTATTTCTCACCTTTTCCAGCGTTAATCAGCCGAAAATGCCGTCGTAGCTTGGAATCAGAGTTTTTGCATTTATTCCGAAACAGAAACGATTTCTCCAGTATTAAACGACATTCAAGGCATATTCGCTTTGGTAATGGATCTTGTTGTGTCACCTGGCGCGAAATGTTATAAAATGGGCATTATATTAGCATATTTCCGAATGGAAAATGTGTGCACAAATTGTGAACAAACCTCAAGTCCCGCACAAGCCATTATTCTCACTGTCAACGATTGATCGTTTGTATAGAAAATTTCAACTGAATTTTCATCATCACAATGACTTAAACACAATCTACACATTCCATCCGAAACGGTGGCATTGTCTGAGGTTTGCATTTCCGTTTTCATTTTTACGTTGCTTTAATTATTTGATAAACATCCAAATACTTTTCTGGTAGCTTTAGTCCACCAATTAATTGTTTCAATTCAAATTAAATGTCTGCAATTTTTTGAAAATTGAAATCGACGATAGATTTGTCTGCATTAGCGTCTTAATCATAGAAGGTTGAAACTGCACCATAATGGAGTAGCTGTCGTTTGACAGTTCACACAGAGCGTACCATAGTTTGACGTTTGGCGTGTATTTAAGTGCGCGACAGTTGGTACAACCGATTCTCAGCTAACAATTCTGAACCATATCGCCGCACACATGCAACACTGAAAATAATTCATATAGCGAACCACAGTAAGAGTCATAATCGTGTGAAAGCCAAAAAATAAGCAGATTCTCATGTATGGCTATTCAAAAAATGGGAAAAACTACAGTAAAATTCGCGACAATTTTGAATTAAAGCGAACAAGATTTCATGCGTAAATTGGTTTAGAGGCGATTCATTGCTATTTTTGCAACAAAATAAAATTATTGGTTTGCAATTTCGCAGAAGAAACCACATTTCTTTGAATCAATTTCTATTTTTGGTATAGATCGTATACAACAGCTAACACTTTTGGATATTGGAATTTTTGCTTTGGCGGCGATCACGAGATTCAAACCTACGTCCAGAAAATAACACGCGTCTTCGAAGCGTCGTCATCATTGGCAGATGATACGAAGCGATGTAATGAGATTTACTCGTATTTCAACACACACATACGCGAGGCCGACATGATTTAAAAATAACTGAAAGTATATTCAACGGATGCCCGAGTTTACGAAATAAAAGAAAACGGCAGAAGACAGCGAGACAATGAAATTGGCACGAATACATTTTTCAGAATGAGATGCCGAGAAAGAGACAGAGTGAGCGAGAAAGAGAGGGCGTTTGAGATCTGAATGTACAAATTTTCAACGAAAATAAAATTTCATCGGTTGTTTTAGTTCTCGACACGACCTTTAAGCATTATGTTATAAGCGGTGGCATCCGTGCCATTACAACTCAAATATTGTGAAAAGTGAAAAATACAAAGTGGTTGTTTATATTTTTTGCGAGCTTTGTTCGTCGATCGAATGAATTCGTTAAATTAGCCGACTTGGTTGATGCTTTTAGGGAAATGTTGCAATTGAACTATAAATTGAACCAGTTTTCGTTTGAATCTGTTGAAATCAAGGAGAAAATGGTGCTCGATTAGCTATTCTATTCAATATCCATACATATCTTGTTTACAAAGTTTCCTTAGTCCAATACATGAATGACCCTTTTTGAACAGTGCTATTATTACGATCAAAAAGTCGACCTCATGTACAGATGCGAAAGTGATGATACACACCGTTTAATTGAATCTCAATACAAATTCCATCATAATCAATTTTTCTTTCCGAATATTCGCGAAGCTCGATTTCGGCAAAAACAATTCACCTGTTTCGTGAATTACCGTCAACCGCGATCATTACAATTTCAACAAATCATTTAATCCAATGAAGCGGAATGCCACACAGTAGGAGTAAATGTTTGACGGTGGTCATCAAAAGATATATATTAAATAATTATAATATTCACTCTCGAAAATTTGCAAATTGTTGTTTGGCTCAATAATTTATTTCTGATGTTCGCCAAGATGACATCGGAATACAGGGAAATTCCATATTTACACATAAAAATGAGTTTGAAAATTAAAACCAAATTGTTGCACTTGTGTTCAAGTAGTTTCAAGTTAAACACTCTATAAACATTTCAGCTTTGTTTCATAATTCATTCACTCATTAACTAGATTGGACTTTATTAAAGTGAAGACATACACATTCATCGCACCGAGCATGGTGATGCCAATGAAAAAAGTCTGCAGTTGACAGTGCAAGACAATTACAATGGAATATTTCATTTATAATTTATGACACGATCTACGCAATCACCTACATTAGGCAGCTTGTTTTGCGTTTTCCGAAAATGTAGCCTTGAAAATATTTTGCCATTCTATAAATAATATCCAACGAAACACAACAACAACAACAACAGAAAATATATCCATTTGTTTTGCTCGTCCAAATGTTCTAATGGCTTGAACTTGATCGGTTCTCGGTGTGTTTTAATGATCATTTTCTATACATGAGCAAAAAAATTCATTGCGCTACTCCCACAGCATCTCTGTGTAATAATAGGAATAAGGCATAAACAACAACCGAGAATTTCGAGAAGAAAAAACAAACTGTTGACATTCTGTGTGTCGGCGCTATATAAAAATAGTCCCTGGCAGTGGTCGAAATATGACCACGATATGAGTTTGTGTTATTTTATTAAATTCCTTTCTCGATGACTTCACTTCGAACTGATTTTTTGGCGAAAAATATCATTTGTTTCTGTCAACAAAAATGTGCTTGAATTCATCCGTTGCGACGATTTTCTTATTTAATTTTGTTTTTGTTTGATAATTTATTTGTGATTTAATTTGACTTTTTGTGTGAAATTTAGATAATTCAGAGAGGAGATTGGGATAAGTGAAAACACGTGATGAAAAATAGTGTGTCATCAAATGGGTAAAATTGTGCGGATTGGATAACACATTTTCAAAATTGTGAGATGGCCTCATCCGTAGCATCGATTTCATCGTCAAATGTGCCCTTTGGCCAAGTTTTACGACATCAAAGTGAAAACAATATCTTGAAATTAAAGTTGAAAAAGCCGAAATCATGGAATTGGGAATTGAGTACGTCCAAATCATCGTTGAATATTGACTTTCCACGGATTTTACTGTACGATAGCAATAATAAGTTGTTGGCCGACGTGGACGAGGCCAATTTTATTGTGAACGGAAAGGAAAATGAGCCACATACACCGGTGCATCTTTCATTATCAGAAATTAGCCGAAAAAGTCACTTGCCGAAATCCCGTTCGTTTAGTGTATCCAATTTGTCGTTAAATTCCACCAGAAATTCTAGCATTGTCATTCACTCCGATCGTTCGAATGATAAGTACAGTTCGTTGAAAAGCGATAGTTCATTTAAAAGCGAAAGTAAATGCACCCGCTCTCATAGCATAGCATCACAATGCACACTTCAAAACAGCGAAGCTGATGAATCGATAAAAAATGGAATTGAAGTGCCATCAAAAGAGACAGAAAAGTTGTCCGAAGTGCCAATCTATATTTACAGTGCCAAAGGGTTGATAAAACGTGATTTCAATGCGAAGGAATTCGATGCGATTCGAAATCGGCAAAATTCATTGGATAGTGGTAAAAGTGTTGATCCACTCAATCCACAGGAAAATAAACCCTTGGTAGCAAAAGATGATATGTTCATGATCCTTGAAGGGAAGAAGCAAGATACGCAACCGACAACTAAGTTAGGTACAAATCCACTTACAAAATGCACGAGCATGGCTGAAATGTTGGCGAATGGGAAAACACGAAGAAAATCTCGACAGAAAATTCGGCGAACAAAAAGTGCGAATTTGTCATTGTCGACAAAGTGTCAGACTAAGAATGTGACACGAAAACCATCACCACCATCACCACCATCATCATCGTCGTCTCCGTGTGGTGAGCACACTGCGAAACAAACGTGCCGAAAGCCAGTTTATCACATTCAGAAGAGCGCTGCCGGTACAATTATTGTGCCCGAAGAGAAGACGTCCCACCGAAGGCGTCGTCGGAGGCATCGATCGAAAAGCTCAGACAAATTGGACAGAGACGATTCGACAAATCGCTCGAGCAAAGGAAGCGCCAGAAGCGGTCGCCATTTAAAGCCAGTGTGTGACATCACTGATGAATTCCCAAGCCGCCATAAAACCATAACCAAAACAGACAGTTTTATGTCAAACGTAATCTTATCACACGAACTGAATACAGATGGAAAAAATGTCGATGAATGCATCAACGAAATAAATGAAATTACGGAATCCGTTGACAGTGAAAATGGTAGAACCTATAAAAATTACAATGAGCATCTAGTTTCAATTAAAACTGAAAATAATCAACCTAATGTGAAAAATGGTCGTGCATCTTCAGCAAATTCAAACAATAATGTCAATAACGGTAACGATGGTAAACAAAAGAAAGCTCAACTCAATAGGAAAGTGTCCTTTGTTCAATTTAATTGTGAAAAGAGCGACGCAGACTGCAATCGCAACGAATGCAACAACGACATAGGCAACAACACCAACATCATCCACAATGATTGGATCGATGTGCAGCTATGCGATGACTCGCATCCAAATGGAAAGTGCATTAATACAAGAGCGATGAATGGTGTTCGGAAAAAAGTGTTTCATGGTAAAATTAAAAAAAGTGCGAGTGTTGCGAGTTTTTGTAATAACTATTCCACAAGCGATAGCGATGACAACTGCGATGATACTCATGCAATGCCACGGGTGCGACATAAAAAACGCCGCTTTTCTCAACGTCCCAAATCGAGTTTCAATTTATATCAACACCGTGGTGGTGAGTAATTAAATGTGTGATTTTCTAAATATAAAAATGCTCAAATCGCTTAATCGCACAGAAAGTATCGCATTGAAAAGGGATTTGAAGGAGAGCAAGAGCGAAAGAGAGGCCGGGGAAGTCAATAGGTTTATTTGAATGGATAACCAATGGTTATTAACCATGCATTTGTTATCATCGTTTCAATGACTTCATTATTTACGTTAGATTACCGAAAAGCGCTCAAATTGACTTCATCGACATTTCGATTTTCAGTGTGCTTTACAAACTGCCACTCGATTTGAATAGCTCAGTCAGTCGTCGACGACGAGGACGACGACGACGACGACGACGACATTATGTTCGAATGATGAGATCGAGCTGATTGTATGTAAAGGTTGCAGTTGAAGAGTGTGCTTCGTGTATTTTTCCATCATTTAAAATCAAGCATTTCACATTTCCCCTTCCGTATAATTTAACCGACGTTCGCCTGAAGCTTTTACTCTTGGTCTGTCCAATTTCAAATGCTTTGAAATTTGCACAACTTTTTTGATGCGACTTCATTCAAACTTAATCCCTTTTCAATTCCATTTATAGATGTATCCTTTATTGAATGCGGCAGCTTAAAGAGATAATAGAATATTTGGTATTTTTCATTCTTTTTAGTAGAGACAGCACACAGCATAAACACACACACACACACACACACACAAATGGAAAGACAGTATCGGTAGTGAAGATAACCGTCACCACTGCAATATTGAGCGGTGGTTTCGTTCTATCAATTATATATTAAAGAGCTTCCTGGGCTGTTTTCTTTTTCCTTTTACTTCCACTTCCTCTTCTTCTTGTTTCTATGTAATTCTGCTTTTGAGAATGAGAATTGTACATGCTCCCCATTTGATACCGCACTTCACATAACATGCAGCTATTATTGTTACTTATTCATTGAATAAAGAGGAATTCATTCCTTTTAACGTATGCAATTAGAATTAATTTATCATGGGAATGGGTGACGTTGCATAAAAATGAACCAATTTGAGAGAATGGCCAATGAGGCATATTCGGTGAGGAAAGGTTGTCACAAGAAACAAACTCCATCAAATGAAAATGTCAAGAAAATTCTATATAATTTCCTTAATATGTTTCAAGTGTCTGGTTTTATGCCGTCGTCGTCATCGTCTATTCGAACGGTGATGAAAGGGCGCATGTCACTTGAACAATTGCTCACCGCACAAATACATGTGTAATCGTACACAGCGAGACAGAAAGACGGGGGCAAAACATATATACATATATATATATTTTTTTTTTTGTGTGTGTGGACAACAAAGCATACCAAGTCCACCTATAGAGAGTTCTTTCTTCGCTTGATACACTTGTTCGCCGCACACAAAGTGTAATTTCGAAAATTATGGGATCTATTGAAATGGTAGGGCGAAGAATTCACGGAAAGAATTGAGTGTGATGATATTGAAATGTTCTACAAGCCAAGCAAATGTCAGCTGTTTTTCCCATTATTGGTGTTCATATCGAAAATGAATACATTGCATTAGATGGGTCTGGGTATGTGTGTTTGTGCTTGTGCTTGAATGTAGCCAAAGCAAGCGAAATGAATAGTAAAAGAATATTTAAACCAATACAGCGAAAAAAGAAAAGGAAAATTGGAAACAGCTAACTGTAACTACACGTAGAAACACTGATGGTGAAGAGGGGAATTGTGTGCATTTGAATAAATGTTGGTTCGAGGCTCTTTCTCTCTCTCTATTTCTCTTGCTCGCTGATACTGTATCCTGTATGCAAACAAACACAAAGTGATTCGTTACCATGCAAGTATTTGTCAACTTTTCCACATTATTTCAATTCATCGTAAGCGATTGAAGCGTTCAGTTGTCGCGAAGTTTTTGGCCTCGGCTCTCTAGCATTTACGCAATTTTTATCCGAAATATCGAAGTCACTGAGTGTGTTGTTGTTAAGTGTTATAAATGAGATTTTATGTTGCGTACAAAAATACGGGGTAGTGAATAACATATCGCGTGCCTGTCCACACACATATAAACAACGGTTGTTGTGTTTTTTTTCCCTCAATTGACAATTGGCCACACATTTATTTGGGAAGCAACTTCAATCCAATTTAAATGTAAGAATTACGTCAAAAAACGACATCCCATTTTGAGTGCGGTACGTTTCCTTAAGTCTTAAATTTAAAATATTCTACCAAATGTACATATTTTTTTCGGGGCTGATTCGGTCACGTTCAAGTGAAATTAATTTTGCGCTTGTGCTTTTTCCAGCCAAATGTTTACCGAAATCATTTGGTTTGTGCAAAATAAATAAAATTGATACGTATATTGCGGTCGAATTTTCGTTCGCAATTGAATTATTCGACAAATTGGTATAAATCACGCGCACATTACGTTTCGTTTAATCCTTGTCATATATAACAGAAAATAAAAAATTTCGTTGCTATGACAATGTCGTATAATAATTGAAGCGAAAAGAAAAAAAACCACCTAAAGTGCAGTCTGTAAAACGAGAAAAACACATTTCAATCAAGAATTTAAGGTGCGATAGAGTATATCATATATACATAATCATGTCCAAAGAGACAGACACAGTCTCTTATGTCATTTATATCGTGTAGAGAGAAAAGCCGGAACGATAAACGTGAGTTGTGGGGATTGCACACAACTAATACACAAAACCAGGTGTCAAAGTCAAACATCCAAAATCACCATGACCAAAAACGTTCGAAGTGAATAAAGTGAGTGTGCACTGTGCAGTAGTGCATGAAAGCATAAAGATAATAATAACAATGATAACAACACAATGCGTAGCAACGCAATTCGCATTTGCACGGTGGAATTGTGAAAATTAGCGCAATTTGTCGTCTGACAGACATTGCACATGTTAAATGCGATAGAAGAAGCAGAGGAAAAACTGAAGTAGACGAAGAGGAAAAAGCATAATAATCAAGACGAATGATAGATGCCTGCATATTTTGTTAAGAAACCTAGCACAGAAAATCGATGGAATAAAAGGCATACACAGATGAAGAAAGCTGTAAAGCTGTAAAATTATGAAATTGAAAAGCATATCTAACAAAAAAGAAAGAAATAACTGCGCGAAATCGTCTCAAAAATTGGGTCGTTTCTCTTGTAAATCTGGTTCGATGTTCGTACATATTCTTTAATTGAATTTCTGTTTTTTCTCTCTCTCTCTCTCTCTCTCTTCGGTTGTTTCGATACTTTTCTTCTGTTTACTTCGTTGTTTCTGTTGTTATTGTTGTTCGTTGTGCTGCTGCTGTTCATATAGAACTTAGTCAATGTAGTGAATTTACGTTTCAATTTTCTTCGATTTATTATCCAACTTTTTATTTTATGCAAAATATATTTGATATGTTCATGTAGTATGTTTTGCCAGAGGCAGTTCAAATATTTGAACAAATTCTAGACAATTAGCTAGCATAAACAGCGGAAATGAGCATATTGACTGCTGATGCGAACTCTCCCTAAATGAATTTTTGAATAGTATTGTATTTTCACGCATATGCACCCGCAATGTAATTTTTCAAAGGGAACGCGCCGCGAAACCAATTCCCGAACGAACTAATCGCTTGGCGTTGAATGGAACATTACCGAAACACTTTTTTTTTCTCTCTCTCTCTCTCTCTCTCTCTCTCACTCCCTCACTCGCTATTGTTAGATTAAAATACATGTAGATTTTGTTCAGTGATTTTATTGCCATCATAAAATTTTCTGGGTTTTTAAAATGACCGTCGGTTGATTTTGTTTTCATTTCTTTTTTTCCTCTTGAAATGAAAGCGAACTTTTTTGTTAGTCCATTTTTATGTTCGATAATGTGGAAATGGATATTAGTCTCTCTTGGTTTATGATCAATGTGAATATTCTCGAAAAGAGACAATGGCTTGAACTTGAACTCTGTGCTTGTGATATTTTGGCACACAGTTCTTCTTCATTCACAGTGACTAAACAATTTCAGGGGCAGCATTAGTTGAAAATTCAAAGAATAACAACAAAAAATCGCTTCCAGCGTTTCTTTTATTTATTTTTTTTTTCGACAATATTCTATGATAAACACTAACAATTCATTAATTGACTTTTTGAATGTTTGCATAATGGAATACAAAATATTTTCTCGCATCAAATATTTACACTATTGGCTGTTGTCCACCATTGTGATTTTCTCTCTGGTTCAAACGAAAGAAAAGAACAACAACAATAAGAACCAGACAAACTATATTCGAATTCACTAGCTGTACGGATCGCCGGTGATGTTCTCGCACAAAACACAATGTCAATGCTTTAGGTAAATGCGAATATACACATTTTGACTGATTTCGTAAACGAATGCAAGTGTTACTTTGTGGGTGTATAGCGCGTATAGTGTAATTGTATACATTACGATTTTTTTGTGGCACCCACAAAAGGTGAAGCCCGGCCACTGAACACGAAAGAAGTACAGAGAGAAAAAGAGGGAGAGTAAACAATGAATCCACGAAATGGACATTTTCGATCCACTCTAATGGACAGTTCTCGTTCGTGTTCCCGAGACGTCAAGTGAAAATAAAAATGCAACAACTACAACAAAACATAGTGAACAGTGCTACAGCATAGTCACAACAAAAGCATACAAAATAATACACACATACTACTGCACACGCATACACATGGATTGGAAGAGGAAGAAAACAAATCAAAGAATAACGAGAACGAGTCAATAAATGTAAAAAAAAAAACGAGGCACCGAACAGTTTAAGCGTGGCATGAAAAGCAAACGAACACAACTGAGTGTGGATGGAACTTGGATCGAACTCTTTTTTTTTCTCTTTTTCCATATAAATGGTTGATGTGAGTTTTTCAAAACACACATTTTCAAAGAATAAATGTTCGAACGGAATGATCGCAATTTTGTGACTGTTTATAGTTCCGCCGTAGTTTCTATTACTTTGATTTTATTTTCGAATTTTGACAAATCGTCTCTAGTGTCTGCAAGTTTTTCCAATTTTTGTGCGTGTGTATTTCATTTGACTTTTTTCAAACTACAAGAAATGTATAGCAAACAACAACGACAACAACAAAAAAAGAACGACTAACAAAAATCACAAACGGAAAAAAAAGAAATTCCATAACAGCAACAACACACACACACATACACATACCCAGAGAGAGAAAGAATGGCATAAAGAAAACGAGCGCAAAAGCCGCGAACAATTTATTGACAAATCTTGCTCTTTTCTTCATCTAATGCCACTTTTTTCTACATTATTATATTGAAATTGTTCTTGCCATACATTGTTTGATGTTGTGTGCGCGATCAAATGTTCGGTAAATGGGTTGTTCAATAGAAATACGAACGAAAAATAAAATTGTGATACGTAATAAAAAAAAGAAGAAGTTATATTGTCACGATAATTATCGCTCAATGTCTCAAGATATTGATGGATGATAATTCATTGGCATTTATTTCCTTATTATTTGTTCTGTTTATTTTTCATAGTTTGTGTTAGCCTTTGGATTCGATGTGCAGTGAAAACAAATGTTTAAATTGAGAGTTGTGTTTGCAAATGGATTTGGCAACCATTTAATTTGCCCTCAATTTTGAGGAGAATCATATCAAGTGTGTGTGTGTGTGCGTGTGTGAGAGAACGAGAGATAGAGAGACAGGGAAAGGGAATTTGATTATTCTTCAATTAAATTAAGTGTGTTGTCATATCAAATATGGTACATTTAGGTAAATATTGAGACATTTGTTTACGTACACAAAACATGGAAACTATTCTATCCAACGCACTGTTAAGCCGACTGCAACCGAACACCGTTTACTGCACCTAGCTAGTTTTATTGTTCAAATGGCTTTCGGATTTCTTTTTCCTTTTAAATTTTGTCCAAAACACTCGCACACATTGTGCACGGCAGAGACCATGTTTTCGAGTAAAATTGCATTCAAATGTACGACATTTTAGTGATGAATTACAATTTCGGATTTTGTATATGGTAAAATTTAGGTTGAGTGAGGCGAATAATTGAAGTGCTGTTCACGAGTCGGTTTAAGTCTGAATATTGTTTTGAATCAAGGCAAGAAATCCGCACTTTTTGTTTGTACATACACTTCAAAATTCAATGATGACTATCTGCCACTTCAAATGCTACAGTAATTTAAAAGTAAAAACGAGTCGTTTAAAATGACAATGACAATGAAGTTTTCGGGCCTGAATAAACAATATTGCAATTCAAAACGAGCTCATTCTCATTTTTGTCTATTATTTCAATTCTCATGAAAATGGTCAGTTTCTTTTGATGAAATTTGAAGTAGAAAACTAAACACACACACGCACGCCTGAAGTGCGAAAAATACAGTTTCGTCGATCGGCGTTGATGTGTAGAATTATGTTACTATATACATGTATGATAAACAAGCAGAAAAAAATAGTAACAAATGAAACACCGAAACTGCGCAACGCTTCTTCTAATGGTAGCTTAGCATAGATTTTTCGTTAGATTTTATTTCCGTTATCTATTATACCGAAAACAATCATTCATAATTAAAAAGCATAAAACTCTTTTTTTCGTTCATTTTTCCATCTATATATCGTGTTTGTTCCTCTTCGTTGATTCTCATTCGCTTGATTTATATAAAGTTTGCTCTTGATGCATTGTTCAATCTTCGAAACGCATGCAGTATATGCCTTGTTTGTAGCACACCGTTTGTTGTCGCGCGCGATCTTTCAAGATCTAATTGCAATAATTGCGTGCAAAATTATTTTGAAAACATAGAGAAAGAATTCGAAATAGAGAGAGAGAGAGAAATACAAGCAAAGCGTATCTGCAATCATAATGAATCAGCCAAGTTTATGCCAGCCAACACCGTATGAAAACTCAAAATCAGCTATCCGGAAAAATGAAAAAAAAAGATGAAACTCACTGGCATGCATTGATTGGTGCAGTAGCGTTTCACTCTGAAATTTATAATTAAAAATATATATACTGTAGTAAACGAGGAAGTATTGCACGCACGAAAAATTCACGCACAATATATCCATATGCCTTATACTATTTACATCGTCTACTTGTTTTACTTCTTCTTCATCCATTTCATTTATCAATAATAATGCATAATCGCATTTCATATTACTGTCTGTGAATATTCATTTCAATCGATGATAAAGGATAAGATTGCTCTGAGATATTTTGCAATTTTCATGCATAAAATGTAACTGATAATATATGAATGAAAGTGAGTTGCCAACTCTATTTCAGTATAGATTTAATAGGTTGTAAACAAATGCCAAATTATTCTCCGTCACAAGTTTAACACGAAACAAACCGACAAGCACATTGAGTTAGTGTATAATATTGAAATGCCCTGAAACATCAATGCCAAGTTTTAATAAAGTTTGCATGAATTTTAAAAGTTTTTGGCGTTGCCGTTTCGGTAGCGGTTATTTTCCCTTTCTGTCGAGTATGAAAAAAGAAATGGCGACTTAGCACAAATTTCGACACAGTTTCTCATTTTGTCTGCATTGATACAGATGTGAATAGAAAGGCGATGAGAAAATTTATCCTAACTTTAGTTTGAGTAGACAATTTGCGTTAAGAACACTTCTTGCAATAATTTCTTTTTCCCGCTGTTATCAAATACGTTCAAACTTTTTTTATCTGCATCTTTATTACATAGATCATCTGCGATTTAACTATTTACAGTGAAAAAAGTCTTTGTATAACTTTGAGTACTTTTGGAGTGAAAAAAAAACCCCAACAAACTACACATTTGGAACCAAAATAATCAGTATTTCGTACACACTGCGAAATAACTGAAAATTCGTATCCTAGACTCTCATCATGTATGTCATGCGTAAATAAATCCACAGGGTAGGCAAAATACATAACTTCACTTCACATCACATCACATCACACAGAAACACACTCATTCTCTCACTCGGTGTAATAGAGCAAAAGGACAAAGTTCTATAAATTAAACATCCATTAATAGCTCTAATTATTTATGGTGTGTTTCGGATGCAAAGTTTTCAAAGATCCCCAACTAATCTAAGCCAGCCTCTATTCAATGTATCTAATTAGATGTAAGACCCAAATAAATGGTCCGTGAAAAGAGAATCTAATACAACCATCAATGAATATATTTTCGTATGGTTTCATATCTTTAAAACAGGCCTGAGATAACGATTAAAGCAACAAGTAATTGAAATGTTTTTTTTTTTTTAAATCACAGCAAAGCAATCTTTTTCTCTCACTCGCTCATCAGAAAAAGTTGTACAGACACACACATTATCTTCGGATTTGAAGCTCAGTGGAATGAATTTCGTTCGGTTGCATATTACTTGAATTTATCTCACATTTTCTCGAGTTTGAACCTATTTTCGGGAACTGTGGGCAAAATGACGGGCACGCAAAACTTTTCATAATTACATCTATTTTTCTCTTTACTATATAGGAAATCGAATTATAATTTGACATATTTCATGGACAACAAACTTATTAAATGTGATATGTTTTTTTTTTCTGTTTCATTTCCATTTCAGATGATCCAGCTGTGTCGCATGTACAGAGAAATTTGGACAATGTCATCAGTAATTCATCAGATAAGGTAAAAATCAGTTTTCATTGTGCAAAATGTTTCGAAATGGGCAAATTTCAATCAAATTAATATTGACAGTCCGTCAATTATATGTCGTAAAATTTATCCGTTTCGAATGTGTTATTGTGGATTTTTTTTTCGTCAATGTTTGTATTCTCTCCTTTAACGGCCATTTTCGATGTTTGTTCTAATTTATGGTGGCATAAACCTATTTCTAATCACCTGAATTGAACAAATTCACGCGACGCCACAATGTGCAATATACAGCAATATACAATTTACGAACACACTCACACCGGGACTGTTTGACATCGAATTGTTGTGTGTACGCTTGTATGTGTGTATGTGGTACGCACATACAGGTTTGTTGCTTAACACACAGCCGGATTAGAAACGTGCATTGCACATTGTATCAACTATGCGTGCTGTTTTAGATGAGTGGCCGTCATCGTCCGTCACACCAAACAAATTTGCTATCATCAAAATAATTGTCACATCATTTTTTATTATTTGTTTTGTTTTTCATGTTGCTGTTGGCACAGGGGAGTTTGATAAAATTTGAGGAAAACTTAGCAACGTTTCAAAATCAATGGGCATTTGATAAATGTGAACGGAATAGAAGTGCTATCTTAGATGAATTATATGAGAATGGTCGCGAAAAAACGTACGATTCGAGCCAGTGTGACGCTTCAACAACCTCATTAACTGTAACACCGATCATAAATAACGATAACAATTTTTATGACAATGTAACAGCGACAAAAAACACCAACAAAAACAGTCACTTAAATTACCGCTATCAAAAAGTCTACCAAGATGGAACCGATAAAACTGGCTATTTCACAAACACATTCTTCATTAATACCATTAAGGAAAATGAACAGTGCAGTGGCAACTACAGCAACAACAACAGTAACAGCAGCAACAAAAACATCGAACTGAAAGAAAAATTAAAATATAAGCAAAACCAACAGCGGCACGTTAATAATATGGGATCAAATGTGTCACGGAACACAGCGAAAGGATTATCGGGTCGCCGAGCACAGTCTTCAGGTTAGTTAAAAATTCAAATGGGCGCGAACGAGGTTTTAGCATTCGGCTGAAACAGACAAATCTCATTTGAATTTCGAATATATTTTACTTTGAAATATTTCAAAGTTTTCAACAGCGAAAGAGATTAAATTAAAGTACAGATAAATCCCGTGTATCATCTCCACTTGTATTGTTTTTTACATTGAAGGGCGTTGCACGCACCTTAACATTCACAATACAAACTCAATGCGAGTGGAGACGCCTTATGAAAAATGGCACAGATTGCTAGTGCTAAGGTTTATTTGTACTTTCCGTGTCTTGTGCCATGTTCTTCTATCGTTGGGCGAATGGAAAAAAAGGCGACTTAACTAATGGAAATGTAAATAAATCAAACAATGAGCGTGAGCATCAAATCGCAATCGAGGCCCAAGCAAATGATCCAAATTTAATGAACGATAAAGACCAAGTCGATACACTATGTCCAACGCCCGATATTTCACAACTGATGAATGTCAAGAGATCTGAACGTAACAAATTCTTTGGAAGCCTTCCCAATCACTTAGATTCCGATGAAACATATCGAGAAAATAGTAAGCATAACCACATTGTTTTTTTTTCTCTTTGTATTGATCAAATATGCACCATTTTCTGTTCCCATTCTCAAACAGTTTATAACAAAAGCAATACGCAGGAGACACAGAAACGTCCATTTGAAAAGAACAAACTGGAATGTGACAGCATTCAATATCCTTCATCATCGCCAAGAGTATGCGGTCAAACGAGCCACCATCAAAACGCAAAATCTTCCACTAGCAACGGTATTTGTCTATATTTATTGTCCCAAGCGCGACTCCACACTTAGCTTCTAAATGTGACACCTTGGTAAGTGTGAGCATTCGTCGTGCTAACAAGCAATAAAGAGAGTGAAAACAAGTGCGCGTGTATTAGTTGCTACATTGAGAAGCATCGCATCAGGCTGCTCACTACCACACGCGCACTTGTTTCCATTCTCTTTGTCGCTTATTCGCAAAACGAATGCTCACACTTACCAAGGTGTCACATTTAGAAGCTAAGTGTGGAGTTGCGCTTGGGGTGATCCAATTGTTGTTTGGAATGAAAATTAAATTCGTATATTTTACATATACGCGCGCGCGCGCGCGCACAGGAATCGAAACCACAATGCATTTGAAACTTGCCATAAATCGATCGAATGTCGATGTGGGCTACGATCAGGGCTATGGTTCGGAGCGTTCACCCGAAGAGGAGCTTCCACCGATTTTATCGATTCCATATCAGTCAATCGATGCACAAGCACGTCCACATTACCATCAAAAACCACAATGGAACAATGGTACAATCAGTGAAAGCGATTTCAGTTTTATTACCAAAGGTTTGCACATTCAATTTCAAATTCATGGCAATTCATTCCAAATATAATTACGCGCACAAATTAAATTACTATTTCCTCTCGCCACATTAACAAATCAATATTAAACACTTTTTTTCCGTGATTGCAATTTAATACGATAATTTTATCAATTACAGACTGTTGTTTCACGGTGCAAGTGATGAAGAATGAGCGTGGTTTGGGCATTTCGGTTTACGGAGGCGTCGACTCAGCTCCCAATGTGGCATTCCGTGGACTGATTCGCATCAAGCGTTTGTTTCCGAATCAGGCAGCCTGGAGCACAGGAATGCTGCAGCCCGGTGATATTCTGCTCGAGGCGAATAACACTTCATTAACCGGATTAACGAATCATGTAAATAGTGCAACGAGTTTTCTACCCAAAACTGGGAACCGGTCAAAATATTTAACGCATATTTCTATTTTGTTCAATACAGGAAGCCCTTGAAGTGTTACGAACTGCACCAAATTTGGTTATTTTGTCAGTGTGTCGTCCGCATGATGAACAATTTCGAAAGCTATCTCCACCGGCAGATCCGCCACGACCTCCGCAAAGGTCACTGCATACCACAACCACATTCGAACCGCAATCTCCTACTATACAAACCGCTTTTATTGGCGTAAGTGTTTGTTTTAACTTTTCGTCTAATATTTAGCTTTATCCATGCCGCATTATGTACTGTATCATGAATATTTGATCAATCAAAAAATTACCCCAAAACATTGTATGCACAATTCACAGGAGTTCGAAATCACTATGGTTAAACAGCAAGGTTCACTTGGTTTTACACTACGAAAAGAGGATGAATCCGTGCTTGGTCACTATGTGCGAGCGTTGATACGTGATCCGGCTGCAAGTGATGGTCGAATTAAGCCTGGTGATAAAATTGTAGCTGTGAGTTGCATTTGATTTGTTCGCATTAAAAGAAGCAAAAATTCCACTATCACTATGTTCATAATGAGCAAATTAATTTGAATGAAACGTTTAAAATAGGTCAACGATGTTCCGTTATGTCCAATGACTCATGAAGAGGCTGTGATATTTTTAAGACAGGCAAACGACCGAGTCAAACTGCGGTTGTATCGTGACAATTCACAGACACCCATTGCATCAATATCGCCATCAACGTCAGAACAATACATTTCAAATGCTGGAAAGCCAAAGGCGAGCTTACGGTAATAGGGCATATATAGTTATAGCGACAATTTTTGGACACACATGCACATATCCTCTATTTTTTTGCTCACTCATTTGTTTATTTTTCATTTTCAACGGAATGAATACAAAAAAAAAAACGTAAACAGGCCAGAGGCAATGAATTTACTAATTGACTTGGCGCATAAAAATCGGAAGCAAAGCTGTGACTCGTACTCAACTGGATCGTCAGTTCAGTCGAGCTCTGCATCACCAACAACTTGGCGCTTACGGCGCAACAACAACAACAACAACATTAACAAAGTCAATTCGAACGATAACAACGCCGAATCATATAGTGAGAATGAAAAGTCTGCTTCGAAGAGTAAGTGTTGTTTTAGAGTGATCAAAAAAATGTCATGTATTTAATTTCCTTCAACTCATTTTTATCTCCAATAAAGGTTTCGATTATCAAAACCAAACATACACTGTAACAATGCAATCTTCATCAGTTTGTTCGGACTCGGAAACATCAACCATATCTCAGGGCTCGTTTATTAATAAGGCATTGAAACAAGCGCCACAGTGTGACAATAGAGTTATGAACGGTACCTTCACAGTGGATCAATTCAAACAGCCGCCACCGCAGCAGCTGCCGTTGCAGCAAAGACCATGCGGAGAAGATTCAGAGTATTATAACGAGGAAGAGTTGTGGCGTTTGATGGATGTGGACGAGTACGGTACAGCAGAGCATCCGGATAGACCTAGCCATTTGGATATAGGTGGAAGTAGTGGCTGTACTCCAGTCGTGTCTCGTAAACCCATGTTCCAGTTTTCTGGTAATTATTCTTCTGGATTACCTTTCACGAAAATCTGTGCGATAGTAACAGTATCCCCTTTTTGCCCAAATGTGCAGCAGCCAATGGCTATGAGCTGAATAATTTGGATAATGAGGCTCTCGATGCACCTGTGTACAATTCAATGTGTAACAATCCAAATCTAAACAACCAACCGTACCAAGATGGGATCAATAATGACTTTACTAGTTTACCTTGTGAAACGTTTTTGATGTCATCGCGTGTTAACAGCAATTGTGCTACCGATGATGATGATCAATTTGCATATAAAAACCCAATGTACCAATCAGCTCACGTCCAAGTCAAGTCAAAACCAATTGTTAATGATGAAGATATTTATCATGTCGAACACTCCGAAGAAGGTACACACAAATTCAACTCCCCAAAAAACTTTTGAATTTTTTATCATATTTTAGTTTATTGTGTTGTTATTTTAAGTGATTTTTGCTTTTTTTTTCTTTTGATTTATCTATCTCTATGTGAAAAAGATCACCTCCATTTAACTCATCTTTTGATTTTGTGTTTGATATGATTTGTGCTTTTTTTTATTGGTTCATCATTAATATTCGATGCATGATGAAAAACTAGGTTCGAAAAATTTATTAAAATGGAAAGGTGTTATGTTCGGAATAGATGAAGGTGACAAAACAATGGCCGCTGTTAATGTACAAACGCCGGAGACGACGACTTCGTCCGAACCGGATTCCAGTTGCGCTACAATGATTGAAATTAACCCAATTGCGGCTGATAATGCCAAAGACATTAATCCATTGAATCGAATTACATTCGATGACACAACTCATGAGGTAATTACGTTAAATGCATCACATTTTATGCCATCATACGCCATGTATGCGTACATGTATTGACCAGAACATTATTGTTTATTAATTCCCTTGATTTTATTTATAAATTACAGATAATAACGGTTGAGTTGAGTCGCGGTTGGAATAGCCGTCTAGGTTTCAGTCTCCGAAATGAACCAAACTCAATGCAAACCACAATTAGTGCAATTTATAATGATAGTGTAGCAGCTAAGGATGGCCGATTGAGAGTAGGCGACCAAATTCTGATGGTCAGTTTACATTTTTAATTATATAAATATTGAACCATGAATACCCTATCGATCAATGATTCGCTAAAATTAACCCATGTTGTTTTCATTTCAAACTATAGGTAAACGATGAGTCGGTGGAGGGAATGACTACTGGCGATATTATAGATTTATTACGGATAATTCGAGGATCGATTGTATTGGTAGTGAAACGGCCACGCTATTGAATTGAGAGTTCCATTGAAACAAAACAAAAACAAAAACAAAATCAAAATCAAATGCAAATTTCATATTTTATTCCACAAACATAAGTATGACCCATATGAGTGCGTAAAGAGTAAATAAATCAAGTAATCTCAGCCATTCAAAGGGGTTGAGGGGTTGGCTATGTAACCGCACTCATTGAGCGTCATCAATTCTTATATGTAACATTCTAACTTAACTTTCAATCGCGCATAAATGAAATGTGCAACAAACTAAATACAAAGTCACATACACAAAATTTACGCGCATTTAACACTCAAACACACATACAACACTCGCTAGTTTTTGCCAATAAAAATTCAACTAAGAATAGACAATTGCACCACCTACAAATGACGTTTATAACAATCATCTTTGATAATGTAATCTCGTTCGGTGGAGAAAGAAAAGAGAACAAGAAAATCACAAATCATTCGCTTTAAAATATTCATTTTGTTTATTATGGTATGTGACGTGTATACATTGCTGATATTGTGATACCAGTCTATAAGAAAACCAGCAAAACCATGTAATTATGATGTGTCGAGAACGAGAATTACATTACATATTAACAGTCCATATATTCTAATTGACTCGGTGAGAAAGAGAGAGAGAGAGAGAGAGAGAGAGAGAGAGAGAGAGAGATGAGATAAATGCAAATTCAAATGAAATTCCGAAGCAAAAAGCGATATTTGTATTGCTTCAATTTTTTTCCCCGTGAAATTTCATCTAACGACATACATCGAGTGAAAAACCATAATTAAATCAAAATTTTCACATTAACCTTCTGACTGTGTTTGGTGACATTTTTGTCGCTTTCATTACAAAAAGTGAAAAAAAATAACATTTCACGAAATTTTTTTTATCTGATTAATGCTCTTCCGACCATTAAATCTATTATATAAAACAAAAAATTTCTTGAAAAAATTCAATTTTTTATATTAAATTAAATTCTTTGACTGTGTTTGATGACAAAAATGTCACATGTGTTTTCTAATTAATATAATTATTACTGCATCTGATTTTTTTTCTGTATTCTACACTTGTACATTAACTTTGGAGTCTTCTCAACTCAAAAAGCAAAACTTTGAAGAAGAAATATCATGTATTTTCGGGTTTTTTTCTGACACATGCAAATACATCTCGATGAGGAATAGAAAAATCACCAAATCAGAATTCAGTTGACTGTCAAACGCAGCCATTACACATCGAACTTTCGGATGGTTCAAAGAATAGATTGCAGTGTTATTTGATATAAATAAATGCATAAATAATGAAGATAAGATCGAATATAATATAAATTCAAAGGGAAATATTGAAAAAATGTTATTTTTTTTATATACGTAGGTGACAAAAATGTCACTAAACACAGTCCATGTTCTATTTACCCAAACACAGTCAGAAGGTTAACAAAATAAGTCAAAAACAAAACATTTGGAAACATATTTATTAATAGAGATATTGAATATCGTGTAAAAAAAAAGAATTGTTCAAACATAATGTTTTTAGAAAAAAAATTAAATTGCTTCGCTCTTGAGTTTCATTGAAATGAAAGAAGAAGAAGAAGAACAAGAAGAAAAAAATATAAAATAGGTATAGTAATATGTTTTTTGTGGTGTATTGAAAACAAATCCCGAACATAAGACTTGTGGATTATATTATGAACAGTTACCTCTGAGTACTTGAATAGAAGTGAATTCGATTTAGACACAATTAATGTGTTCGTTAATGGTTATAGTTGAAAATTTTGATTGTGGCACAATATGCAACCAATATGTGTAAAAGCATATTAAGCAGAGGACTTTCATGCTATGACAGTGTTTGTCAATTTTTTTTTTCTAAATAGATTTAGTCATCGAGGGCCAATTTGTTTTTATGTCTGGAACATTATATTCCATATTAAATTACCTCTTTGTAGCGAAAAGAAAAAAAACAGAAGCGATGACGCTATTAATACACATTTATACTTAATAAATCGTTTACATAGAGAGAAATGTATCTCTGGAAATAGTGCAATTATTGATTTCTCTTAAATCAATCACAAACTCAAATATATACAGATCGAGCAATCAACGAAGTGTTGCGCTTTCACTTCGATTTTGTCATAGTTTGACTTTTGGTCAATTCGGCGTGTGTCTGAATAGAAAAATAGTGAGAAAAAACATATTTGGAATAAATCTATTTTGCTTTCGTTATTTGGATATTTATTTAGTTTCGTTATTGTGAGCGGTAAAACACAGATTTGAAACATTTAGTCAGGCCTTTACTTAGTAAATTCTATTCTAAAGTAAGTCGTTAATTTTAGTCTCAAGCAAATCACTGTATTTATTTATATCACTTAAACATTGGAAATATAACATTGATTGTTTCGTTTTTCATTAAATGTGTTTTTATTAAATAAGAGAAAATCCCCCAATGAAGTTGCCGGTAAAAAATGACCTGAATATTGGTTTGTATTTTAATGGAATTGTTGAAATTTTTCAATTTTACTTATTTTGTGGTGAAAACATGAAGTTTCCATAAGTAAAATCTATAATCAATTTACTTTTTGGAGGACTTCTTTTTGGTTATTCTATTTAAGTTAAAGTAGAGTATGTTCGTTTTTTGTGGTTCGTCGTGAAACGATCGTCGTGTTCCGCAGAACGGGAAAAAAATGATTTGTTGTCATCAACATTGTTGTATCACTCTTGAGGTACTCTTTGGTTCAAATAGTTATCTCTCATCAGTTTCACCAAAGACGTGCAAATTCGTGACATCTCATCAATGAATTTTCAGCAGTGGCGGTAATGAACATTCACGTCCAACTTTTGTCAATTTTTGTATTCTTTTTTATATTTATAGATTCTGTTTCGTTTTTCGTTTTTGATTTGTTAAACTGCTTGTTTTTAAGACTATATTCCAATTTGGATAGTTTTTTGGGCAAATTAGATAAAATACATCGGATGAATGCGGAAAAATTTATTCATATTATAAATAAACATTTGGAACACAAATGAATGAATATTTCATAAATTATTGTCCCACCGTCAAGCCTTGGCTGAATATAGTACAGTAAATACTTTCTCAAAACCTTCCCTAATTTTCAAATTTATTATTATTTTTGAAAGAATAAATGTGAACATGGTTCACTTATCAATAATCATTTACAATTTTTTTTTCATTCATCATAACAACAGAATTGAATTTTTCATGGAAACTATCATCCAACTGATTCCATTCGAAATGTCAAAGTTTAAAATCCAACTAAAATTTCGTATGAAGAATTTGAAATTACCATATAAATGAAAAGATTCGAAATATGATTGTACGTTTTCTCGGGATAATTGTTTGATTGTTATCGATTTGATTGGGAAGGATACCGTGAACTGCCCTTCATTGCACTGCTCATTTCTTCTTCGTTTTTTTGTAGTTTATACTCTGGAATCATAGTAGAGACAACAGTGCTGTTCGTTCAGTCGTTGATTCCGAATGAGTTTGGCGAAGGACATGGCATTTTTGAGTCAGTTCCAGTGCGAAAGCTACTGAATTGCTACATTCAATTTCAGTTCGAATACGGTTACGAGTACATAGTTCATTGTACATAGAGGTTCGACGAGTGGAAATAACAAACTATGACGTATGACAGATCGTCAATCCAGTTCAAAGTGCATTGTTCTATATTTTCTCTCCGTTTCGTATCCAAGTCTAACTGATACATTTGCACACACACACACACACACAAAATCCCTACCTAATTTCATATCCCTATCATTGCTAGCAGAGAATTGGACGTCCTTGTTTGCTCGTTCACGCTCTCCGTATTACGTGCACTTTGTCGCGCGAAAAAGCACATACACACTTCTCTATCCAGTGAACGAGAGTCGCACGCAGAGAAAATACTTCCCCTATTCATGAACTAGGCTTCTGTCGTATATAAGGCAAACGTTAGACGTGGATAACTCAACATTCCATTATCGTCGCTCAGCCGAAAAACAAGTTTTAATCTTAAAAACAGAGATACGACAGCCGGAAGTCTGAGGATAAAACACTTTGAAATTTTGATCGTTGAGTGTGAACAAACAGTGAGCGGATTAAGTGTTGGTGTGATTTCGTGAGAAAAAAAGAACTTTGGATGGTCACAAAAAAACCGTTGAAAATTAACGGTGAAATAAAAAATTAAAAATTGTTAGCAAGCAAATTTGAAGAAAAAAAAAACATTAAAATCAACAACAAAAAAAGTCATGGAAGAGCCACGAGTAATTTTCATCGAAATCCCAACGATGAATAAATCTAGAAGTGTATCGCCTATATCACCATCGATGTATCGTGAGAAAAATACGGGATTTTTCGACATGCTTAGCCGTCGTTTTGGCCGTCGATCACATGACGAATTATATTTTTCCCATAACGGTGAAGAGGATACACGAAGCTCATCCACCGAATCATCTTCATCGACATCAGCCCATCCGTTGGCTACACGCAATGATGGTTCAAACAAACCACGCGATCAAATCACCGCATCAAACAAGCAACGGCACTACATTCAAAATTGTGCGTGTGAATTCGGTCAAAATTGCGAGTCACACAGTTCAAGTGATTCAAGCAGTGATTCCGTTGAACAAACACCAAATGGATTGCATGCACATCGTCGATCAACGTCATCGATTCGTCAAGCAATCGAGAATCTCTCAATTTCCACGCGCTCATTGTCATGCAGCAGCACTGGAAAGGACCAAAAAGTCAAGAAGAACAAAAAACCATCGCCACAACCCAAGTGCATACTGCGTCAGCCGATATCTTATACATACTTGAAGGGAATGTCTGGCCTGCCAACACAACGAGTGCCAAAATCATCCGTATGCTGCCATTATCCAACACATCGATAAACATGGTTGGAGCGATTGATATATTCAAAATGATTCTTCATTTTAAAACCAATAATTAATAATCGAACTTTATCACGCGAATCGATCGCAACTTCCAATTGAGCATTTTCGGGACTTGCTGCGCCACTATCGATATCTTCAACAATCCTTTCTCCACAAGTAATAAACGAACAGACTAGGTATTACCGTCACTTGTATCATTTCGAATTTCAACAGACAAAAAAAGACATTGCCATTCGAGCTCCTCTTAAGTCAATGTTCATATGAGTGCTGCTGCTAGAAACACCATCATTAGCCAGAATCGTGTACGGATAAGATATGTTCATATGAACGTAAACACTTTTAGTGATGCAGCCTCGTTTACACTTTATTGCATATACACATATAGATTATATAGAATTTATTGCGTTTGTGCATTCGCTCATGCAGCTCGAAAATGCTGCAACGGAATGCACGATGATAATGATGATGCAATGCGATTTTCATCATCAATTCTACGAATGAAAATCATCAATCCTTGAGAAATGCTAATTTATCTTACCGATTGGGTAGCTCAGTTATTATTTTAAGAATCCAAAAAGTATATGATTTCATTTTTCCACAATGTCATTTCCACATTTGCATTCATATTAGGCAAACGTGAATTCCAATTTACTTCATTATTATTGCTAAGACATACACATAGACACAGCCAATGCATTTGAGTTTAAATCCTCCGCCATGTTGTCACAACAACATAGAACATTATCACTTTTAATCGTTTAATTCAATTTTTATCGCTTGTAAATAATTCATAAAGTCATTATAGAAAAAAGTTGAAAACAAAAGAAGAAAATCCAACAGAACAAACAAAAACTATTACAGAAAAAAAATGTCGTGATTTTTTTTTACAAAGACTGTAACTGATGCATTTGCACTAAATTTGATACAATTCAAATCGGACTCAGAAATAATAATGATATGTAATTGGCTCTTTTTCCAATTGGTCGGCATTGTTAAGAAATTGGAATGTTTGTGTCAGACAAGGAAACATACAGAACAAAACAAAAAATGTTTTAAATATAAGTGAATTGAGGTACTGTGCCTTTCTTGATTTTTCGGTAAAAAAATCGACATGGATTAGATTTTATCAATTATGAGAATTAACCTGGAAAACCAGCCAGATTATGGACAAACAGAAAATTTGTTGGAACTTGCTAATGAATTTAAACACACCCCAAAAAATGATAATGATAATGATGATGATGATGAAAACCAAGTCTTTTCGATGTGTCTTTTAACTAATATTTAGTTGAACAAAAACGGAAAACCGTTTAGTGTTGTCCATATCGAAATTTGAATTTCACATGGCCAACATCGAATTAGTTCTGAATTTTAATTTGCATTTCCATTTGAAGAATCTATGTTTCGTGTTTTGGCTCCATTGTTAGTTTTATCAATGTTGGAGAATGCATCCAATGCATTGCGGATGAACAAAGAGAGAAATAAAAATCAGGTCACAAGCGTTCGCAGAGTCATCGAACGTGGAATTGATCAATGCAAGCCGTTAGACTCATACATACATACATACATGTTACTAGCCACTGAATACTTAACCACATAAATATTTCGGAATGAAAAAAGATAATAAAAAGAAGAACAGAAAACCAGAGGAAACTTAAACTTATGCAGTTTTTGAATAATATGTTACTTAATATCCAATTAACTTTAAAATCAAGAAATGTCTATAAATGTCAATATGAAATCTGTATAAAAACCAAATTATTCTACCTTCGAAACTTTAGTCAAAATATCACAACCCAAAACAAACAAACGGCAACAAAATTCATGGAAAATGACGAACATTTTATCTCAGTAATCGGTTACCATTCAAAATAAATCATTTGATTTGCATTTAGCACACATGCTATTTCAATTAATTGTGCACCAAAGATACATGTATGTGAAAAAAACATCACTAGTCTTTTTAGTAAACATTTAAAATATGATGTACAATTGATTAATCTATTATTGAATTATTTAGAACATTTATCAGAAAATGGTAGATTGATGGTCTACCAATTCAAACAGAGAAAAAGTAATCAGTTTTGGATTTAAAACAGAAATTAAAAGAAAAACTAAGCAAAAATATAGAAGAATTCATTAAAACTATTTAACAATGTCTGTTTTGTATTTCTTTTGTAAATACATGAGAAAAAATGGGGAAATTCATTGACATTTGAGCTAGGCACTTGGTCATCAAGTTGATATCAACCGTATGAACATCATCAATGAATATCATGGAATATTTTCCGTGCACCCAATCATTTATCAAATTGTAGAAGGTAGAACCAATCAAAAGAATATTATTAAAATCAACCTCATTTCGAATTACCAACACAAACACACACACAAACCGAAGTTCAGCAGATCCACATATATAGCATTGAAATCTTTATACAGATCACAGGAAAAAAAATCAAACCTCTATATATGACCAACAATTTTGAATATATTCAATCGAATCAAATGTTGCATTTAAACGAGCACGACACAAATATCAGAACAACCAATTCGAAAGGTGTCAAAATGTCCAATTTTGGGGGACAAATTTGAAAATTTCGTACTTGATGACGTCACAACTGGAGTTATGTCTTACTTATTTCCAATGAATGTGCCAAAATATATTCAATTGAACATCCACCTAAAATTGTATTCACTTACAGACACAATGCAGTGGCACACATGAATATATTGTATGGAAATAATGAACAGTTTTAACAAAAATTAATAATAATAATAATAATAATAATTTAAACAAACCAAAGTCTCATCATTACAATTGAAAATGTACTAATCTAGCCATAAACGGTTGTAATTGTAATCCCAATTGCTAAATAAACATCTAAATGAAAGAAAATAGTCCATCTGTCGTTTGTCTCTGTTTATTTATAAAGTGCATGAGATACGTTTCAGAGATTAGTCACAAATAACGGTGTTAATTTGTGCAGAGAGAAATCGATGAATGCCAGACCTTGCCGACTTATTCATCTCATAGCCTTTTTTTCAATCCTTCAATGAATCATTGTCTGTGTGTCGGCATTGCATTGCACATATGCAAGACGTCATACAATGTCATAGCAAGCTGTATGGATATGTAACATGAAAAGAACCTTGGATTTCATAAAATGTGCCTGTATTCATCCCCCAAAAGCACATAAATGTTCATTGCAAATGATGACGACAATTTTGGCCAAATATCTCAAACGTTATATTTCAAATCATGGATAAAGAATAATGCAAAGCAATACATGGAATCAACAAAAAAACAGCAGCAGCAGCAAAGTGCAGAGAGGTCATGGCATGGCAAAGAACCATTAAAAATTCAAAAACGACCAACAAACAGCATGACTTGATGGGTATGCAGAAATTTCATCAAATTTTCGGTCACTGGATGACATAAAGTTTTTCAGTATCTGCATTCAAAAGAAATTTGCTCCCTCTTCTCTCTTTCCGTGTCACATTAATGGATTGAAAACGAAGCATCCTCTATATTTAAAATCAAGTAAGAAGTACGCATTCAGGACAAATTGGAACTGTAAACTTTTATATAAAACTTGGCTCTTACAGTCACAAACAACAGCAAAACCGATCTATGATATGATGGTGGCTCAAATAAAATCGCACGATTTCGAATTTTCATTGATATTGCGATATTACATATCGTTCATAGATAAAAACGTTGTTTGTCTCTATATACGGGGACTTTTTGAGAAAGAGCGACAAAGATTATTTGCGGCATAGCAAAATCTCATGTAAACACTACCACACTCTTCCCCTCTTACAGCATCACTAGCACGCTCACACACATACACACACCCGTATATGTAAACATCCACCAAGGCACTACTCTTCTATGTTATCCCGGAATCCCGGTGCACATTTATTTATATAAACATTGAATCAAGTGGAATGGAACAGAAGAATGGTTTTCCACCAGTTCTCTGTGTGCTATTCATAAAATAAAAGTAGGCCTTGAATGACGTCATGTTGACGTCACAGGAAAATGTGTCAAAACTGGGTCACAGACATAGAGACAATGCATTTAATATGCTGCGCACATTCAGAATTAGGTCTCTCAATGAAATATTGTACGTAGTAGTAAAATAAGACCAACAACAGAACATTACCGCACCGAGTATACGACAGTACGAGTAATACGTACGAATGGACGATTGCAATAAAAGCGTATCAGAGTATTCACTTACGCCACTGAAATACACATATACGTAGTGATGGCTCGAGTTGGTTCATGAATTTCTGTTATTTTCTTCTCCTTCTCTTATTTCTCATGCCCACGGACATGAGATAATAAAAGGAATAGAATCAACAAATGTCGAATTACTCTTCTCTCTCTCTACTGTTTCCCTTTATTTCTATGGAATAGATCACGGATTGACGAAAATTCGAACCCATTTTATTGAAATTATTTGTTTTTTTTTTCGAGAACACAGATTTACTCTTATTTTTCGTTATATTTGAAAGTGCAAAGAACTACTGGAGTAAACTAACAAATCATATAAATTAATCATGTAGACCAATGAATTGGCAGTTGATGGGATTTTCGTTATGCTTATGGTATTGCAAGTCGCAACCGCGGTACAGTCAATTCAATCTCAAGACAGCATACTCGGAATAAATCAAACTGAATTTTGTTATAACTTCACCATCTTATTAATTGATTATATATTTTGTTGCATGATCTATAACGTTTTAACAACAAATTTTTTTTGTTTTCAAGTTTCAACGGCTCACAATTTGTTACTAGAAATCAGTAATAGCTTGTAGGGATTGTTTCCATTGAAATTGTTTTGGACTCTCTATACAAAGGAAAGAAACCAAAATTTGCTAGAAAAATATAATCATTTGCTAAAAATGCGGATTCAATGAAAGTTGCATGGGAAATATCTATTGACTAGATCGAGAGGAGAGTATGTGAAAAAATTCTAATATATTTTGAAAGAGGAGAGTATGTTTTCTAATGATTTTGTTGGCGTTGAAGTAGAGTATGTTGTAGTACCGTCTAGCCTCTGCGGTCTTCACGGTTTTCGCGCAACTGATAGGAGATAACAACATGGTGTCTTCGGCAAAGTTGTAGTACTTGAGGTCTTCTATAACATTGCTGAAAACATCTATCTCTTATCTCTTATCAGTTGCGCGTAAATCGCGTACATAAAAAAGCAAATTTTATATAGAACTTTTTTTTTCTTATCATTTTTCGCGCTTTTCGCGGAACTGATAAGAGATAACTAACTTCAGCAATGTTATAGAAGACCTCGAGTGCTACAACTTTGCCGAAGATACCAAGTTGTTATCTCTTATCAGTTCCGCAGAAACTGTGGAAAACCGCGAGGACCCGCCAAAAATGAACATACTCGCCTTTAACCATTTTTGAGTCGAAAGAAACTTACTCTTCTCTTTCATAACAAAGTCAGATGAACTTACTCTCCTCCCGATCTAGTCAATAGATATGATCGCTTTTAAAAAATGCATGTATTTGCTTAGCCTTAACGAATATAACGGATACATTGGTGCATTGCATCGAATTGATGAATCTGTGTGTCACAGCAGAGTAAGAGGGGAGGAGGAGAGAGGGACAGAGCGAGTAAACAGAGAATCAAGTTGAAATCGCGATGACTCGAATAATTGTGCAGCTCAATAAGCACGTCATAAATTCAGGCCATTTTATGTTTAAAAAAAACTCAACAAGTGCAGTAAATGGAGGCCAAACACTTCGTCATCATTTTAACATCACTACAAACTATTGCATGGAATATACGGCACCAAAGAGCGCTCCTATGTACACTCACGTCGTTTACATATATACGAATGCACATACACACACTCACACCGTGTTGTTTATTACTGGGTCAAATGTGTATAACTTCTCTATCCTGTGTTCAAAACGGTTTTCATCTCTCTTCGTCCGCGTAGATGCTTTGCACTGTTATTGAATCAACAATATTGATGGAACTTACGAGTTTCATTATGGCCATGGCTATGGAACAATGATGGATAACTTTTGGTGACGTTAAACTTTCATTTATCGAACATTGCAGAGCCCTCAATCGTTTTCGATGCATTTGCCTATTGCATTTGTTGTCATTTTGACACGGTTAATTTTGTCAAATTTTTCAATTTGCTTTTTCTGCCTTCACAATCGTGCTGGTTCAATTTTCTGCAAAATGAATTTCATTGAATATTTTTTACTCTGAAATTTTTGGTGATACATTTTTTTTTAAATGAATGAATGAAATGAAGCTTCCGTCATTTTTATTCATTTAACACATTTTATTTTGCATCCAATGAAAAGTTTTTCGAAAAATTACCTTCACTTTAATTGAGTGTATAGAGTTTTGGGATGTGGAAAAAAAAATGCAGAAATTACGTCAAATTGTGATTTCGTAGATGTTTCCTAATTTATTACATTGAAAAATCCCTAAAAGAGACAAATACATAGGCATGCCTATGTACTTTGTGCATTCATTAGTTATCTCGATGGAAAAATTGCACGTATGCAGTTTTTCTGTTTTAAGCAGCGTTATGTTCGAAAGCGCATCCGTTCGAACACAATAAACAGAGCAGCAGAACTGCATACGTGTTGGGCGTGTAAATGTGTGAATATGTGTGTATGCTTGCGCGAATTATGTTTGTGTTAAAGTTCATTGAACTAGGCAGATTGCGTCAAAAGGATGACCGTGCATAGTAGTAGCAGCACGGCATAAATAGCTCCAATCAGTTTTCATTCTATCGGAAATTGTGGAAAAGAGACAGAGATATTGGCGCAGGCGAGAAAGAGAGTTTGAATCCAATAAAATGGATACCGGATGCAGGATGCATAATGCATTTTTCACTTGTATACGTATGAACTATGACGATTAGTGAACAAAAATGTATGCTTGGATCGAGCATTGCTTGATGCGCACAACATTAGTGTTTGTGTAAGCAGGATATGGCGAAGAAAATACCATAGGCTCAATAAGAAAACTACAAACAAAGAAGCAATAAAACTTTAGATTTCATCGGAAATTTTTCAATTTCTTTCGTTCAGGCGTATATTTTCTCTTTGCATGATGATAACTGCTTTGCATCGAAGGGATATTTCTGGCGTTCTTCAATTTTTCCACTAATTTTATAACCCTACGAAGGCAGTCACCTCGTAGCAATATCAATAAAAATGGAAAATATTTCCATGATTTTCCAGAAAGAGAAATGAAAGGAGTGGAAAACTTATTCTGTCTCTGAGTAAATCTCAAGTGTATTACACCTACTGTGAAATATACCGACCCTTAATCGAATATGTCGTTGAACCAGTCATGCATTCCATTTCGATCAATACTTATCGTTTTTTTGTTTGTCAAAGAGCTAAAATTTACTACAGCCACAGCGGTGTCGTTGGCTCGTTGCTCCTTTTTTTCTAATGCTCGTTTTCGCTATAAATGTGTACTCATTTGGGTACAAATTCTCGTGCAAAATTTCAATTAATCCATATTTGACCCATACTTTTGGGACCATTACACTGTAGTTACCTTTCAACCGCATTCGATGAATAAACGGTCAGTATCCGAGCGAATCGGTCATTATACGGAATTGAATAGTGTCGCCAAACTCAGTAACATATTTAAAAATTAAATTCTTTGAATGATTTCTGGCATTTTCGAATTGACTCGAATTAACCGACTGAAATCGTTCGAAACAATCGGCTAGGCTTTTGTTGTGTGAAAACGCGTTTGCCATATTTTCAATTAGCTGAATTAGTTCCGCATGCACAGAATGATAGAAACAGCGTAGCACGTGATTACTCAAATATATACACCGAATGGTGCTTTTGATCAAACGACAAAACAATTTTCTTCAGTCACACTTATATGCATTCAATAATCTAAAGCATTCAACGTGAGCACAACGCCTTCTTTCATCTCCAACAAAACTGTTTTATCAATTTTTTTTCTTTACCACCCTCATGACATAGTGATTCGTGTTCGCCTTTTTCTGTATATCGCCGTTACATGCTGTATAGGATACACGCTTTCACCCGCAGCGGCTCCGTATTCTTGGAGTGAGGAGTTGCGAGATTAATACCGTGAAATAAGTGTTTGCTCGGCCTTCCTTTTTTTCATTTTTCGTTTGTTATTTTTTCTGCGTTTTTGTGATGCGCTTTCTTTGAAAAGAAAAAAAAATCAAAACAAATAAAATAAAACAATAGAAGGAGTTTCAAAAACGTGAAAAAATTCATTATATTCCAATTTTCAATGTCGCTCGCCATTCGATAAAAAAGTTTCTGTTGTTTTGTTTCATAAAAATTTCATGAAAATGGTTTCAGAAACATCGATTCAGTCATTTAATCTCTCATTCTCTTAGATTGATATTGAAAACCATATCATGTCGTCAAAACATGATCACTTTTTTCACGTGATACATGTTTTTCTGTTTTCTTTTCCAATTGAAAAAAAAAGCATAATTTATTGAAAAATTTCCATTTCAGTTCCATTGTGTTGTCGAAAAAATTTGAATAACCCGTTCATGTTTACTAAGATCGCGGTTCACGCTCAATTGTCGCTACCTAGCATGGATCTTGGAAAAATGTGAAGCATACGTTACGTTGACAATCATCAGTGCAACGGTGTATTTTTCACGTGTATTGCAATAATTATCAAAGTTTTCCATTCTCTGACTGAAGTGCATTTTGAACAATTGCAAACAGCATTACGCCAAAATGCTTGCGACACAGAAAGCGAAAAAAAACGCGGAACGAAGTTCTGCAACTGCAAATCACGTTTTCATCACTCGCATCGAACTCCTACGATATTCCGATTGCTTTTTTTCCACTTATTTAAGCTTAACTTTGCCATTATTAAAAACCTACGACGGTTCAGATGTCAGCCAATTGCTTTGGTGTTGCTTTATTTGTTTTGAATTCGATTCATCGAATGTATGCCGAATCGCACGTTCATGTTCATGTAATACGTTCCTTTTGTCAATTCATAAATATGTCTCTCGCAACGTGCACAAGTCAAATAAACAAAATCGAAATGTGTGATAAAAACACATTTTCAGAATATTATCGCGGAATTTCTCTTTGTAATGCCACCACGTGAAAGTAAATATATGAATTTGTAATATGTCGAACCAGTTTCATCGGGAACATTCATTTGTGTCCTCCTAATCGCAAAAAAATAGCGAATACAAGCCGATATTGTTCATTACACATCGCACACAGAACGAAGTGAATGTACATATGAACAATTTTCCATAATTTAAACACTCGGGCTGTTTATCACCAATAATCATTGAGAACTAAAAAGTCATTTGTCACGATTTGCTCAATTCACATTTGACCTACTGATAGAAAATATCATATCAGGCACGTTTGCTCTTTGAACGACCACACCTAATCTTTCAAATGATAACAAATATGATGTGTGATCGTCGAATCGAAATATTTACATCGTTTGCTTGATAAATGACGGCAATGTTTTTTTTTCCGAGAAGAAGATGTTCGGGGCTTTCGCTCTTTGCTTTTCATCATCAAATAATATTGCCTAGCTTGACACAAATCTACACAAATCAATTTAGTTTAAAATTAACAAAATTGACTTCAATTCTAATCCATTCCTTTTATTTCTCGGTCATTTGGAGGGAAATCACTGAGATTTAACGTCAATCAAAATTCAAATTGCAGCATAGATTTGGTGGAATCAGTGAAACAATTCCGATTCTTCAAAACAGTTCGTAACAAATCATTAATTTACAAAGTGTTAGCTTGATGAAGTTTACACAGTCAAGTTGCAACTTGATATTCAGTTATATTCAATTTCAAGTATACAAAGACAAGTTCATTGTTCAGTGTCTGGGGCAGAATGAAATTAATTAATACTTCCAATTAAAAGGTTATACGTCACATAAGCGTTAAATTGAAAATATTTCAATTGAAACTGCTTACAACCGCATGACGAATATCACTTGAGTCGTAAGCCCCGAGGGAACCAAACTATTTTTGATAAGCATTCAACATGTCATCGCTCGCGTCGAATGTTGTATTCCACACCAAAAGTTTCATTCATATAGCGTTGAGTCAAACGATCACCGGACAAAGAAATTTAGGTACTTTAACTGACCTGAATCTAAGAAATAATTGTTACGATAGAGATTGAGAGAGAGAGAGAGAGATTAAGTGATGGAAGAGAAAAAAATTGTATTTGCTACACTTTGCGTCACAATAATTTCATAATAATTTGTGTGAGGCAAAAATAAATGGGATTGAATACAAAAGTGAAGTATTCATGTTCAGCAGAAAAGATAGGACAATTTTTTCGCATAGTTAGCGGAGAAAAAAAACTTGTACAAATCTATTCAATTCAAGTGGACTTGATTGAGCAAGATAACGTAGTGCATCACAATTGGATAGTCCATTTTTATTGAGACACAAATTATAACAGCTTGACCGTTTTATTCGTTCAAGCGTTTGGACTCTATCTCGATTCTCAAATTGGACATTGAATACAGAGAGAGAAAGAGGAACAAACACGAAAATCGTACAACAGAAAATTACGGAGCGGTGACGTGACGTCCAAGTGGATACTGAATAATTTCTTCCAATTAAAAACTCAACTGAATTCAAAATGTCAAGACTCCGATTGTGCACAATTTTTTTACTCAGCATCGTATCAAATTATATTGGCATTGTTAGTTCGGTTAGTCGGTTTGACGATAAAACGGACACACCAATAATTGGTGTACTTGCCCAGGAGATATCATGGCGTTTAGATCAGATATGGCCAGGGGTTTACGAGAGTTATATAGCCGCATCGTACATCAAATTTGTTGAGGGTGGAGGAGCTCGCACGGTACCCATATGGTAATTGCTTAATGTATATCAATCAAACTGTGTACATCACCCGAAAATTACTTCTATCAACTATTTGATTTGTGTACGATTTATTGTAGGATCGGCAAACCGAGATCATACTATGAGACCGTGCTGAAAAAATTGAATGGGTATGAAAAAAAAAGAGTTTTTGTTTGTGGCTGTGATGGAACCGGCTTCTCATTTTCATTTCACACGAAGTTCATTTTCGTTGTTTATTTTTTCGTTTCATTTAGAGTGCTATTGCCCGGTGGGGGGACCTGGTTCAATCAAAGTCATGGCTATGCAGTGGCTGGATCACACATTTATGACATTGCACAAGAAATGAATGACAATGGCATATATTTTCCATTGTTTGGGACATGTCTCGGTTTTGAGCTATTGTTATACGTGTCGAACGAAAATCAAGAGTATCGCACCTATTGTTCATCTCAGAAGCAGTCACTACCGTTGGATTTCAACAAAGGTGAGAACAACGACTCATATACTAAAATTGATGTCGTTTAATTTTGTATAATTCGCACACAGATTTCCAAAATAGTCGCCTGTTTGGCACAGCACCTGAATCAATCATTGATATTTTGAAAAACGAAGCGGTCACACCGAATTTTCATTCCTATTGCGTCACAAAAGAGGTAATTCCATGTGGTTATCTGGTTTTTTTGTTTCAAAAACCTACGATTTATTTATGATTCATTCAATGGTAAAAGTAACACATGACCAGCGATCGATAAGATTGCAAATATTAGGTATACAATGTAATCGAAATTTATCGCAAAATCGAAACATCCAAAACTCTCTAAACTGATAGAACAATCATTTCAAAATTATCAACAGTTTATTCTTCTATGGTTCTTTTGAAAAAAACCCTAATCTATTCCAATTTTATTTTGTCAAACAATTGAACAGAACATGACGCAATTTGGCTTAGACAAGAAATGGGATACGCTTTCAACTAATCGAGATTTCAAAGGTTTAGAATTCATTTCAACCATTGAACATAAACGGTAGTTCAATTTATAATCATTTAACAAATTAATCAACGATAATTGGCTATTGTTTCCTCATGCTATAGTTATCCATTTTATGGTGTTCAATTTCACCCTGAGAAAGTTCTTTACGAATGGATTCGTAATCGTAACATTTCACACACGGAAGGTGCTGTTGCAAGTGCACAATATTTTGCTCAATTTTTCGTCAACGAATGCCGCAAAAATGATAATCGATTCGATAGCATTGATGAAGAGAATCAAATGCTAATTTACAATTTTCCATGCACATTTACGGGCCGACTCAATTCCACATTCGAGCAAAGCTATCTATTCGAACGGGATATAGACTATGGCAGAGGCAACGGTGAAAATGAAGATATTACAGTTGTTTTGGTTTGAATTAACTCTCACTGTTTCATTTGGATGCAAAACAGATATTTTTTATACAATATTAAGCATGAGATTTAATGGAATGTATGGCTTGCATACTACTTTTCTATTCCCGAATAATTGTCAAGTTGATTCTATTGATATGACATATTCTAGTACCAATTGGTTCCCTTAAAATATTATACCTACCAAATAGAATGCCACTGGCGAACAAACGCTGTATGGTCCAGAATTATAATAATAAAAACCATTTGCAGACATTCTATATATTCGTTTTTCAATCAGGCGTGTTGCGACAAACTATAGTGTGATGCATGACTTTATTTGAAAAATAAAAAATTAATTCCGATCAATTTTGGCCAAAGGATGTTTACCTAGGCATAGTTTTTTTTAGAAAAAATAATATAGCAATTCTGTTAAAAACATACTGTTTTTGTACGTACTTTCAAAAAATCCTGAATAAATAAATTTTGTTTACCACCCGATGAACATATGCATATGTATATTTTGGTAGAGTGTTTAACTTTTTTATAGCTCAATTTCATTCGTACGTATCAACATATTCATCATTCACATTCGATGAGCGACTTCAGACGGATTTTCAGACAAAAAAAATATTCGATTCATTTTTCAAAATTCAATGGTTTATTTTCTGCGATTCATCTCGTCCAAATACAACTGAATGTGATACGTGATTTTTCGCACATATCCAAATATTTTGTACACATGAGCCATCTAGTTGTAAGTTTTTGATCAAAATTCCAGAATCCTTGAAGCTTTTATGGAAAGCTGCTTTTCAAAAAGTGAATTGGAAAATCCATGGGACATTTTCTTTTGACGTTTTTGAAAAAGTTCATTCAAACATAAAATCAGAAGGAGCTTGAACAGATGCCAGAGAAAGCTTTTGAACTTTTGAGCTTTTCTTACACTTAAAAAAAGCACTTTAACTATTGATTGTTCGTTAATTTTTGGAGTTTTATTCTTCAAATTGTTGGGAGAAGAGTAAATATTGAAAAATTGACTTGATTTGATTTTCAAGTGCGGAGTTTATTTTGATAAAAACATCAACGCTCCATAATTTACTAATTATTCTATATAAAAAAAAATCACAACAAAACAAGTGACCGCTAAGTTGTCAGACATCAAACTCTTTGCATACATTTACGTAAAAAGTAAGCCACCAAAAAGAAATGTATTGGCGATTAAATAAATTCAACGACTCAAATTAACGAATTTGTCGTTGAGTTCAAATTACAATCGACATTTTAGGACCAAAGTAAAAATTGTTAGCCATAAAATATATACGAACTGTCCTTCAGCATGAAACATATTTGTAAATGTGAACTAGATTTCTTTTGGTCGCGAGAGCGGAGCGCCCGCCCGACTATGTGTGTGTATTATTTCATCAACAAAAAAGAAAGCGAAGCTCATTTTTACCAGGACCTTGAAGGTGAAATGTGTTTGCGCAATTGTTTAGAAATTGGTAAGAATTAGAAATTCGACCAAAAGCAAGAAAACAAAGGAAAAAACGCTTGAAAATTCAATTCAATTCTATTCAATTTGTGAACGTATGCGGAAAGGAAGTTTTCAAGTACGCATATATAATGAGAATGGAATCATTTTCACAAAAGGCAACACAACAATGGTACACAAGAAACTGTGTCGTTGAGAAAAAAAATGGGATTAGTCGAAACCGCGTGTTTTTTAAGCGAATCATTTTTGTGTTCCTAGTTAGAGAAAGAAGACATAATGTCTCCTGCAATGTTTTAGAACATTACAAGATCTTCATCTTTGCTCCAGATACTTGCCTTATATTTCGTACCAGAAACACAAAATGATTCACATGTAAGCGAGCGGTTTCGGCTAATCCCATTCTTATTCTCAACGACACAACTGATTGATTGCACATCTTGATCTACACCGTTTGTTTGTAACCATTTGATTTTCCTTCAACTTTCCCGTTCTTCTTTCGTTCGTTCTTTCTAGTTTATTTTTTTGTTTCTTCAATGCATGATTTCGTGCTCGGTCAGTCTACACTCGTTTATTTTCCACTAAACCTTGAGTGTGCTGGACGCTGTTATAAATGAGGTTAGCCTTTTTACTGTGAAACGACGAAAAAAGAAACGACAGTCTACTTTTGGACTTTATGCACAAGATTCTAATTTCAATAACAAATGGCTAAGAATTTTTTGGCTGCGATTGCTGGTAAGAAGAACGTGTCGTCACTTTTAGCAGGGGAAGTATAGGCAAAATAATACTCCGACATGGCAAAGAATCTATAGTATTGGTGTAAAACATACATTAGATTGCCACGTGCCTCCAAGCAATTCTTAGTTAAACCACCTGAATGGAATCGGTGGATCGAATGAACGGAAAAAACGCTTCTCCGTTTGAATAGAATCACACATTCCGTGGTTGTATTACGTATGACGTAGCATTCCATTTGAATGATACGTCCAGCCATTCTTCCAAGCATTGCCACTAAGTCATTGGTCGCAAGCTTTTGTTTGTGTGGTCGCGCTGTCGATTTGCTTTCGTTCATACACCTATCACGCTTTCAATTAAATCCCTTATATGTTCCACACAAATCCATGTGTATACATTTTTGTGGCGCAGTCTCACTTCAAATACTAACCAACCCAAATGATGTGAAACAAATTAGAACACCAACGGCTGCAACAAACTGTTCCAACAAATTATTGCTATAAGTGAATCATTTTCAGTTTATTTTTCTTGCTTCTTCGTGCGTATGTATTCTCCATACTTTCTTCGCCTTCAACTACTGATTTACCATCAGTCATTCTTGGTTATGTGAATGTAAACAGTTCTCTACATCCATTTTTTTCTTCTTTATTTCTATCGTTCCTACACGTTCAAAGGTGCCCTTCTTATTTCGCAACACATACGTTGTCGGCGGACTGGTGCCCAAACCAAAAATTAACGTCACGTATTAAAATATGATTAGAACAAGCAGTTGATTGTCAGTCAGTCCTCCTCATGCAAAGGTGCAAGTTGGAAGCTCTCAAATTTGTTGAAGTGAAAGGAACAGCACGTGAATATTTACAAAGTCAAGAAACAAAAAATTGCACCAGCTGCATGTGATCGGTCCCATTATCTCGTTAAAAGTTTATAAGTTTTCCATCTTAAAAAGTTTCGTTAAAATTTTTAATTGTTTTTCGTGACGCGGTGCATGAAACACCTACAAATTTCATTACATTTGTTTTCTTTCAATATTGTAATTTTGTGAATGATGGTTTTTATTTACTAAATAGTGTAACACCACTGTGCCGAGGATAAATATAAAGGGTGAACATTTTTGATATTTCATTGATTTATTTACGCTCCATTCATTGTTGACAATTGATGTATCGCCGCGAAAGTAATTACTAATCGGACAACTCGAACTAACGAGCATATTATGTATTGAACCGTAAAGCGGATCAGTGAGTTTGACAAAAGGGATTTCGATAGTGATCACGACAATAATTTAGGAAGTAAAACATGAGTCGAGAACATGATTAGCAAAGAAAAATTATCCACATTGATAAGTATGTCATTTGGATGGATTTCTATCCAGCAAACATCCCAATCAAGTTTCGTCTTCGAAAATTTGAAGCATCTGCAATATGTTTGTGTTTTTATTATAAATTGTATTATTATATTCGCAATTTGAGAATAAAATCGCCATAAATAGATGTGCGGTTTTCGGGAATTTCCCACATTTTTGTCATTTGTGGCGAATATGTGCCAATCCTGTTAGCAAAAAAAAAGCATTTTTATACATACTCATTACCATTAATGAGGTTTCACATAAAACGAATTTTTATACGCGATTTCCACCATGTTTTCAGAATAAAAATTTCTATGCCATAAGAAAACATTAAGACTGTTTTATATCTCTCACTCATATATACACAGAACATATATGTTCACATGTGTATTTTCGAAGAATTATTGCCCCGTTTGTTCAACTATTCGCAATCAAAATTTATAAAAACCGAGAACTCACGCATATTCGAGCACTTTAACCACAAAATTCGAGAATAAAATGGCCACAAACACAAGCGAAACCGTAGTAATTTGCTCGATTTTTTTATGTGCATAGCCACATATATATGCACTTTATGTAAACTTATTTTCTCTATGTTCTTATAAAACTTTCTCAATCAAAAAATTAGGCCGCATGGTGTCTGCTATTTGTTGATTTTTCGTTTCGATTTGAAGAATAATGAAAATTCAATCGTAACATCGGCATAATTGGACTAAATCATGTATGCAAAACTAGTTCACACTCTTTGCATTTATGGGTGAAATCGAAAGGAACATTATATATGCAGTATGCACATTTCAAATAACAAACAAACCCATAGTCTATATTCGATTCCACGCACATACATGGCCATCATGGATTCATGTATGTTCAACGCATCGTTATAAGAACTATTGAAACTTTTGTTAAATGTAAGAAACATTTCGCTATCCTACACTTGATTATACTGTGTATTGATTGAAACCAGGAATATCTAAAAGCATTTTTTTTTTCTACTAGGCTTCTACTTCTCTTCATAAGCGTCAGAACATACAATATAGACTGGAACTCTGAGGATTTCAGAGTAATCTAAAAACAAATCCTCTTATTTGACTTCAGCAAATGTAGTGATTTCACCAAATGGAACACTAAATGCTAATGAGTGTTATCGCTTTCTAAGAGGTAGCTACCAAATCATCGCAAATTTATCGACAAATGACCAATTTATTTTATTTTTCTATAATTTGAGTTCAATGTGCAGACAAATTATTTCTCAACGTTAATTGAAATAATGACTTTTTCAGCAAGCAAAAGAATGAATGAAAAAACTAATCATTACCACATCGGCAGCAATGGGTCAGATTGTGCTAAAAAGAAATCATGCCAAAAATAATTGGTACCAGACGAATTTTCTTTTCGCACAACGTGGAACACAATTCATATTTTAACATCAAATAATCGAAAATAGTTTATGCACATTAACACACATAAATTGAATATCGAACAAATTGTCAATAAATAAATTTGGTTCATCTTAATTATATTATCTGCAAAAATGACAACTGCATTGAAACCATTTATTGAAATTACATTTCGGCTATGGAAAAGGTATTTTCTCATCCCCATTCGGAAAAGAAAACCGGTCAGAGTGTGATCCGCTAAAGCATCAAATTTGCTCCGATTCAGTTGACTCCGATTCAGCTGTGAAAGTAGCAACCGACAAATACACACACAACTGAGTATTGAACGCAAACTGTAGGAAGACTCACATATCCAATTTTACTTATATTGACTTTTCTTTTTATATGTAAACTATAACTGCTTGACCATGTGCTACATTCTGACCCAGCTCATAATTGTTATTTTATTTGTAGTTTCGATGTGTGCTTTTATGCAAAATCCGGACAAAAGCCTAACAATCGCACCGGGTCACCGTTCACCTCACGCAAAATTGCTTTTAACTCAATAAACGGATTTATTTTTCACATATTCGGGACTCGTTCCGCCAATACGTGCATATTTCAAGCAACGTTGTAAAGAAAGGAGAACATATATTGAACCTCTGGAATTGAGTTCAACTCAAAATATGCTTATCGAAAACTATTACGGTTTTTTTTGAGGGGATGCTATTGCGTGCAATTTTTTCGACCATGACTGTGCGTGAATTTGTTTTTTTTCCTCTCGCGTAGAAATGTGATTTTCGGCGAGATACATATATACATACACATCATGCTGTTCTCCATCAAGTAATAAAGCCATTCATTTCATGGTCAACAGCATTGTTAGAAACGTAACATTCGAATTTATTACCTTTTCTGGCTATAAATTCCAAATTTAGTTTTCAGCAGCGCCGCCGTATGAAGAGAAAATCGTTCCAAGTATGGAAAATAGCTTCATTACGGTATTTATAGTTGGTTGCACTAGTAATCCTCTCTTTTTTCTCAAATGATCACGTTTTTTTTACGCTTGTGTTCAGTGATATATTATTAAATTGACTAACATGATGACTGACCAAAGGATTCTTGCTTTTTACTTTGATCAAAGTACCAACTTTAAAATCGTTTCGATTTTTCTATTTACAGTCGAAAAAAATTGAATAAATCCGTTTGTAATTATAGGAAATGTGAGATAATTTTCGACTATTACTAATGCTGTGTGACTATCCTAATATTTCATGGGTATGTAATATTTTTGTTCAAAATATTGTTTTTTGTTTGTGTTTCATGCAAAAATATTCGATGCTATGAAGTTATAAATAAGACCGTTTTTTCTCTCCATTGTTACTGTTTATTAATAGAAAAGTTGTTATCGGATCTGGGACATTGTTAGCACGATTGAAATTTTTGTGATTCTTCAGACCTTCAAATCGAAAACGAAAGAAAAAAGCAAAATTCTATCGCACAATCTTATTCACTTCATACACGCACATACCAATTTGATAAAACCGTTCTCTTGATTTTATACCAAAATGGATTTAACGGATAAGAACTTTAGTCCAAAAAAACTGCCCGACCGTAAAAAGCGTTTGGCCAAAGGATGCACAACATTGATGTATTCTTGTCAGCAAGGTAAAGTTTCTCAATTTTCTGTTTTCTTTCTTTTTGCAATACATTCAGTGATGATGTTTAACCTTTCTATTTCATATGGATTTTAATCTATTGTCCAAATCTTCGTATAACGTCATCGGGCTGGCTAATTCAAGGTAAATCAGATGATATCGTGACCGAGCTGCGGATCAAGGTAAGCAAAAACGAACAACAACCCTATTATTCAATGGAGTTGTTAGAAAAAGACATACAAATGTTGTGTGTTTCACATATTTTTCTTTTCGTTTTCTCTCTCTCTCTCTCGTCATAATTTCATATAAATTCTTATTTCGTGCTTTTTTTCAACACCAAAAATAATGACAATATTACCTTGACGGATTTCTTACGGTCGCATACCGAGTAGTCTCTGACTTGTAATTGCTGTGGCGAGCACGATATATTGACTAGTCGGTCGGTTGAGAATTTCGAATAGCGAATAGCGAACAGCGAACTTCAATCCATTTATTTTGCCGTCGAGTTGACAGTGAATCCGATTGAAGTATTCGATTAAAACGCCATTTTCAAGGTCGATATACAAATTTTCCATTTCGGCCATTTCCGCCATTTGATAATGGGGTAGTAAAGAGGAGCGAAAGTTCCTTGACCAAATATTGAAAACATGCAAATTCATTTAATCTACTTCGTTTCGATTGAAAACAATCGAAAAACTTTTATGGAGAAGAAAATGAAGAATGAAAAAAAGCAGCAAAATGAAAGAAAAAGCAACGGTGAGGTGAACACGGTAACATATATAGTGACTGACTAATTGCTAGCATTTAGTCATTCATATTAAGTATTCTATTCGGACATTTTCTCGAGCGACTGATAATTGTTTTTTTTCTTTCATTTTCGTTTCTCTACACGGCCAAATTTAATGGTCTGAAACGATTCATCGTGATGACACACACACACACACACACACACACACACACACACACACACAAACAAACAAATGAAGTACTTGAACCACTTATTCAATATAAAGAGGGTACATTTGAATTTAATTAATCTGTATTGTTGAAACGAATTGAGAAAATATCAACATCATTGTTGCAAACAATAAAAGACTTCAAAGACATCAATGCAAGAGACAGACCAATCTTTGTCGTGCACATTTTTGACGAAATCCAAATAATCGAATGTTTTGTTTATTTTTACCATCGAAACATTGCAGTAACTTAGCAACGGCCATATATGTTATCAGTTGTGTTTTGCTCTGTTGCTCTGTTGCTACAACACCTCCTGTTTACTGTTCATTCTGTGAAATTCCCATTCGAAATTTATGTTTTTGTTGTGTCAAAACAGCGCCTCGATGTTTACGTTGTAAATGAGCACCAATTTAGATGGTAATGGCTTTTGCTTGTCTAAATGGATTTTCGTTTTCTTCATTGACACCGTAAAGACTGAATGGAAATTCGACGGGTCGATTCATTTTCGGTGTTTTTTCTTTCATCTAAAGAGTATTTTCCGATACTGTTAGCGTTATTTTTGGTGCGTCGCGTCAATTCAATTGAGATTCATTTGCTTTTAAAATGCAACAAATAAGAAATTGTTGATGCGCTACAATAACCTCCCAGTTAAAAACACATTCAAACCACAACCATACACGATGGCAACTAATTAATCGATTTGTATGCGTTGTTTGACGTTTATCGATAGTGACGCTCTGCAGTTTATCACAAATACACATACACACGCATACACATATCAGACCATCATACACCTCGCAATCATCGATAAACACATCGATTCGGTTTCATTTTATCGATAAGTTCACAATATCGATAGACCATTTTGTTTTTGAGTTGATTGTTTAGTTTATTCACCACAACCGACCTAATAATTCATGTATTTTATTGCATTCAATTTGCGAACTGTGTTTTCAGCCCAAAAGTTTGTATCAACGTGACAAAAGTAACAAAAGGTATTTATTGTTTATCGAATGAAATTGTTACATTTGAACTCGATACCTTCATTCCATAATGATAATGTGTAAATAATTTCAAATGTGGCATTTGTAGTGCTCTTCACTATTGTTGTGGACAATTAGATCTCGTGGCAGCCGCAAGCATAACCACAGGTATATATAAGTGATAATTACGATTGATTCAACGTTTAGAAAAACAAATGAAATTTCATTAATTAATGGTTACTTGAATGTATGTTACGGAACAATAGCGGCTCCGGACCTACTGGAGTCAGCTGATGAGGATGGTCTTACGCCACTGCATTTGGCAGTCATTCAAGGGAATACTGCATTGGTCAATTTACTGATAGCCAACAAAGCGAATGTAAATGCTGTCGATAACGAGGGCCATTCGGTTGTACATTGGGCGGCTGGTAAGTGATTAATTTGTCTATCTGGTACATATATATATATATATATATCGAACACATTTTGATTTTTTAGCATTCCAATTTTTACCATCAAATATTTGTGTAATGTTTATTAATTTTTCGCAATAAAGTGAATGAAATGTGTCAATATTTCAGTGTGCGGTGAGGTGGAAGCGTTGCGCGCTTTGTTAGCAGCTGGCAGCGATATAACCATAACCGATTTGAATGGTGGTAGTCCGGTACGAATCGAATGAAAAACAAATTGATTTCTTTTTTGTCTCGACATACATTTTTTTCTCTCAATAAATTGCGCTTCATTTAATTTTTGTCACGATTTTTCTCCCATTCATTAGTTACATTATGCAGCACAAATGAGCAATGGTTCCGGTTACCAGTCGCATTCGGCCAATTTAGCATTAGAAATTTTGGAAATATTTTTGCAACAACCAAACGTTCACGTCGATGTGTGTGACAGGGATGGAAGGCAACCACTGTTGTGGGCAGCGTCAGCGGGTGCCGTCAAAGCTGTTTTGGTAATGTTTACGCAAAATTATGCAATTCGATTCTTTGGTTTGGCATTCAATATCCTCATCGATATAAAACACCATTTCCCATTGCAGATGCTGGTTAAAGCGGGGGCGCGCGTTGAAAGTGCCGATAAGTATGCATTGCAATGATTTTCAATATTGTCATCTATTTAATAATTTCGTAATATAATTAATAACTTGATACAGGGACGGGCTAACCGCTCTACATTGTGCGGCATCAAGAGGACACACTGAATGCATTAATGTATTAATAAATTTGTGTGGTGCACCGGTCGATTTAATTGGTGAATTATTCAAACATTATTGCGAATATAATCGCATTAAATGTATAAAGAAAATTGATTTAAATTTTTCCCAAATAAACAGATACGAACGGTTGTACGGCGCTCCATTATGCAGTCACACTTGGCCATGCAGACGCCACGTATATGCTGTTGGATTTAGGCGCGGATCCAAATCGACAAGACCGAAAAGGGCGAACCCCAGCCCATTGTGGGTGCGCAAAAGGTCAATTCGAAACCGTAGGTTTTAGCATAGAAACCATTGTTATATCGAGGATGGAGACAGAACGGTTTTTTAAATGAGTTTAAATTTTCCGAAGGTAAAATTGCTTCGTGATCGAAAGGCAAACCTATGGCTACGTAACGCCAAAGGCGATTTGCCACTACATGAAGCGGCCAGTTCGGGTCGACGTGAATTGGTTCTTTGGTTATTGGATCAACGACCGAAACATGTAAACACAACTAGCAACGATGGTCGCACCATTCTACACATAGCAGCAAGCAATGATTATTCCGATATGTGTAAAGTATGTATTCAGAAGAAAAACAAATTTATCCAAACTTCAAACGCACATATTTTCGGTTTTTGCTTTTATTTTTGTATCACACATCTGGCACGTACTATTTTCATACTGTGAATGGAACACATGTGTGCAACACCAAACGAACCAACGATGATCCGTCCTTTTCGTTTTGAGCACACTCGCAGCACTAGATATCCTTTTACATCAGATATTGTATACCCATTCGAAATATGCATCAACAATTGTAGATTCAAAAGAGAACAGATACATGAGTCGTAATGTTTTCTTTTTTCCTTCATCTTCTTTGTGAAGTATTTTTTATTGCTTTGCAATTTCACATTTGATGAGAAGCAACAGCAACATGTTCCAAAGATGTGATTAAAACAGATAGTATATGATTTTTTTTTAAATTTTGTTTCTATCATAGATGTTAATCGACTTTGGCGCCGACATCAACGCGATTTTTCGACTTCCAGGAAATGTCGTTCAAACTCCACTCGACTGTGCGTTGAATAAAGGTCATCGATCGACGGCAAAATTTTTACAACTTCACGGTGGTCTACCAGCAAATAAACTGCGCCTATCGGGACGCAATCCGAACGCATTGAATGATCAGGAATTGGTGAAACCGTTGCCATTAACATTCAGTGGTGAGAAAAAACGTCCATCGAATGCCGCTGAACAACCGAACAAAGCTACTCGCAGCGTTTGGCTATATGTTGACCAATCTGAGTCGGATGATGATGCAGATGCCGGTACGTTTGACCATATTGTTCACACTTCTCTCTCGGCGGTTTTTAAAAACACTTTTATGATTATTATGATTATTGAATTTTATTCGAATTCCTTTTTGTAGAGATAAAACCCGATGAAAAATACGCGGAGGAAGCATCGCAAGGGAAATCACGTTCTCGAAAATCATGCGGTTGTCAATATCATTATCATCATCATTATCGTCACCGTTGTCGCTTTCGCAGCAACAGTTGCGAACGAATAGAAATTTTGCAACGCGATAGCGGCCCAGACAATACCATTTGCCGATCAAAGAGCAATGTAGAAATTTGCCTGTATCACAAAAAGAAGCCCCGAATTCGCCGCGATGCAAAGTCAACATCATCGGAGCATTCGACTAGTGATGAGGAAAGCGCACACAGCAGCGAACACTGCCATAGAAGTTATCGTCGCAAACGAGATAGCCATCGATCGAAAGATAGAGCAAAAGTCGTTTTGGGCAAAGAATCAGATGTAAAAGAAAAGGAAAAGGAAAAAACCACTTTATCCATGCAAATGAGCCAAGAGAAAAGTACGTTAATATCTCCTCACTTTTCTGAAAATATATTTTTAGCACTAGTTCTTACTTTCATCTCTCTATCTGAATGATTTTCCTCATTTAGTTATAAAAATTTCGAACCACATTCTAAAATAATTTTTCCAATATAGAAGAAAATGGGAAAAAGGACCGTCAGCCAGCATCCAAAGACATGAGAGTAGAAAGTGAAAAGGTGGCAAAAACCGTGCAAAGTACTGGATCTCAGGATCAGCTCTCGCAAGCGATGGTGAAATCTCCGGAGAAAATCGGTACGGCTGATGTAGTAAAAGTAGGCAGTCCATCTCTTGAGAATGCTGCGAAAAAATCAATAGTAACCATTGCTGATGTGCACACTCCATCTGACTCGCAAGAGGCTGCGGTGACATCGGCACAACCTGAAATTGCAAAAGTGGTTAGTTCTGAAAGCGTCGGGCCCAAGATGCATGAAGCAAAGGAATCAAAAGAGGTAGAAGCAACTCAACTGCCATCCGACTCTCAACCATTACTGCCATCCGATCAAAAGATTCCCGATGAAAAGAAATCAAGCGAATCGAGTGCTGCAAAGCCAACCGAACCGAGTTCAGTACAGGAAGCTAAGCCGGAGCAGTCGAGTGTTGCAACCATTTCATCGCCTGAAAAAGATGCAAAGGAAGGAAAAGAGACAATGGAAGTGAAAGACGTAAAAGAAGGAGGCCAAAAAACGGCTGAAGATGCAAAACAATTGAAAAAAGCAGAGCAGTCCACAGCGAAAAAGGATCAAGCACTTGCCATCGAATCTGCTGCCAGCGCTAAAAAGCCACCGACAGAAGAAAACAAAGAAAGCAAACCGTCTGAAAAGGTGATTGAAAGCAAAGATAGTCAGAGTGGCGATGCCAAGCCTAGTGTTCAAATCAATGATGGCTCCAATCAAGGCGAGAAGGAAACCGATACAGCCGATGATAAAAATGCAAATGTTGATGCTTCCACAAGTTTTCAAGTTCTTCCAAGTGAAAATCAACCAAGTGATAATTTAAATCAGGAATTAGATGATACAGGTAATCTGGGACCGCCAAAACCACCCACAGAAACCATTCGCAAAACCAGTTTCACGGTACTGAAAAGTGACGAATCGATCGATGATCTATTGGCCGGTATGGATGAAAACCAAAATAAAGAGGTGACAAATGAAGCGGGCGAAAAGACATTGACACGACCGAAAAGTTTCAAAGTTTTGAAATCACATGATCCCAGCGGTGAAGACATAATTTTGCATCAAAGCAGCGACCAAGAGGTGGGAGGCGATGCCAATTTCGAAGATTATTTGAATCGCAATTTGGCATATGGCGGCGGCAAGTATTCTGACAGCGAGCTCGTAAAAAGTGATGGGCAATTCAATGGTCGTCGAAAGAAATACAAAAAGAGAGCCAAGAGTGTTAAGCAATTGACAATTGTTGATGGATTGAGTAAGGATCAGGATTCGGGATTTGAACCGAGTCCAAGGACATTGCGTTCATCACAGAAAAATCTAACAACACGTGCCATTTATACGGCCGGTTTAAATATGCCAGAAAGACCGAGAGTCGGCGATACCATTATCGATGGTCGTTCAATCAGTTCACGTTTTGATGCACAACGAAAACTTGGCGATAAAAATGCTTGCAATATGGCGACCGTATCTCAAACGCTACAACGAAATATTCGCAGGTAATCAAATGATTTTTCTATTCATTTTTTTTTTGCTAAAATCTCCCACAACCAGCTATTCTATATAAATGATATAAAATATTCATCCGCATGCAGATATTACATGGAACACAAGATATTCCAACATCTATTGGAGCTGAAAAGCTTGCAAATTCGATCGAGCAAAGTGAATGAATCGTTGCTAGTGAAACGAGCCGTTGATGATTACCATAAATCGACTATGGAGATAGGCAGTGAAACGGGTAGCACACTGAGACGCTATCCATACAAAGAGTACACATTCAAGAATTTCGAAATCTTCCTATATGAAGTGCTGAAAAGCCTACAAAAGAACGGATCTAATAATTTCCAAAACATTTCCGACGTTTACTTAGAGGTGAGAATGTGTGTATGAGAGCGTGTTTGCGTGTGAGAACGTCTATTTTGACTTGTCTACAGCTTGTCATATTATCTCATTTTTCCATCGGTTTTTGCTGACATAATCACGTTATTATGATTCGCCTTACATTCTGGTTATAGGCTGAACGAAGACTCAGCCCAGATTACTCCCGATGCAAAAAGGCTATATACTGTACAAGCAAAACACATCGTTGTCTTCATGCGGCCCATGCATATACAGGTATAATATACACAAGCTCGTCGAAAATTCAACTCGACTTGAACAAATCCCACCGTAATTCCACTGAATCACCATCTAATCTTGTTAAAATACCACATGAACTATTTAAACCTTCACTTCATCCAACTACCGATTCTTATTGTTTCCTCTCTTGCGCTTGAGATTTTAATAGAATATTTGTGTTTGACTGGCTTCGAATTTGGATATGTTTTGTTTGCGCCTCTCTGTTATTAATCACACTCATCAACCGGGATATTTTATTTCAATATACTTGTTTAACATCAATTTCTCTCTCACTCTCTGTCTGTGTGTGTTTTTCATTGTCGTTTGTTTGCTCGTTCCGTCGTTTGCGCGCCGCTGGCTTGGATTTAATTTGTTTTTCGTGTTGGCGTGTAATGTTCCTTAATGGCTGCTGTTTTGGGTTTCGGGCGCAACCAAAAAAGGCATACCATGCGCTGCATATAGTAAGTATGATGCACACATGTTATTCGTTTGAAATGCATTTTCGTTTGTAGTTTAGCCTTAATACATGTTATTTCGCAGCCAAACTGAGGCGCGCTATGAATTTAATGATAACGACAATAAAAACGAAATATGCGCACGATGATGTTCACTTTGTGAAGTAGGATAAGGAGACGCCAAATTGAATCAGTAATTCAAAAGTTGTGCATCGCTTTCGTTCTTTTTGTTGTTTCTCTCTTGTGATGGCTAACGATGACGCCTCACGCTGTCGGCAATCGCTGCTGAAACAGAAATCGCAACCACATATGTGCCATTGTTCAACAAGGGCAACCGACCCACAAAACAGAGAGAATTTTTTGAAATTGGAGCTACTGTTTACTTTGTGCTAAACACATCTCTCTTTTTTTTTGCATTTCCAAACATTTCTGAGCGTTTTTTCTTTCTTTTCTCAACAAATTTTATTTGTGTTTAAAGTAGGCATCTGAAATTCAATTGATGCATGCAAGATTTTATGGCTGAGAAAGATGTTTCAATTACGATGTTTAAATGATGGCACATATGGAGCGAAATTTTTGAGAGATTTTTTTTTTACATATATGATCTCATGGCCCAGTGTTCCGATATTCATATGTATGTTTATATGTTATTAATTGGGTTTTTTTTTAAATTTCATTTTTATGAATTTCACAGTACCGATGATGAATCACCATACGATGCCGAAATATGGTTTTGGTAAGACGAGCATGGGAAGTTTTTATTTGCCGAAAATTTGCACGAAAGGCGGTGGAATAAGTGGCAGCGGCAAATGCGGGAGCGGAAATTCTTCGCACAACACCGTTTCACTTGAATTGTCACATGGGTCACAAAAGCAATTAATAACACTGCCAGCAGAAAAATTAGATAACAATAAGCGATACTATGTGACATTCACACTCAAAGAGAATGAACAATCAAAGTTCAACGGCGGTAATGCCAATGCAACAACAGCAACACCAGCACCAACGACAACGGCCGATGCAAAAAAATAAACTCGACCAATTAACAAAATGAAACAATGTTTAAGCACACACACTCTCTCTACATCAGATTATTTTTAACACCAAAACATAAACACACCCACACATATACACACTCACACTCACACCAAAAGTCACTGAGAAAACAAATTAACACTTAGGCAATAAATTTAAACGAATGTAGATGTCTATTTTATCAGAAAAGAATGATTAGTCAATTTTGACCCAAGAATAAGATGTTCTTGACACAACAAGAGCACACATTTCATTTGACGAACAATTTATGAGCAACATCCAACATCAACAACAACAACAAAAAAAGACACATAATATGTTACTTGAAAAAAATCCATATATTTATTCTAAACACAAAATAATTATGTTGGAGTAATAAAATGAAAATGAGAAAAAAGCAACAATTATGGAGTTTTCAATTTGTTTTAAATTAAATGATCGCAACGGAGCCAAGAAAAATTATTATTTTTCTAAACACACCACATGTGAACAAACTATGATTGACATACCCGAAATTTCCCATTCTACCACGCGTTCAGTTTCGAGCATTTCGGCTTCGAAAAGCATGTTTAAACGACGCATTTTTCTATTCTCTAGATACCCAACCCATGAGATGGATTTTTATAGCCGATTAATGCATTAGAATGAATAGACTCGAAGTTTCGAAAAAAAGGGTTGCTGATTCAGGAAAATCTTGTTTCAATCAATTTTATTGCAAGACAAATCCACAGGGAATTTATCGATAGCTTAATTCCTATTGAGCTAATTAAAAAAAATACCAGAACTTTTGCATCATTTTACTACTTCGCATTTATTGACTCATTTAGGTTTTTGTTTCTAGATTATTCTTGATACAAAATAAATTCTATCATTTTGGAGTGGTGTTCATTTTTTCAAAAAGAAAGAAATCCGATCATGTTAATCATCTTTATGATTTAGTTTATGGATGAGATTAAAAACAATCAGTAAAATTGACTGAAAATAAACAATTCAAGTCTTTAAGTATTACCGCCCGATCGGCTTCATTTTGTTACACTGTAAAATCGATTAAAATAAACAATTAAAACACATTTGGATTGAATAACGTTGTTTTTGCCGTTAGTAGTTTGTAATGCATTTCTCTTTTTTGTTTGTCCATCTGTCAAACGATTCGTTTCGTTTTGTTTCTTTCTATTTGAGCATAAAAACAGTGATTTAAGATAGATTTTTTTTGTACATATGAGCGTATAAACTTTGTTTTATTCTTCTGTTTGTTGTTTCTTTCATAATTTTCAATTATTTTACCTATTTTTTTAAATGGTTTTGTTTTCGCATTAGTTTAACTACAATATTTATAGTGTTCTTCTCTGTATACTCGTCATTCCATACAACATTTCATTTTCTTTGGTAATTTTCCATTTTGTATATCGTCCAATTTTAGCATAATAATAAATTTTAATGACTGGATAAAATTAATGTTTGGTTTTAATTATTTGTATTTTTATTTCACTCCGTTAAATTATGTACAAACGCTTTCTTCATTAAGAAGATTATATATATTTGCGCAGTTTTAGCCATGTTTTTATTTTGTTTTCTCTTATTTTCTTATTCTTCAGAGACCGTCAGATTACATATAACATTTACTTCAAACGCACATATACCGCACAATGAATAGAGTCTCTTGCCTTTCCTTTCACGGGTCTCTCTGGCTTCCGCTGAGTCATTCGAAATGGCAGGAAGAAGCGATGAGAGACTATTGACAACAAAATATGCATTTTATGTGTGATTTCTTTTACTTTTAAAAAGAAAACGTTCTATTTATATAGATGACAATCATTTTGTTTTAAATCCTAACTTCGAATCAGTATCGTTTATTGATAATATAAATGGTTAAAATTATGCAACTGTGTTGTGTGTGTTTTTTTGTAGAAAAAAAATTATCTAATTTTATCATACCTAAAAATCGTTAGGACATCGCTAAGAACACATATTAATGCTCGCACTCGACTGATACAATTCCACCATACCATTGAAACTTGGCTGTGAGTATTGTACGAAACCTTCGGATATGAAGTGACTGGTACTTTGACCACTCATCGCTCGTGTACATCGTACATCCGCACATCGGCCAAAATCGTCTAGCCCATCTTCTTCTGCATACATGGATGGCATTCGTGTAGGTCTATTCGCGGAACGGACGAATGAAGAAATGAAAAAAGAAAAAAACGTTGTGGAAACGAGAAACAACGAAACAAATGCCATTATTAAAACAATCGAAATGTGATTGGATCCGAAAACAACATGAACGGCATAACAACAAACGAACGGAAAGTGGGGGAGCATCGAATAAACGTAATTATGTAGTATTTATTAGATCCAGGCCTAATAAACTGAATTGGAATTGATGTCCGTACGGGCTGTGTGTGTGTGTGTGTATTTCAATGAAATTCAAAATTTAATTCGGCAATGAGCCACACATAGACATATAGAGAAAGAGCAATAATAATGATGCACATGCTCTTTTTCACTTTCATTCGTTCGTGTCTTTAGATTACATTGCTTCCCATGAAATAATGTGAATGTTTTATGCACTTACTTCAATCGTTTCATTTGATGTTCGGTTGATGTTGGCTTTGGATCGGTCACTTGTGGCGGTCGCGATCGTCGGCACAGCACTGCAAACAAAGCAACAATAACTGAAGATGCTGCAACTGCTCCGGCTCCAATAATAATCAATGCTGATTGTCTCTGTTTTTCCTGTTTCGAGATTTCCGTGGGTGGGTCCTCCGATAAAATAGTCTCATCTGTGTGCGTGGGTGGGCAAGTGAATTAATCATATCATTGATTACGATTAGATAAAATGTCAAGAAAAGAAGGAACAAAAACAAATGCGAAGAAATGAAATGAAAGTTAGAAAATTACCATGCGGACCAATGATATCGTTAAAGGTTTTTCCTTGCATCACAATCGGTGGATGACTTCGGCCTTTTGCATTTACAGCATACACTAGGAATTGATACTCGCGACCTGGTTCGAGGTCGTACAATTTAAATTCTGGAACGGCCTCCTTAATTCGGCGCAATGGTGCTGTTGTTGCTTGATCGTTCATCGTTGAGATTTCGTTGGTGTTCATGTTATTGTCAAAATCATTGCGACTGAAATCGGGACTCACTGGATTACCACCAACAACTTCAAGCAAAAAGTATTGCGGTAATCCACCATCGCTACCACCACTGCACACAACCTCGAATATTGTATCATTCCGAAGTTCGCAATGTTGTGGCTGATCCGGCAATTCTGTATGCAACAAACAAACATCGAATCAAATCCAATTACATTGTACACTGTACATGTGTTTACGATTGTTTTATTGGTATTTCTCAGCCACTTACTTGCTGGTATAATGTGAATCAAACATGGAATCTCTTGACGACCGACCGCATTGCTCGCCCAACACGCCAGTGTCAACTCGGAATCACTCGGTGCCAAATATGTCATCGTACTAACTAATCCATTTGACGTTATTCTCGAATTTAAAACCTGCAAATGAACACATGTTAACAAGATGAGAGATTGACTTTTCAACACCGCATAAAAATCAACTAAATGCAGACACAAGACATTTATGGTAAATACTGTAAAATTTTCACAAACCGGTGACACATTTCTCGTATTGTTGTACGTCCAACTGAAGCGAATATTTTCAGCCGGATCTGCATCGACTTCACACCGAACATCAATCGAATGCATATTTATAGAGCCCATCGAAGATTGCTCTGTGCCAGGTTTACACCGTGGTGCATCTAAAATAAAAATTTTGAAAAAAGCAAGCAAGAAAGAGAGAGCGAAAAGAACACATGATTAATTAAAATACAATCTAAATGCGGTGAATAAGTTACAAACTCACATTGCACTCGCAAAGTTATGGTTGAACTGTGATTTTCACCCAAATCATTCCTCGATGAACATGAATATTCACCGATGTTCTGCCGTTCGAGATTTGTAAGATGTAACGTTTCCGTATTTTCACCAGACATTCGCATACCCTATTATATAAATAAAATCCCCGACGGAAATGCAGTCGAAATGTTTAGATGTGCAATACATATTTTTCTTTTCTTTCGAATTTCAGACGATGCTCAATGTTTATTAATGTAATCGGTTGTTTGGAAAAAGTTTCTGAGCGAAATTTGTTCACTCTTTTCGCAAATCACATTGATAAATGCGTTGAAATCGCATTTGATAATTTTAGACACGTAAATAGAAGAAAAAATGGAATGAATTGTTACTTACATTTTTATACCATCCAAAACTGCTTGAATCCACTGGTGGATTGGCGTCAGCGCGACATTTTAACGTCACATTATCACGTTCCGCCCGAATGATTAGGCGACTAGGAATCGGTTCTTCGTTAGCCAAGTGCACAGACACACTCGGCGCATCTAATTAATAGAAACAAGTTAGACAATTAGAGACGATGGAGCTACAAAAATCATTGTTGCAAGACTACACTTAATTACTAAATACATAGTCTATTTTCGTTGTTATTTTTTTCTATTTTGGTTGCCTGATGGTGTGTTGAACATGCGCGTTCAAGCTGGGCTCTTGATAAACCGTTTATCAAATTACATTCATATTCATTGAGGACATATCGTATGATATATTATGATCTTCCATATATACGAATGTATGTTATGGAACATACACATAACGTATACTTGTTAACAATCATTTCACTAAATTACTTACAGGCCACATTAATGATTCTTTTATCTTCGATAATGTCGCTGGGAAACCATGGGTTCGACGCACGACATACGAGTTCAGCATCGTTATTTTCCGGCGCAACCGTCAGCGTAACGATGCTTATTGTTTTATTTCCACCCTAAACAAATGGATAGAGATGTGAACAAATTAAAATGAACATGGTCGATGGAGAATTTTGTGATTTTATTTCGGGGCAAAACAATGAATAAAAATCATTGTTATTGCGAATTTTGAACTTTGAATTTGGAATTTTATACTCATATTAAATTGAGAAGAATGACGAAATGAAGTCAGAACAATAAATGGAAAAAGGACCATAACATTTATTTATCGGATTAAAAAAGATGAATTTAAATGTGTATCCGTAATCGAATTTCTGGTTCAGTTACGAAATACTGTACACTAACCTCATCACTGCTGTCACTGTGTGATGTGATATCGGCATTTATAATTGGTATTCCATCCAAAAACCATGCTATTTTCGCTGCTCAAGTGACGATCATATAAATTGAATGGAACGAGAAACGAAGAGAAAAGAGAGAGAGAGATAAAAAACGCATTCAATCCATTGAAAACAAAGAGTTTTATTAACACGCGCTCAAAATATGAAATTGCACTTAATTTTGCATAAAATTGGTTTTCCCATATATATGGCAAAACTTTTTGCAAGAGCAGAGAAAAACCAGAGAGTAGTTGAAGTTTCACAAAACCTCATGGCGTGTACTCATTTATCATGCACAAAGACACATCGAGCGCAACGTAATAGTTGAGCGTTTGTGCGTGCATTCGATGTGTTTTTTTTTCTGGTTTTTTGAAAAATGCACACTATTTATAGTAAAAAAAACAATGAACTAACCTGGTGGTGCAGATCCCCATGCTTCACAACGTAACGGCGATTTGACACCAGCAGTTAATATTTCATTCGATGATACTAGTTTAACTCTAAGTGGTTTCACTGTTCGAACAAGGAAAGCATAGGAAAAATCAAATAAATTATTCAGGTCTGTCTGGCTGGATGCTATCTGCTTGATATTAGGCCTATGATATGTTGGGGTTGGTATATAGGGAAAACAAGCGTATTTTACTACTACTTACAATGAAGTTGGACTGTCACTTCTTTTTCGACTGGATCAATTAATGTAGTTCCCTGAGCCTTACATGTTAATTTCGTTGCATAATAGTCCCTTGGCACGGCTCGCATCAGTATATTGTTAACAACTGCACCGGTAACAATTGATTGATGACTCGTACCAGGTATTTCGACATCTGATCGCCACCATGATACTTTCGGTGGAGGATTTCCACCATTTACTTGGCACGATAGAAAAAACTCTTGACCCTCACGAAAAGGCCCGGCTAGTGTTGATATTTCTTTTCCATGTGTATCAAATATCCGCGGCTCATCGGGCGGAACTGTATAGAAATGACATTAATAATAATATAATACGAAGCGAATAAGAAGACAGCAATAGCAATAACAACAACAATCGGGAAGAATTCAATACAAACAAAAATGCGTCAAACTTAAGATTGTTTTGACTGCTGGTTTTTTTATTGTTTTTTTTTCCCTCTTCTACGTATCGTAAATGGATGAATGTGATATGATTGAATGATGGGTAAAAACAACGGAATAAAAAAGAATTAAAAACGTTTTCTCTTCTCGAAACCGTTCAAAGGACGCTGACGATACGAGAGAAGTAGAAAAGTTGTTTTTGTATCAAATCAATAAAGATGCAAATCGGAGCAAAAATCAGATTGCATCACTATCATTCAATCGAGTCTCATTCGAGTTTCATCACAACTTAAGGTAGTGACAATATAAATCGCTTTCGTATAAATTATGAGGAAAATAAAATGGATCTCTGCCGTGTGTCAGTCAGTAAAAATGTTAATGTGAATGGCGATAGACGAATACATACCAACTAGTGTGAGATTAATACGTGAGTTTCGTGTGGCTGAATTGAAGAAATCCACTCGGCATCGGTAAACCCCGCCATCGGTATCTTGTACGTTTTTTATTTGGAGCCGTGCATTTTTGCTGTTATTGTCATCAATTGCAAAAAAAAGACGTTCACCCAAATCACTAGCGATTGCTGAATGTGTGCCAAATTTTACATTTCGTTCTCGCGAATCGATGCTGTGTGTATGTTGAGAATTCGAAATGTCATGTCATTTGCATTCCGTATCAGATCGTTGAATTTGTTGAAAAAATTTATTCCGTTCCATCGGAAGCGATGTGATGTGACATCGGCAACAATTGAAAGAGAGAAAGGAGGCAAGAAAGAGAGAGAGAGAGAGAGAAAGGAAATGAGGCAATGATTGATTTATCGAGTCATTAATATAATTATCGTTACGTGAATCAAGAAGCGTATTGAAATGAACGCGGTCGGCACCGAAATAAAAATGGACATGCGGGAAATAATAAATAACACATAGTAACTTGGTCTTAATTACGCATATGACGAGAGCACATTTTACACTTTGTGCAACGACATGGTATCAAGGGGGCCGTTCATAGTGTGTGATTTGAGATTTCTGCACAAACACCATTAACCAATGACACCCGTCGTCGTCTTCGTCGTCTTAGTTGTCGTTAGACGTATAGAACGCATCTGTTGTGAAAGGTTAGACATTTGTGGAATTTACCTATATAAGGGTATGCCGGTGGTGTCCTTAAACCATAAAATTAATTTTGGATAGTCGCCTGGCACTGTTGTCGCTATGTCACAGGGTAGATCGACGTCTTTTCCCTTCACCGCCCAAACGACACGAACTGGAACTAGAATATACGTGAATAGAGAGATGGAGAGCGAGAGAGAAGGGAGAGAATCGTGATCATTCAATAATTGATTCAATAATTGAAACCATAATGCATCATCTAATAAACAGGGACTTATTGGATCACACTTGCTATGAACGCTCGTGTGTCTCTGCTATGAGCGCAAATACTTACTGTTCTTCTGGAAGTCCAGAGCATGCTCATTACATTTCAATTCATGCAAGCCGCTTAGCACCATTAAAATAATAGCGTAGAAACAACTAGATGTGGTTAGCTTGAATGGTTTGAAATCGAAAACCATTTTTGTGTGTGTCTTTATGTGCGGTTGTGGGTTTTCTTTAAATATCTTCCGTAACTGTCGAGTAAATGAGAAAGCGAAAAAGCATTTGAATTACGTACGAGTAGCTCGCTCTTGCTATTTGAACCGCATACCAATTCGAAAAATGTATAGAATTTTCCAATTGATAGCCCCAGATCTTGGTCGATGTATGTACATATACTAGATTGTATCCGCTTTTTTCCATTTAGTTTGCACGCGCGCGCTCGTTCACCGTCGCGCTTCTTCCTTCACTTTCGATTTTTTTCCCGGTTGTCTTTTCCCTTCCTCTTCGCACAGCACGATGGTCTCTCTATCATCCGTTGTGTGCGCGATTTAGCGTTCACATCGAAGGCTTTTAAGTGCAAGAATTCGAGAATAATTGTATTTTCTTTTTCAAATTGTTTTAACTCCATATAAATGCAAAAGGATTAAGAAGAGAAAAAAAACTGAAACTGAAACTGAAACACAGTGCACAATGCCATTCTAAATTCTATCGCCTACAGGCAAAAAAATGGAAATAGAATATGTGTAAAATCAAGTCGCTATAGAAAAATAAATCCGCTAAACTCCAACTTGTATTTCAGTTACATGGTTAGGTCACTAACCAAAGTGGAATTATTTCAAAGCTTGCACATTTCAGTTGAACCAACAAAAAAAAAACTAAAAATTAAATTAAAATTGTCGAGTAAATTGGGTAAAAAATGTACGTTTTTTTCTGGATGCTACTTACATGATAGTATTTGCTAAATAAATTTTTGTCCGGAATCTGTGCACCAATTCTCACAACGGTGTTTGTTCGTCGTGTTGTAGCTTACATGTGCGTGAGCAAGTAAATTTGGTGTTTGTGTTACTCTAACAAATGACCCGTTTCAAATGTTAAGATTGACTACGATGACTTCTACATAGAAAAAGATTAAAATACATTGAATGAAAATGGAATTCAATAATGTACAACAGCAGTAGAGAGAGAGAAAGAGAGAGAGAGAGAGAGAGAGAGAGTAATCAACATGAAGGAGTGTGAATGGACGCACACATGCAATGCCAGGTGAAAAATCGAAATGAGTCATGTGACCATAAATACATATTAATAAAAAAAAGCGAATGGCATGTTCATTGCACATGCAGCAATTCGCAGCCGGAAAAAATATGTCTGGAATTGAATCAAACCAAGCCCAATTCATTTATTACATCGCATTTGATTGACTAATCACACTTTATTTCGTGCAATTTGTTCAAAGGCGAAAAAATTTTGCCGCGTGAGCCAAAACACGCAAAGTGAATCAGAATGACTTGTGAATCATAACATTCATTTGGATTTTTTCCCTCGGTTTCCCTTCTGCAAACTGACTTTCTTCCATTTTTTTTTTTATCACTCGAGGGAAAAAAAATTGAAAGTAAAAAAATTGCTGGCAGCCATTCAAGCATATGCTTTGCCCTCTTTTGGCCGTGCGGAAATGAAAAAAAGGAAGAAAAAAACATCGCATCGGAAACAAACTTTCAGTATTATGAGTAATTGATTCCACAAAGTAGGTAATTTGATTGTTGTGAAATATTGTTGGTTTTCGTATGTTTGTTTTATATTATTTCTTTTCTTCGGAAATTTCATAAGTTCAACAAATCTTAAAATGTTAGACGCTCAAATATTTTTGGTATTCATACACAGTGGCTATACATACGTATCAATGATTTCAGCTTTAAAACGAGATACAAATTCTTTTTTGGGGAAGAATTTCGATAACAATTTCATTGAATCGTCGTTCGAAAAATTGCAAATGATATAATCGTTTCGTTGTTCGTTTATTCTGCCGATTGATTTGATTTTCAACAAATTAGAGTTTGGCAAAAGTATGTAGAAAATCCGATCCCACTGTCAACGGCATGTCAAAATCAATGGGAAAACGTTTTATATGTCAGCGAAAAATCATTAAAAAAAACTCGCTGTTATTTCTATCCACACAAAGCAACACTCAACCTATGATTCATTTTCCGCAATATTGAATCTCTCCGCCTTGCGAGGCACGGATTCACTCTTTTTTTTCTGCTCGTCTGTACACTTGACTACTGCAGAGCAACGTTAAAGCATGAGCACTGAATAAACATCAACAACGGCTTTAAAAGCATTTGACTTTCGGATACACAAATACCGAGAAAAAAAAATTAGCGAGGCAAAAAAAGTAACGGATAAAAGGAGAACGAAGCCCACTAGATCGTCACGAGTTAACAGTTAATTTTTATAATGTTTTCCAATATAATTCCTTGCGTTCGGCTCTGTAATACAATGTTATTTGTTATGTTGTTATATGAGAGTGAAGGGGGAAAAGGCTTTGGATGAGCGCAGATTCGAAATACGAGCTATAATTAAAATGTGTAATTATTTGAAGCCCGTCAACAGACAATTGCAATCGATGCTGTAATGCTAAGCCAATTAGTCAAGAATAAATATCTATTCATATTTATATAAAATAGGAGAAAAATGTTGGTCAATGTTTCGAAATTGTGGATGTTCCATCGCACGAAATTTCTGGATTCAACACATCTCGGACGTCAAAATAATGGGAAGCAAGCAAAGCCGAAGCCAAAGACTTTTTTTCACGTTAGAAATATTTGCGCTCTACAAAATGAAAACGAAAAAAGTCAATGCCTTCGAAATGTAGTGTAAAGTGGAATTATTATTGGACAATACGTCGCCCATTGTACCTCCAGTGATTATAACAATGCTTGTACAAATATCAGTATTCTAGTGCTTCCGTGTTTGCTATTGAAACTGTTGCGAAACTGTTTGCACACCTAAAATGAACGCCATGCCATTTTTGAAATGCTGCAAACACATGTATATATAGCAACCAACTGGATTTTGCAATCTCTGCCAAAAGGAAATACTTTTTTTTCGGGCTTATTATTTGTGAGCTTAGCAATTAAATAGCTAATTTGATTGCGCAGGCCAGTTTACTGGACGAATTACAAAAGGAATTCAAGCGAATTTACGGCTGATGTTATAAAATATATATAAATAACCTGCGCAAAAATGAAAGAAATAATTGAAAATGTTGTGCAAGAATCATAAGCCTAACAAAATACAAGAAAACGAACGAACGACCGCCTGTCGTAGCGCCACAGAAAAACGGAGCCGAAGCAATAGTAAAAAGTTTGGTACGACGATAATAAATTAATAAAGAAAAACAAATTTACCAAAAAAAAAAAATGGCTTCTCTGAAAACTGAGCAAGTACATGCACGTATCCCCTTGCTATTGCAACTCATTTTCAATTAACACGAAAGTTTTTCTTCTCGCTTTCATTTACTTATGATGTGTTGGATGCCGCCGCCGGAGAGCTGCCTTTGTACTTTAATTGAAATATATTTGACCGTTATTGTGAAGTTGGCTGTTGGAAAAGTGTTTGGCCTGATAATATCACACAATAGCAAGTTTCAAAGTACTTGTCTGCTTTCATCACTTGCCACACGAATATTTTTGTATTAGAATATATTGTTTATATAAGATTCGCATATTGACTTGAGGTACTAAAAAAAGGGAACAAAACAATTTTTCTTCCTCTGGCTTCACTTTATCTTGATTACCATATTTTGTTGGGACAAAAATCTCTAATAATGATGCATTTTGACATGTTGTGGAGCAGCAAAACTGTCAATTTGTCCATTGTAATATTCGGTTGGCCAATAGGATGAACATGACCGAAAAAAGAGATGTAATATCATGGGTAGATTCAACGATATTGACTTCCTTCCGCTCTCCCCGGGTGTATGTGAGTGCCGATTCATAAGAGCAGTAAAGCAGCAAGGCAGCAAGGAATTTTCGCTCAAAGGCTCAAAGCATTGAAAAAGTGTTTGCGCACAGAGAAATACGTGCATACAACTAGTAAATAATTTTTACTATAGTAAACGAGGCATACTATAACACTCTTTATCATTTTACAATGGTACATTGATAAGAACGGCAGAGAATACACTAAACGGAAATGAAGAAAAGCCAACGTAAGTGCTGTGTCATTTCATGTATACATCGTTTCATTGCAAAAAGAGCGCGCGCGCTCAAACCACGCACGTAATATAGTATTGAGCAATCATATTGAACAAGAAAATAGCAAGTTCACATCCGCACAGAATGCAGTCATCATCATGACACCACAATTGAAAACGAGAGGAAGAAATGCGTACAGGTCGAGCTATTGCGTACTCGGTCCGTTCTAAAAGTTGTCTTCCATCGATTAATTTCTATTTGCACCCCAAATAAGATTTCTACTCAAGCAAAATAGGCATGAACTCGTCTTTTCTACCACTTTTATGCACAACATTTAAATAGTTGTGGAGTTTTCCATTTCGTTGCTCGATGATGTTCTTTTTGTTCTGTGTTGGAACATCCCTCTCTCTCTCTCTCTCTCTCTCTCGTTGGCCAAGATTTCAAAGGTTTTACTGCATCCTATATAACCGAATGCAAAAACAAACAAAGACAAATGAGGGTGAAAACTCAACGGAACGATGACTAAAGTGTGTACATATTTCCAAGCGATGTGCGCGAATGATCTTGAAGCTATAATATTTTTCTTTTAATATTTGCGTCAAGCTCAGAAAAGCAGCGTAACTGTGTAATGAACGCACACGAATTGGGGCCTTTCTCTCGTTTTCTCTGTGTGTTTTTAATAATGCCTGTGGGTGGTTTCTCCAGTACATTTTTAATAAATTTTCAACCACTCTATCAGATGCAGCTTAAGCACCGACAGTGACACAACGAAAAGAGAGCAAACCGCACACCCCGAGCAAAATGGCATGAAAAAAATAAATAAATATTTATATGGTGCATGCATACATATACACAAACACACTTCAACGCAAATAGAAAAAGGTGCACGAAATTTGTAAAAGGCGAAGATAAGCAGTTACCCAAAAGTGACAAGAATAGGTGTCACTCATTTACTTATTTTTCGCTTTCATCATTTGTTTACTAACAACTTATATTTAATTTGGATTACGGTCGAGGGTACTGGTTGAGGTGATGTGACCACGCGACAACGGTCATTTTCTCGAAAATTAGAAGCAAATAATAAAATCGGCCAACCATCTGATATGATCTGGTGCAGTACACACTGGACCATTGAAATTGATGCTAAATCGTACAATCGTCTTTTTTTGGTAGTGACAAATGGAAAATTTGATGATACGATGAGACAACAATGAAAACACTAAGGCCTTTGACCCTCTACTCGCAGTTCATTGTGTACAAACATTATCCATAATTTATCTCTAATCAACCGATCACAAACACTTTCACTTTTTCCTCATTTTTCGGCGAAATGTTTCGATTACACCATAATAATAAACACAGCAATGCACACATTGATCCGCAAATAATAGATTCGATTCATGCTATCGTTGCAATACTTTACATCAGACATTCCATCTTGATTCGGTTGTATGCAAATTGTTAGCAAATATTTGAAAACTTTGACTACGTTGATTTGGAAACGTTTGGAGGGGGTGACTTGATTAGCATGTCTGGAATAGATAAAGTTCTTTAAATTGTATCACATCTCACAATGTGAAATGAGTGTCATCGTGAGAAGTCAATGTGTCTCCCATAAATTATACGTAATATATTAAACAATTCAGAGAACAACGACAACAATAACGATATCGAAGAAAATTTCCATTTCACATTATGTTTCCATGGTCAATCGCAGCTATGGCAAGGATGATGCGAAGAAGCCGTGACTGTAATTTAATTATTGTCGATCTGAGGGAAGGGAACGTTATTTTATTTTATTTCTGTATCATTTCCATAGTTAATTTAAATACGGGGTTTAACGAGAAAATTTTAATTATGGCCGTACGGTGATCAAAACAAGATGACAAAATGACAAAATGATGATGCGTAAATGGGCCG